AATGATCGTCAACATTGTATTATATCTAACTAATTTTTTTAACACTTTCTAGTCGAACAACATTCTCGTCCAAATAAATGGTTAACTTATTTTACATCTGGTCAAAATCGGTAAAATAAAATAATCATCATAATAAAATATAATTTCTATCGTTTATTTTCTAGACAAACATTACCTCTATTCACATCATTAATAAATATAGTATTTTCCTATGATCCTGTTGGTTATTTACCCTATAATTATCTATTATTTACTGATACACGTGAACCTCTAGTCGAAGTAGCTGCTCAATTGTTATGTATAACATTAGATAATAGTTCATTTTCTTCGATTGATCAATCATCTTCAACAACATCACTAAATAAACCATTCCCTACTGCATCGGGTGATGAATGTCCAAATTTATTTATTAATTATTTATCACGTATTCATCGAGATGATGTAAAACTAAACAAATCTTTAGAAAAAAAGAAATCTAAGCTTTTATTTTTTTTAGGATTTTAATATTTTATTAAAAGGTTTTTGTCGTTTATTGAATAATCCACTGATTCAAACATATTTACCTGGTTCATGTAAAAAAATAGGTTTCTATCAAGAATTACTTATTTTATTTTGGAAATTTTGTGATCGAAATAAGGTTTGACAAAAAATATTTAAATCATTTAATTTCTATCTTTGAATTCAATAGAAATTTTTATATCATGCATTAAAATCTGGTGAAATACTTGATTTAGTTGTACCAATACTTTATTTTCTGAATGACGCCCGTTCGGATACATGTAAAGACTTATTTTAATCTAAAAATCATCATTTTCTTTCGTTTTTTTTCAGCAAGAATTGGTTTAATGCATATTGGTGTATTCATTTTATTACTATTAAGTGGTGAAAGAAATTTTGGTGTTCGTTTAAATAAACCATATGCAACACGAATACCCATGGATATACCTGTATTTACAGGAACACATGCAGATTTATTAATAATTGTATAAACGAAAAATTTTATTGACAAAAACAAAACTCAAGATTTGATATTTTTAGGTTTTTCATAAAATAATTGTTTCAGCACATCAACGTTTACAGCCGTTGTATGATTGTTTATTAACAATTATTGTGAATATTTCACCTTATTTGAAAACTTTATCAATGGTTTCAAGCAATAAATTACTTCATTTATTTGAGGTATTTGTTTTCTTTCCACACCCTAAATTTCGAAAAGTATAAGTATGAATTTATTTAGGCATTCAGTTCACCATGGTTTCTACTAGCTGCATCGGATAACCATCATTTAGTATTTTTTCTTCTTGAAGCTTTTAATAATCTTATTCAATATCAATTCGATGGTAAAATATCTCTGTTTTCTTACTTAATAGCTCATTAAATTATTTTAGGAAATGCCAATCTTGTTTATACAATAATTCGTAAACGACAAGTATTTTTTAGTCTAAGTAATTTAGCTACCGATAGTCAAACAATAGCAAAATTAAGTGTAAGAAATGCAAATACAACATCAACATCTTCAAAGAAAAATATTGATACATCTACAAATAAACAAACAATATTTCAAACAAATTTAAAATCACCTGCGAATGATGAACCACAACTTAACAAAGATTTCTCACAACAACAACAATCAAATAGCAGTTCAACCGTACTTCTATCCAATGCAATGATAGCAACACTTGCTGAAACACCTTGTAAATAGATGTATTATTTTTAAATGAAAATGAACTAAAAAAAATCTTTTCCGCTCAATTAGTTAAATTCAATCATGACTATACTATAGACAGTAGTAAAAATTTCATTATAACATTTATGAAGAAGCAATATACAAAATACTTTAGTTACAGTTAAATAACATTTCTAATTACATAAAATACGTAAGACTTATGTTATATTATCACTGTAAAATCGATTTTTCGGTGAATAAAAATACTCCGAACAAAACGTATGTTTACTCCTGAGAGAAAGTCTACATGATGTAATAAAAAGATTTTTCAATAATATACTTTAATATTTAGCGTATTAACTAGAGAATTTTATATTAAACAAAATCTTTATTTCCCATAGCTATTCATACAATGACTGAACGTACATTAGCTGCTTCACCAAATCTGGATGATATTCATCGTCAACGTTCTGGTACGACTAATGAATCATCTCCATCATCAACTCGAGTATGCACATTTATAAAAGAATAAAAGTCAAATATTTTTCTCATCAATTATTTGTGTATTTAGCCTGCTTCACCTCCATTATCGTCAATAGTCTCTTCAAATTATTCTCAACAAACAGATAATAGCCTTTGGTCTCCTACATCTGATTGGGTACAATCGTGGAAAGGCAAATTACCTGTACAAACAATAATGCGTCTTTTACAAGTTCTTGTTCCACAAGTTGAAAAAATTTGTATGGATCGTGGTTTAACTGATGAAAGTGAAATAATTAAATTTTTACAACATGGTACACTTGTTGGTTTATTACCTGTACCTCATCCTATATTAATTCGAAAATATCAACCAAATTCTGGTACAGTTATGTGGTTTCGAACATATATATGGGGTGTTATTTATCTCAGGTAATAAATCATATATAAATTTATTTAATTTTCTTTTTTTTGATATTTAGGAATATTGATCCACCTATTTGGTATGATACTGATGTTAAATTATTTGAAATTCAACGTGTTTAAGAATAAAATTATTTATTTGTTTTTTTTCTTCTTCTTCTTCTATTGTTGTTGTTATCTTTGGTTGTTTCTTCTTCCTTTCTTACATAATCATCTATTTTATTCGTTAGTTCCCTTCTATTTATTATAAATTCTGATAAGCATACATGGAAAGAGTACTTAGATAATGGATGTGAACCACTCACGAAAGAGAGAGAATATGGTGTAATTTAAGTTGTTTTTTCTTGTTCTTATTAATGAAGTTAGTTATATTTATTGTTGTTATTGTTGTCTTTTTTTTTTCTTCTTTTTGGTGGATGTTTTCAAAAGCAATAAATATATATACATAGATATATACTATTGATATACGCTCACTTTGACATTCAAACTATAACAATAGATAGTATAGAGAAAAAAAAGAGGAAGTCAACCTTTTTGTGGTTTAGAAAGGTATAATTTCCTCACTTAACTACTTGATAAATTGATAAAAAAAAAACAAATGCATACCATTCACGATTTGATTTGCTATTAAAAGCACTTTCAGTCTCATTTATGTCTCTTTTTTTTCTATTGCCTTTTTACTTACTCGTTTGTACACATCATCAAACAAAAATTTAGCTCGTCTAATGATGTGATATTGTTTTGTTTTTATTCACCCTTTCGTCATAGATAGGAAGAAGAAGTAGTAGTAGTAGTAGGCATGTTCGACAGGCTAATTATCACACACACAATCAACTATCGCTCGTACATACTACGGACAGAATAAAGGTAAGAAAAGAAATACATGAATCAAATCTGACTCTCCTCAACTAAAAATATACCTTGTCAAATTTACTTTTATTTCTAGTCAATCAAACATTGGGTTTTTCTTTTTTCTCTTTTGTAAACGTATAAAGATTAATGATTAAAGTATTTTCTAGAGAATATTTTTCCTCAAGTTAAATCAAATAAATAACAAATTTTGTCGATTTATTATCTTGCTCAATCCTATACGATAGATTTTTTTTTGTTCATCCCACTGAGAAATCAATTTTCTATAGTATGTGTATCAATATAGAACATTTATTGTGTTGTGTTCCTCTCAGTTTATTCTCTCCTGGTATGTTGAATGAATATTATTGTGTAATCTTCTAAATAACAAAGAGAAAATCGAGGGAAGCTCAACTATGTAGGCATATACTCATGAGGATTGCCAGTCGTCGTCGTCGTCGTCGTCATCTATCAACACCTTAATACCGACAGAGAGACAAAAGAGAACAATACATTCTATTCAACTATACTAGATCAAGAATAAAACATTCAGGAGCGATTTTTTCTTCTTATATTTCTTCATGATTAATAGGAAGAAATTACTAATGCAAATGTTCGTTTTTCACACGAGCCACTTGATACATCTATAAATGACGTTGTTCATGTAAATGCATATTGTACCGTACGTATATATCTATCTGATTTTTAAGATTAAATTTCATTTTAAACAACGTTCAAATCGTTGTAAATATAATATCGAGTGTTTATTATGTCTAAGACACGAGAAAATAAAATCAGATATGACACGACAACAAAGATGTATACAAAATGTTAAAAAGACCATAAACATTCATGTGTCTATAATAATCAAACTGACAAGATATTCTTTTGTATGATTTACAGTTGTAATATTAAAAGTTTATCACTTTTTTTTTCTTTTTCTATAAATAGATTTTCTCGTATAAAAAAAAGAAACTTGTCAACTTTTAATTTTATTTCAATAGAATTTTTGATGACCTTCTTTTTCTCTCCCTCTTCTTGTCAATTTACTCATTTTAGCTTATATATGCCATTCATTTTAAACATCCAGTTGTACACGTAAAATGTGTTTGTATTGAACAGAAATACATACGCACACATAGTCGGGTAAATATCAGAGAGAAGAAGAAAAAAAAAGAATGTTGTTATGTTTTGTACGAGGAACAAGAGAATAGAGAGGATTGTATGTTTGCGCCTACACTCGTGCACTAGTCTAATGACCGAACGAAACGAACGAGAGAGCTAATACGATTTTTTTTCTTCTTGTCTATCTGTCTGTACGTGCTTACTCTCGTCCAAACAACATCAGCAGTTTAACTTGTATTTCCTTTCGATGAAGAAAATAAGAGAAGAAAATTGATCATTCATCCACATCGATAACGTATGTATATTGTGTGTGTCCTTCATGTTGAATAGACATTCATCAATTTCTTTATTTCTTTTTCTCGTTTTTTTAATAAATAGAAAGAAAAAAAAATGTATTGACCTTGTCGGAATATAACACTAATCGAATGTTTCTTTCGTCTTTTTTCAGTATCTTTCTTGAATGACTTGGTGTGCTAAAATTTATGATATATTTAATGGATGGACTGATGATGAACATGAATTACCATCAACACCAGCTGCGAAATCAATTAATGGCCTACCAGAAACATCATTATCATCGCAGATTGCCCGTCTTAATTCAATGCACGATGCCCCATATCTTGAGAGATCTCATTCGATATCAAGTATAACTAATCCAACAAATTATAAGAAAAAAAAGTATATATATATATATTAAAAATTTAATTATTAAAGTTAATTAAAAAATGTTTTTTTTCTAAAGTCATGATCGTTATTTTTCATATGAAAATAATTGTTATTCTCAAGAACAAAAATCTTATGGTGTTGCAACAATGTAAATAATTAGTTTTTTAAGATTTTTTTAATAATTATTTCTATATTTATTTTAGTTCAAATATGTCACTCAATCTTCCATCTTATTCAAAGTATGTTGAAATTTCTTCTTCTTATTCTTCTTCTTCGTCTTTTTATACATCTGTTCATAATCAGTCGTTATCTTAATTGAAGGAGAATGTGAGATTGATTTAAGATTTTTTTTATCTTATATATCGATTATGTCAATATTTTCAAAGATTTACATATCACCCCCGCCAACTGGCATCTTTTCTCTGTTTTTCTTTTCTTTATAAAGATATAATCATATCATATTCAATGTTTCTTTTTTTTTTATCTTAAGGTATATGGGAAGCACAAACGAATATTTTCAAGAACAACAGCAATTGGCAAGAAGTTATTCATTTGAATTACGTCGCAATAATTTTATGTTACCATCTGTTGATAATAATAATATATCACCTGCTGTCAGATATCCAACAGCTCAACAACGGAATATGATAGAAAAACCATTACGATCATCTTCAATTAATGTTCTGACGAATAATAATAGTTCGATGATTGCTAGTCGAATGTCATTACCCAATAGACAGGTATTTATAATTGAAAGTAACGTAAGAGAAATAGTTTCCTTGAAAAGTGATTATATTATTAGTTACTTTGTTAGAAGGCTTTTTGTCTTTTGATAAGGAATTGTTTTTAAATTATTGAGTAGATTTTTTTTTGCTTTATCATATGAATCGTTTTGATATCTATCTGTAACTAAAATATTTTGATGATTGATTGTAATGATTAAAGATCGGCATAAGTGTTAGTCGTTACAGTTATAATGAAAATTCTCAAGGTCATGACTGTGACTAAATTCTACTGATAAATATTCAGTTATCGACTTGGCTTCATTTCAATTATTCACTATAAATCATTGTCTATATACTATTATTAAAAAATACAAAATATAGTACAAAGAAATTTCTATTGAAAATAAAACAAAATATTTTCGAAATTAACAATTTTAATTATAGTGATAGCTCTAATCATGATTGAATATCTAGGTCATGGTTTAATTAGAATGTTAATATGATTGATTAACATCTTTTGTTAAACCATAAATTTCATTTCATTTTTTAATATATCGATACAATCATGAAATTATGAAATCAGTTGAATAGTGGAAAGGTCAAGTGTAGTTATTATAAGTTTCTGTTAGAAATTAACATATTGCATAAATTTATTCAAATACATAAATTGATTGAATACTTTTAAAATACAAAATAGACGTAGACTTTTTTTTCTTTTTGTCTTGTTTATTCATATATACACACATATGATATTCTAGGAACCATTATGTCCACGATTATCAACACGTTCTTCCTACTCAGTTCCTGAATATGAAACTAATGATATTCCATCGAGTAACAATGAGCAAGTTGAACAAGCAATACAATATTATATAAAAGAAGTATGTTTGAATTATTTTCTCTAGTGACTTTTCTACATTTGTCACCTTTACTTTTTATTTGACAGTCAAATAAAAATACGACATTTCTTTCTAAAAATCTCCTGAGATTTTAATCGATTATATACTTTTTTTTCTTTCTCTGTATTCAATAGATGTTAACATCATCACCAAATAGTATATTTCCAATGGTTTATAGTTTTCCGCCCAATGATATGTTACAATACAATGATCGTTGTCGTATTGAAGGTGGATATGATGAACCATCTCAATGGATAATTCAAACAAAAATCGCTCCTGTTGAATGTCGAATTATATCTGATAATGTTGCTTCAATTTATTCAACTTATTTTTATGATCAAGTAAAATTTCATTTTTTCTTTCAATTACCTATGTATATATTTAATATTTAGTATCATTATAATTTATTTGCAATTGATGATAATTCAAATCCAGTAATTATGTCAATAAAACCACATGAGAATAAATTAACAATAATTGTTCGTACAAAAGAAAGTTCACAATGTATGGATTTAATTGAAAATGATTCGAATTCAATTGATTATGTTTATTTATCAAAACAACTTTATCCAGATTTACAAGTTGATCATTTCGAGAATTGCGCAACTTTAAAAGTAAAATATGAGAAGAAAGTTTTTCTCTATTGAATAAATGATTTTTCTGTAGGCACAACAATTTATAAAAGCATATGATGAAAAACTAGAAACACATAAATTTAAATTTGGTGTTATTTATCAAAAACGTGGACAAGTAAAATATTTGAATTATAATATGTAAATAATTATTTTCTGTTTTTAGACTACAGAACAAGAATTTTTTAATAATGAAAGACATGGACGAGCATTAGATGAATTTCTTGATATTATTGCTACAAGAGTTTCATTAAAAAATTTTAAAGGGTATTAAATTTCGAAATTTTTTTCTGTTAGTTAAACATTTATATGATTTAGTTATCGAGCTGGACTTGATGTTAGTGAACAAACAGATTGTCCAATATCTTATTATGAATTATATGATCAAAAAGAAATTATGTTTCATGTTAGTACATTATTACCATTTACACATACAGATACATCACAAATTCAACGTAAACGTCATATTGGAAATGATATTGTTACAATTGTTTTTCAAGAAGAAAATACACCATTTCATCCAAGTATGATCAAATCAAATTTCCTACATGTTTTCCTTGTTGTACAACCTGTACAAGTACTTTCAAGAACATGTTATAAAGTAAGATTTCAACTTTTTATATATACAATTAGTAGCGTAACCAGGATTTTGTCCTAGGGAGAGCCTAACTTCATACTGACCGAGATTTTGCGGTAAGGAGGTTGAGGTCCATATTTTCTCAATCAAGAATGTCTAACAGTCTGAGAGATTCTCGAAATTTCCTAGGGGGAGCTACGGGGCGCGAAGCTCCCCCGGTGGTTACGCCACTATATACAATGAATTTTAGAAGAAATAGAATGAAAATTAAACTAACCCTCCCCTCCCTACAATGGAAAGCCCTTCTGAAACAAATATCGAGGAAAACGCCCTAGGAGGGTAGGGAGATTTTTCCACAAAAAAACATGCAAGTTCCGAAACCATAATAGAAGGCCTCGGTCCTTTTATTACGAGGAGGGGTTTATAATTCTGATAGAACATACTTCCATATCGAGTAAATACTTAATCCAGAGATATTGTGTAATATAAAAAATATCAATTGATTTTGCAGAATTGTTTTATTAATACATAATAATTTCTTTAGATGACAATAGTCACTCGTGATGATATTAAACCATTTCCTCCGACTCTTCATCGAAATGTTGTTTATGTTCGTACTGCTGAACAATTAAAACCATTTATTCTATCGAAATTAATCAATGCGGAATATGCGGCATATCGTTGTCGAACATTTTCTTTGTTACAAGAACGTACACGTTGTTCATATTTAAAAACATTATGTGAAAATTTAACGGAAAAATCTTATGATTCGTTATGTGATGAAAAAAAACGTGCAAGTAATCGTCGTTTATCAATATTATCAAATTCATCTAAAAAACGTTATTTTTCGAATGTGAAAAAAATTTTTACAAGAAGTAATAGTACACCGGATGGTCCACAACCATCATCATCATCAAATAAATCTGAACAAATAATAAATGATAAAGTATTTATAGCAAAAGAAAATATTCGAAAATGACATTCAATTTTTAGGAACGACGAAAAAGTGGAAAAAGATTATTACGGTTAGGAAAATCAATTGATAATGATAATGATAATGATAATCAGCGTTCATCGATTGCAGTTTCTTTACCCGAGTATGAATTAAAAAAAAGTACATTAAATTTATTTAAAATTCTATTTATTTTTACAGCCATGAATTAACACGTGAAAATGATTTAATTAATCGGTAAAAGATTAGTTTTTCTTTTCTTTAAATTTAATCTTTATGTATACATTTAGACGTGGAATACGTCGAAGCAATGAAAGTTTAGATAGTAGTAGTGATTTACCATCGTTAGAACAACGTTCAGCAATACAACAGTATCCAGTACGTTCGATACATACATATTACGGAGATGAATCTGATGAAGGATTGGTAAATAGATTTATTTACATAATAAAAAATGATAATATATTATTGAAACTTATAGGATAGTATGTCATCAGCAGATACAGCTTTTTCGCATAATCATAATCGACCACCATACGATAGTGATGATCAAGATGGTAAAGAATTTTTCTTTATAAAAAATAACTTTAAATTTCTTTTTTTCTATATTTTATAGCTTATAGACAACAACTTCGTGAAAAATCTCAGCCAACTCATATTGTAAACTATTGCAATATTTATTTATCTAATAGAAAATTATTTTCTTTAATATTTAGTCTCATCCATGGCATCGTGTGTCTGGACAACGTCAAGGCAATATACAGATCTATACACCACAAACAGCTGGTATTCACATAAGTGAAGCAGCAACTGTTTAAATAGAATCTTATGATCTGATTTGTTTTTCATATGTGGTCATTTTTAAGAAAAATGTACTCTCTCTCACTCTCTAACCATACATACACGTATATATATATATTTGTTTTATTTCGTTTTCGTTTTTTTTTCTGTTCTTGTTGTCGTCGTTATACTATATGCATTATTCTACAGAGATTATTTTTTTTCTTCTGGCGTGCATTAATATATAGACCTTTGATTTTTTTCAAAATAGACGATTGTATATATATATAAAGGAGATTTCAATTGAAGGATGATTTATAAATAAAAAAAATCGGTTGATTTTGTGGATGCTTCTTTTAAATATATTTTGTTTTAAATTATTCAATGTAAAGAAGAGACGAAAGTTTCAGATATCTTGATTTCAATATATGTATTTTTTCTAAAAATGACGATGAAATTTTCATTACATACTTATCAAGTTTTAACAGTATTTACTTGACTCTATTAGATGTGAGAAATACGTCATGCTCTCATTTAAAGACTTAAATGTGTTTTTTGAATGTGTTAAAAAACACTTAGACCAGTCGAGTTCAATTATTATCAAATCATATTTATGAATACAGACCAATTGATCTTTATGTATTCATCGACTCCATTACTTGCAAATAAAATTCAAGCATAATATCACAGTATAATCTCTACTAAATTAATGAATTCAATATATTGTATTAAATGGTTTTTTTAAGCTCATTAAATGCCATATAACTTACGTAATCGAAACTATATTGAGATGTAGTTTTGATGACAATAGAAAAGATAAATCCTCAAAAAATTACATGTATATTAGATTTATCATTCTAATGAAACTGCTTAAGCAATATACCTAATGATTTCTCGTATTGTAGTTGATGTATGAGTAACTTCTAAAGATTAATTTTTGTGACTACGCTTCATCAAATTTCAACGCGCATTCGTGTTCACCGTTAGAAATACTTATTTCACATTTCAATAAGCGTATTCATAACATCTACCTATTGTATATGATATACAATTTCGAAAAAAAGTTCATTTGTTAGTGGAGCAATACTACTCAATAGGTAGGAAAGTGACTAAATACATCTTTAAACTAAAAATTTTGTATGTTCTTCTTCTCCTCTCATCATCACCATCTTCTTTCTTTTGATGATGATAATATATGCGGTATGTCAAAACCAAAATTTCTTGTATGAATTAAAACACAAATTCAATTACATCACTTAATATTCATTAAATCTTTATATGGCCAATTTCAATAAAAATAAGCAAGGCTAATCTCTTGGATTAGCTAATACAAAACACAAACATTTCACTTTTTTTTCAAATATAATCGATAAATTTAACGAAGGCTAGACATAATATAAAACTCATAAGAAATTTCATCTATGAATAGAAAAGTAATAAACATTAACGGAAGTTTTATCGAAGTACTTTTTTATTCGAAAAAAAAAGAAATATGACAAATTTTCTTTTCTTTTTTTTTTGAATATATTGACTATGCAATTTTATTCGAGGTCATATATTGTATTACCTTTAGTCGTAGCATGGGCACTTGTCTCATCGTTATTAATCATTTAGTAATCGTATTCAATTCAATAAATTTTACTTTCTCGGTAATGAAAATGACATAAACTATTCTGATTTGAATCTTATCATAGATGAAAATTTACTTTTATTTCATATTGGTCAATTAAAAAAATAAATAGATTCTCTTTTGGAATAGGTGCAATATACATATTCAAGGTTTACAAAGAAATTATAAGATTAAAAGAAACTATGCAAGTCAAAATAGTTAATACAAGATTGTCAAAGACATGACACGTTTATATATCATCGATTGTCTTCCTTATTTAATAAACAGCTTAGATCAATAAGAAATCGAATCTTTAATATGCACGTTTTGTCCCTCTATATTTTTATGATTCTATCGTGAAAAAATGCATATATATTTGTGGATTTTCGGCTTCATTTTACTTGCTTATTTTCATATGTGAATTTTTTTTTTACTTTACATCATGTAAAATCACTGAGGAAAGGAACCTTCATGACCAAGGTTAACGTCTCTTTGATATGAATATTATAAACCTGAATAAACTATTGTCTTATTTTATATATTCAATTTAGTGTACGTCATATGTTTTTTTTTCTGAGGAAGAAGGTCGTCATTTTCTTTCTATATAGAGAAAAAAAAAGAATACTTAACAAAACAGTGTGGACATAGTCATATATTGATACGATCAAAGCAAGAAAACATCAAGCAAACAAGTGTTAGAATATTAATTATACCAGTCATTATTGTCTATATACTAATCCAGACATTCTGACCTTTTGATTAAACTAATCGATGAACATTTTCGGAATATGATGAAAAGAAAATCGATTGCATTAAACGCATCGGATTTCTTTCAATACAAAATAGACTTCATTTATTCGTCATACCGATCTAAAAATAAGCGAAACATTACACGATATCGTTTATATTGTCCTTGATTTTGCTGGTGCCATCAGACACACGAACATTGTGCATTACCAACTAAACAGGTAGGTTACATCATTTGAATCGCTCTTTTTTTTTCAATATATATATATGAGGATGTATGTTCTATGTATTTCGCTCTTCTCGGTTTTTTTTCTACCGTCATGCAAATATTGCCCACACATGCTTGTTCTCGCATGTACCTTGTCGTCCCCACTTGTCGTAAATGTTTTTGTCGAGATACTTAAGTAAAAAAAACTTGAAATCACATATATATATATAGAAACAGTTTTGACTGTTTTTCCTATTTCACGAACTCAATTATTATTACTATCAACAAATAATTATTTACCTTATCAGCAAGAAGAAAAAAAAGTTGTCAGGTAAGAATAACAAATTTAAGATACGAGAAAAAAAAAGAAGAAAACATACACAGTAGATAAATTTCATGACGCTATTACTATAAAAACATTATCATCGTCTTCTTTTTTTCGTCAAGTTAATATATCAGGTAATTTAATATTTCATTTTCTCGCCTTGAAATAGTGAATTATATATATATATGTTTCTATCTATATATATATATATATTTGATCTTACTGTATATAGTTCTTGATTAAGTATGACATGATTGAATGAACAAGAAAGTAATAACAAATAAGTGACCATAATATTCATATATAGATGTGATTGTCCATCAAAAAAAAAACGAAGCGAAAGAATCCTTGACATGAATAACCGAGATAGGTATGTGTGAATAAGAACAAATATGCTCATTTGACATTTGTCAAATAGCGAGACAAACGAGCGGATGTATATAGACGTATTTTTATTGTTATGACTTTTGATCATTTATTGATTGATCAGGATAAGAAAATATATGTACACCTATGTGAATTTAGTTTTTTTTTAATCGAAATTGCAAATAAAAGTCTTCGTTCATAGTTACCCTATGACTATTCTTCAGTATTAGTCTGTGTATATATATGATGAACATGTGCGTCCAATTTATTCTGGCATTTCATTTTTCTGATTGTTTGATCTATGTCTGTTTGTATATCCAACATAAGAAAAAGAAAAAAAAGAGTTTACATTTTATAACAGCACGAGAGAAAAGATCACTATATTGGTGCATCATACATTTGTATGCTTGTCATCGTTAATATTGATTCAACGTTAAAGTGTTGTTATACCTATCTCACGTTCATAACAATGATTAGTTTTATGGCAATTATGGCTGAATATTGGTGGAGATGGAGATTGAATAAGCAAGTATACAATCGTATGTATTGAGACATCATTTTGTAAATGATGCATACATGAAGATTATTATCGATTTCAATAGAATATGTGAATGAAGAGGTGGTGTCAGCTTTTGTTCTTTAATTTTTGATCAATATATTACATCATCTGTCTCTCTTTCTTTTATAGTTCTGTAATTATGTAGAATAAGGTGTGATCTACCACACATTTGTATACTTCTCTGTCTTCTTTCATTGTTCAATTTAATTTGGACATACAAGTTTAAATTACTCTTACTCACGCACATGAGGAGTATAGCATAGTTATTTCAACGCCTTCTGTCCATCATACTAATGATGATGAACAAAAAGAAAAAAACAGATACTTTAATCTATCTTTTATTTTAATGTGAGGTCATAGAGCATGGGCGATGCTGTTGGACCGTATAAAAAAAGGGGGACTAAAATGAATTTTGAATCAATGTATGAGAAAAAAGGACACGAGAGGACATAATAAAGAGAAAAAGAGAAGCGAGGACGAAAGACAATGACCGAAGGGAGTGCAATATGTTCTATAATATAAAAAAAAGCCATTCATTCATGCGTCAAGCAGTAAGGAAGACCGAGAATTGAAGAGGAGAAGAAAAAAAACGAGAGGGAGAGAGAGCGAGAAATACAGTTGTTCATTCCAACTAATCATAATCATATGAAAGTTATAGAGTAATAGAAAAGGAAGACTATGCGTTGTAAGTAAACAAGTGTGATCGATTTAATGATACAATTTTTATTTTCGTGATTATATTTTAGTAAAACAAATTCACACGATGGCTACGGCTATTGAACAATTAATGATTGATCCACAATCCCGTTTTCTTGAAATGAAATCTCTCCAACCTTATTCAACAACAGATGAATATTTATATGCAATGAAAGAAGATCTTGCAGATTGGCTTTCAAATATGTATCCAGAATGGCGTCCAATCACAGCTGATAGTTTTGTTGAATGTTTAGGTAAGAAATTTTAATAGAGATAACATAAATATTTTTATTTTATTAGTAAACAATAAAATAATAATAATCATTTGTTATTCTAACATTCTTCTCTTATTATATGTTTATTGATTTTTCTTGCCTTTAGCGCATAGAACAATAATATAAATTTCAAGTATTCGATATATACTTAATCCATCATATAAGATGCATTAAATTTCATAACATTTTAATTTCTGAATCTAAATAAACTTGTAATTTTAAAAATTGAGGTCTTTCTTTTTGGTTGATAGCTTGAGGCAATTCTTTTCCTTCTCGCATATTACAAAGTTAAAAGAGGAATAAATTGTAAGGATGACTAAGAACAAATGATGCAAATATAACAACACAGACAGACAGACAATTGACTGATTATTCCCGGAAGCCATTCAGTTTAAATGGATTATATTCGGACATTCTATTCATTGAAAGATGTTCATCTTAAAACGTTGACCGATTGGAAAAAAAATGCACATTATATGTTCTATTCTTTTTTTTGATTCATAGAAAATGGTGTTCTTCTTTGTCAACATGCTAATAATGTTAATAATGCTGCACGTAAAGCTTATGCTTTGAAATTAGCATCGCCATCATTATCTTCTACACTTGAAAATTGTAAATATCGTTCCGATGCTCGTCCTCAAACATTTAATGCACGTGATAATGTTTCACAATTTATAAAATGGGCACGTCGTGTTGTTGGTGTACGTGAAGTTTTAATGTTTGAATCCGATGATTTAATTTTACGAAAAAATGAAAAAAATTTTCTACTTTGTTTACTTGAAATTGCGCGTTTTGGTTCACGATTTGGTGTTAGTGTACCAGCTATAATACAATTAGAAGATGAAATCGAACGTGAAATTCAACGTGATAAACAATCAGAAATTATGTCATTTACGGAATTAAGACGTTTACAACGAGAAGAAAATCAAAAGAATAATTCACATTCTTCTTCTTCTTCACATCATGGAAAATATAGTAAATTATTAAAATTTGTTCGAAATGAAAACTCAGATTCAAATCATAACCATCATCATGAAACAACGAAAAATTCTTATAATACTTTTTCATTGACACATTCAAATGGTGCTAGTTGGTTACGACAACGTATATCGCGTATACCTAAATTTGCACAACATAATAGTAAAAAAAGACAAAGTAGTGGAGAAAGTAATGATAGTATAACATATAGTGATGTAACCACCACACTTGCATCGAACAAAGAACAGCGAATTCCACAAATTAGTCGAACTTTAGGAGAAAATGAAAATAGAAGTGAAACATCAACGACATCATCACAATTACATAAAACAGTAAATTGTGTAATCAAATATTGAAATCAATAAATTTTGAATTGTTCTAGGTAGTACAAATGACAAATTCATGTTGTTGTGCACAACGTTTTCCTGTTATACGTCTTGGCGAAGGAAAATATCGAATTGGTGAAAGTGGAACAGTTATTTTTATTCGAGTATGATATCAAATTAAGCTGATCATTGATTAATGATTTTTTTTATATATAGATTCTTAGATATCATGTTATGGTTCGTGTTGGTGGTGGTTGGGATACTCTTGAGAATTATCTTAACAAGCATGATCCATGTCGACGTCCAGGAAGTAAGTGTATAAATATTAACATTTATTTAATACATTAATTTCTATGAAAAGGTCATCGTCGATTAGAACTTAATGATCATCATACAAATATCCCGATTCTAGCTATACCAACTAATACTGTATCATCTAGTTTTCCAAAAGTAACTCCCTATGGTAAATCAGTAACTATAAAAACAGAAGAATTTCCATTATCGAAACCTACAATTTATGATACAAATCTAACTAATGCTCAACTTCTTGTTACTCGTGATCCCGATGGACGTCATCATATTGGTCAAATAACATATAAAAGTGAAGAACATCTTGATCAACAACATTCATGTCCTCATCATCATTATAATCAACCAACTACTTTTACACCAAAAGTAAGAAGTGTTCGTGGTAGTGGATATTCAACTCCATCACCTATGTTTACTAAACAATCATCACCGAGTACTGATCAAGATTATTCATCTTATACACCATCATCTTCTATAGACACTAAAACAACAGATACATTTACGAATGAAAGTCAATCAACTCAATATACTAAAACTGATTTCATTCTTCGACAACCATCTCAATCAAAACTTAACATTGATAATTTTAAAGAAAATCAACAAAGTCCAATACCAATTATTAATAATTCCAAATCAGGATTTACAGAATCAATTATTGAAAATATTGATGGTTATATTACACCAAATTTTGGTGAATCTGAACATGATTTTGATATTAGTGATATTGATGATGTTATGCGAATTAATCGTCATGATGATGATATAACAAATATGGATGAAGATAGTTTAGAAAGTTCTGAAGGTGTTTTAGAAATTAAAAAGAAATCATCAGCACCATTACCACCACCACCACCTTCAATAAATTCAATTAAAAAACCAATTTTACCAAAAATAAAATCAGGTGGAATTTGTACAGCACTTTATTTAGCTCAAAAACAAAAACAAGCATCGGCTTTTAAAAGACCACAAACAATATCAACATATTCACGTTCAAATACATTACCAAATGTTGTTGAAGCTATAAAAATCGAAGAAAAAACAATAAAATCATATCGAAAACCATCACCTGGTACACAACGATCAAAATCAACCGATTTATTAGATAAAAATCAACATAATGATATATCAAAACTTGATCGAGATTCAGGTTTTGATGAACAAGATTTTCGTTGTGAACGTTTACATTCAAGTTATGATGATAATTCAAGTTTCTCATCTTTAAAAAGTGGACGTAATTCCGTAGGTCGTTCATTATCATCTGATCTTAATGGTCAAATCTATCGAGAAAATAAAGCTTATGAATTACGTTTAAAAGCTCTTGATTATACACGAATATTAAATGAACAATCTGCACATGATCCAAGATTATATATTCGACGAAATTTTAATTATATATCAACACGAACAAATGATATAAGTCAACTATCTACACATAGATACAAAAAAAATACTCAATTAAATTTATTTTCTAAATACTAATAATAATTGTCACTTCCTTTTTTTATTGTGCACAGTGATTTTATTATATTTCTTTTTCACAACCAAATTCATTTCCGAAAATATATATATATACATCTGGTATAGTTTTTATTTTCTGTAAGGATTTCGATCAATGACAGATCTATAGAATCAAGAACAATATATGAGTTTTTGTATGAAAATAATCCAATTATTTTCTTATTTTAATTAAACAATGTTAACAAAAAAAATATATTAAACAATAATCATTTCTTATACTGAATCTTTTCGAATACCTGCCCATTTTCCCCAACGTTCGGATTCATTTCTACCCAATCGCGGCTGTTTAAAACGTTCAGCAACTTTTCGATCTCTTTATAAAACAAAGAAAAACACAAATATTGATTCAAATAAAATCTTTTATTCATACGGAATAGCTTGAAATGCGTCAGCCCATGAGTGTCCATGTTTTAATGCCATTAAAATATTATAAATTTTATCTAATGATAATGAACGATTAGCATTACTACCGAATCTAAATAAAATAAAACTAAATATTTGTCTTTATATATTTTGTTTTGATAATACTTTAAATATCGTTCTAATGGTAATCTCTGATGTTTTATATTATCTCTTTTCGCTTTTGCTAATGATATAGGTCGTCCACCAAGTCCTATGATAAATCAATGAAAAATTTCATTCGAAAAAATCAACGAATTTTATTTTACCAGTATCAATAATAGCACCAATAATATATACAGCATTATGATTATATTCTGACATTTCATATGGACTATGTGGTGATAAATAAATTAAATTTTCTTTATCAACTAAATCTAAATAATTTGCTTCCGTTGTTTGAAAACAATTTATACTACGTTTTTGACTTTGACGTCGAGAAAATTCTTGTTGAAGTTGTCCATCAGTAGCAAAATTACATAGTGTTACAAATGATGGTGAATGATATGCATGTATATTAGCAAAGAAAAATTCAATTTGATCAACTAATTTTGATGTATATTTAGATCGAGCATGGTCAACTTCATAACCACAATCAACAAGAACATGTTCATTAAGACGAGCTTGAACGATTAATTTATTATCACGTAAATAACGTTCGGTATGACCACCACTTATTTGACGAAACATTGAATGATAACCGGGATAATTTGATAATGGAAGACCAGCTTCAGCTAATTCAACATGACGTTCAGCATTTTTAATACGTCGCTCTTGAACAGCAGCTTTTTCAGCTATTCGTTTTCGTTTAGATACTTCACGAACAAAAAGATAATTGTATATTGATTTACGATTATTTAATAACGGAGATGATACTAATTCAGGCCAATATTCTTCGGGAACATTATCAGGTACACGTTCACCACTTTCACGTAGTGTTTGAATTCTAAAATTGAATAATAATTTTATTATTAATATTTAAATAAAAGAATGATAACGTACTCAAGTAAAATTACTTGACGTTTTTGTTCATTATTCAATGATTGATAGGATTGACGATGCCGTAAATATTCCCAAAGCCATTCATTATTTTCTTTTATTGATGATGATTGATTTGTATCTTGGATTGATTTCGGAGAAGTGAGATTAGCTAAATTTCGGTAATGATATAATAACGTATTAGAACGAAAAATAAAGTTGGCTAAGGGAGAAACTGTTCGGAACATAATATATCTTAAATAAAACCTTTTCAGAAAAGATCTTAGTGGAATTTATCCAATATTTTATTTAATTTGTCTATTATTGACTTATGAAATACTGGAATGATAGATGGCTTTCGGAGTTGGCATAAGAACAACTTACCATATATATTATATTCACATTGTTTGATAGAATCAAATTATTTATCTCTCAGAAAATGTGAATTACATTGCTTATCGTTTTAATATTAATTATAATTTTCGAAGCCTTATTTATAAAGAAATTTTGGTAAGTTTAACCCTATAAACTACTGAAGTGGAACTATAGTTTCCAATCACCTTGTTCAAAGTTTTCTCCAATCATATCATTGATTTGGACACGTTTATCCCTTTCATACACCAGATAACCTTATTGTATTTAAGGTAACTGCGTATTTTTTTCTATCATATATCATTACAGGCAGGTAATTAAACTGCGTAGTTTTTATTTCTCCTTTCCGCATATTAAAAAATCTCTAACATTCATTCATCGTTATACATTTATAGTACATTAGCTACGAAAAAACAGTCACATTCAAGGTAACAGATATGGACCATAAACAGCTTCTTCAATCATATCGAGATGAAATAAACAAATTACATTCGAGATTATCTCAACTAGAAGTCAATTCAGTTGAACAACGAGCTTCTGATGAAGTAAGTAAATGGCGACAAACTTTCGATACAACTGCATCAAAAGGAATGGAACAAATACTTAATAAAATGGAAAAAGAGAAACAAGCAGAAGTCAATCAACTAACTAGCGAATTACGAGATTCACTGAACGAATTCAGAGAACATCAGTTTAGTCGTCTTGCTGAACTTGATGCTTTTATCTTAAAAATAAATCCTGATGATGAAATTCAATTCGATTATGTTAAATTTCAACTTGATTCAATTCTTAGTACAGTAAATTCTCTTCATATCAATATTACTGCACAAACAGTTAATCGATCGAACCGACGACGTTTATCAACTCCACTTGCTCAAAATGGACTTGAACTAACTAAAGTATTTGAATTCAAAACTCCAGAAGTCCCTCCTAGTTTTATGGATCGACAAAAAAATTTTGTTCGTCGTCTGTCAAGTGCTGGTGCAAGTTATTACAACGTCTATGGCACATAACATCAAGGGGTAAACTACATTTCGTACCATCCTTTTCGAACATTCTGTTTTCTTTCATATACTTCGTTCCGAACATGCTTACTATTCCATGTTCGGAATGGATAGGTGGTACGAAATGTAAATTTTCCATACCAGACACTTTTTTAAAATATGTAATATATTTTCTTTCCTATAATAAACCAAGAATTTAATCAACATGTGTTTACTGAGATAAACATCAGACGAAAAACTAATATCGTGTTTTACTGTCATAGTACATCTATATATAGATATAAACAGGATGTCTAAATATTATACCAATGATTTCGACAGGTTATCACTTACATAAACTAGATAACCTTGATTTATTTAACGTAACTGCGTAATTTTTCTATGATATATCATTACAGATAATTAACTAAACTACGTTATTTGTGTTTCTTCTTTCCGCGTTTTAAAAAACTTCCAACATTGATTCATCATTTTATTTTTAGAGTATATCAATTACGAAAAAACAATCACATTCAAGATAATAGACATGGACCATAAACAGATTCTTCAATCATATCGAGATGAAATAAATAAAATACATTCGAGATTATCTCAACTAGAAGTGAATTCGGTAGAGCAACGAGCTTCTGATGAAGTACGTAAATGGCGACAAACTTTCGATACATCTTCATCAAGAGGCATGGAACAAACACTTAATCAAATGGAAAAAGAGAAACAAGCAGAAGTCAATCAACTAACTAACGAATTACGTGATTCACTCAATGAATTCAAGGAACATCAATCTCATCGTCTTGCTGAACTGGATACTTTTATCTTAAAAATAAATCCTGACGATGATCTTCACTTCGATTATGTAAAATTTCAACTCGATTCCATTGTTAACAAAATAAATTGTCTTCATACCAATATTCTTGTACAAACAGTTAATCGATCGAAACAACGACGTTTATCAACTCCACTTGCTCGAAATGGACTTGAACTAACTAAAGTATTTGAATTTAAAACTCCAGAAGTACCTCCTAGTTTTCTTCAACGACTGATAAATTTTATTCGTTGGCTATCAAGTCTTGGTGCAAGTTATTACAATGTCTATGGCAATTAACATCACAGACATTTTTGAAAATATGTAATATATTTTTTGTTTCTTATAATAAACCAAAAATATACTTCAACATGTTTTTATTGTCATAGTACATCTATATGTAGATATAAACAGGATGTCTAAATATTATTCATTGATTTCCACCGGTTATTCATTCCATATGCTAGATACCCTTTTTTGTGGTAATTGGGTATTTTTCCCATGAAATATTATTATTTTTCAAATATTTAATTGAATTGCGTTATTTTTTTACACTAAGAAATTTCCAACATTGATTCATCGTTATACTATATAAGCATATTAATTATGAGGAAACAGTCATATTCAAGGAAACAGGCATGGATCATAAACAGATTCTTCAATCATATAGAGACGAAATAAACAAAATACATTCGAGATTATCTCAACTAGAGGTGAATTCAGTAGAACAACGAGCTTCTGATGAAGTAAGTAAATGGCGACTAATTTTCGATACATCTTCATCAAAAGAAATGGAACAAATACTTAATAAAATGGAAAAAGAGAAACAAGCAGAAGTCAGTCAGTTAACTAACGAATTACGTGAGTCACTCAATGAATTCAAAGAACTTCAATTCAATCGCCTTTATGAACTTGATGCTTTTATCTTAAAAATAAATCCTGATGATGAAATTCAACTAAATTATGTTAAATGTCAACTCGGTTCCATTCTTAACAAAATAAATTCTCTTCATATCAATATTCTTGTACAGATAGTTGATCGATCGAAACGACAACGTTTATCAACTCCACTTGCTCGAAATGCACTTCAACTAATTAAAATATTTGAATTTCGAAATCCAAAAGTTTCTTCTAATTTTCTTGATCGACTGAAAAATATTTTTCGTCGTCTATCAATTACCGGTGCAAGTCATTACAATGTCTATGTCATTGAACACCAGAAAATTTTTTAAAAACCTGTACTGTATATTTTTGTTTCCTATAATAAACCAAGAATTTAATTCAACATGTGTTTACTAAGATAAACATCAGACGAAAATTTGTATGAAGTTATTTTTCTCGTAGATGAAACAATTTTAGAAAAAGATCATATCGTGTTTTTCTGTCATAACACATGTATATATAGATATAAACAGGATGCGTAAATATTATTCATTGATTTATAATTAAAATAATAACTGATAAACAAGTTTGAAACGCAGTCGTGTGAGACAAATGAATAACCTAAATGAGTAATATGATCACAATCTAGAATTAGTCATGATTGCGTGCAAGAAAGTAATGCAAAATCATTTGTCACCTGTCAATGATGTTGATAGTGTATTGTATATTTATTTGTCAAATCAATTTGTTGTGCAAAAAAAAACGATAATTTGTATTGAGAACAAAATAAAATAAACGAAACAATTATGTAAACGTTTACTAAAAACAATAGTCAATATTTTTCCTTACTACAAGACAGAAAATAGGTCATAAATTTTACTTGTTTTAATTTTCACTCTCAAACGTTTATTAATCATATGCATATCGTCTTTTTATTCAAACATATGAAATAGATCCAATACATGAAAAAATAACATACACTTGATATTAGTCCAAATGACATTGAAACAGCTCATATAATCCATTTATTATAAAAGCACTTGATCACCTGTACGAAGTGGTATTAAATAATATGAAAATTTGATATCAAAGAAATTCAATGCATTGTTAGGCTGTTAAAAGTAGATGAAGTGGTAGACAACAAGTTCATTTGATGATAAAATCATATTATTCATTGCAGCATTTGTCTTTGAGGACACTTCAATATTGATATATGTGTCTACTAAAATGACTGATCATTCCATGCATAAGCAAATCTGTCTGAACGTCCACCCAGCTGTTGTCATTTTCTTTGATTTTTTTTTCATATCTAAGTTACAACAAAAAAGCTTTGATTTTTTTTTCTATGAAGATTTTCTTTTATTTTACAAAAAAGATAAAATCTGACAATTGATTGAAAAGATTGTCCTTGTAATACGATTATAGACATATTATCTTCGGGCAATGTCAAAAGACATTTTTCATTGTTCATTAATTCTTTTTTTTATCCTTGTTAAAAGTTTATCTTCGCCATAAAAACAATACAAGTAACTTTTCATATAAAATTCAAAGAAGATTGTGTCAGATGGATGATTGACCTTTTCTTTCCCCTTTGTTTTAATCGAAGATATATATATATATATATACACGAAGAACATTGATTGTCCAGGGCATCAGCTTAATGTGCAGTCGATATATCGGAACAAAAAATTCAAATGGTGTGAAAATGGCGAACATTTTGTTGCAACACCCTGGTTCTGTAACCGTTTACATAATGTTCTGCATATGAATGTATGTATATATATATATATATATATATATGTGTCCTGTTCGTGCGAGACCATTATCGTTCATTGAACTAATTTCACAATTGTGAATAAGCACAGACATACTAACATTAGAACCAATTGAAATGCATTAACATTCCGTTTTTCTTCTCGCTCTCTCTCTCCTTCCTTCTCTCTTTCTTTTTCTTATATTATAGCACTTCAAATGATCTTTAAAAGAATATTTGAGATTTGTATTCTTTTCATGTGAGTATACATATTAACACTTATTAAAGAGTCACGCAACAGATAGAATAAAAAAAACACACACACACACACTACTTGCTGATATTATGATTATATAGTAAGTATGATGACGATGATGATGAAATCTATTTATTCTTTACGAAGATTTAGTATAGCAACGATACTCTTCAAACTTTCTATGTAAATCAATTTATAGTTCAATTTCGTATCTCTTGATGATTAGAACATAGCATATAGATGATGTGTGAGAGCTTCACACCATCTCTATACATTCGCATTGCGTGTAATCATGTGCATAAGCATAAAGATACTCGAGTTTGCTTGATTAAGATAAGCTTGGTTGCATGAAAAGAGAATGAGAACAGCAAGTGTAGACTATTGTGTTGACCCCTTCATCTATCTCATTTACAAGTCTCGCTTGTCATATATATTTTTTGCCTTATTGAAAATAAACAAATGAAATATGTTTAGAGAGATTACTTTCATTTTCTCTTCACATTTTGACAGTTAAATCAACTCATCATTTTCTTGTTTATCATTTACATTAAACAATTTCTGTCAATAAGCAATTCATGTCATCATTCATTTTTAATTGAGTTTTTCATTCGATGAGCAACAAGGGTATGCGCTTATATTTTTAACTTTTCGACAGTTGATTTTTCATATCAAATTTATTTAATGATTTCACTTGTATATATTTAACCTTAGTATTTTTTATATTCTTTTGACATTTTTGATCGACAGTTGTATATATTGTCGGTTTCATTGATCATTTTAATCCATTAACCAAACTATTAGTAATGAAATTCAACACAAAACAATTCAACTGATTCTTTATGTAATCATTGTACTTCAATAGATTGTATTTACATTAAGAACAAACAATGAATTTAATAGTGTCAATTGTTAATTTTGCACTGTGAAATGAATATATTATTTTCTTGATGTTTATATTACAATTGATTAAAACAAGTTTAATATGTTCATTCGACCATAGAATAAAAAAAAACTATCTTACTTTTAATAACTTAAATGAATGAAAAATATAGTAGAAAGAAAAAACAGTTCATCCCTATTGTTCATAAATAAGAGGAGAAGAAAAAAGAAAGAATAGGACACTTAACTATAGTACATATGTTGTTTTAGGTCGTGAACTTATACATATCATGAAACAAGTTGTACGTTTTATATTTATACTTTTAATTATATTTTATCCTGTAAATGGTAAGTTCGGAATTTTAAAAGAAAAAAAATCTTTTCTTTTTAATGTTAGCTGGATGTCCAAAAGCGACGTTTGAATTTCAAAATAAAACAAAATTAGCATCGTATAATTTTATTGATTCATCTATTGGAAATATTGGATCATTAGAAACATGTCCTTGTAAGTATAAAGAGAAATTCTTCGGAATATTAATTTTTTGTTTTCAATTCATTAGATACTGGTCGTCCTTATGTATATTTACCTTGTTATCCAAACTCATCATGGGGACAAGATCCGTATTTTAGTAATTGTATAACTAAACAAGATTTGAAAACAATAATTCTTAATGAAAATTCATCGCAGAAATTAACAATCGAAAGTTTAGATAAATTATCTATGAATACATCGAATGATGTATCGAATGTTTTGTTTTATTTAAATGAAGAAACAACAAATTTTAAATCATCATCTGATATAACATCAGTTCTAAATGTAATTGATCGTATTATGATGAATAATCAAAATACGAATGGTATTCAATCTAATTTATATTCAACAGCAAATAAACTTTTATCAACATTACAAATGCAAGAAGCTCAACAAATGAATGGACGTGTTGTAAAGTAAGACGTTCGATTTTGTTTTTTTTAAAAAATTCATTTTTTTTTGATAATAGATTATTATCATTACTTGAGACATATTCTCAAAATTTAATGTTTGATGAATTAGAAAAATCTTTTACTCAAACAAACCTTGCTGTATCGATTGTTAATCGACCAAATAGTCGATTAGAACCTATTATCGGTTTTGCATATGGTATGTATAATCATAATTATTATTTATTTATGCTCGTATTTTGTTATGAGAAGATATGCATCATAATGAAATTTCTAGATTTTATTCATTCATTTTCATATGAAGTTATGTCATCAGTATAAGACGACGAAAAAAATATATATATATGCAGCATTGTCACATATAGTGTATATTTTACTATTCATTTCGCGACAACACGTCAGATTATAAAGTGGATAAAAAACGAGAAGTAAATTACATATACATATATAATGAACATTTAATATGTACATAAAGTTAATGGATGAATTATGATCTTATGTTTTTTGTTGATTAACAAATGCTAGATAAGGAGAAAAGTTAAAGAAAGAAAATAAGTGACATTGTTATTATTGTTAATGACATTATTATAGTAATTATAAAGTATACGATACGATTTGAAGGATCGTTTTTACTAAAATTATGAAAGGTGATTTATTGATACATTAGAGAAGATATAATCAAACAGAATTTTGTACTTCTATAAAAGTATTTTAAAGAAGGGTACTACAAATAACTGAAAGGAACAACTAAATTTATAATTTGAATAAAATCATTTACGCATCCGAATATTTTCAAAATTCAATTTTCGTGTGCATCAGAACTCGACTTAACACATATTTTATTTCTATTAAGTGCATAGTTACATAACGATAATTGATAGCTTCTAATAATGAATCGGTACATTATAATAACCTTAGCGCTATAATTACGATAAATCTTACAAGGTTGAATATGATGTAAGACAAACTCTAATCGAGACTCACTTGCATTTTTTTTTGAAATAGTAAAATCGATTTTGTTAATAAAATTTAGATTCAGTTAAAAATGAAACAAAACCAATCAGTACTGAAGTTAATCAACAAAATGTTACTTCAATTGTTCTTAATACACAAGCATTACTACAACAAAATCGTTTAGCATTTTCTGTATACAATCAAAAAGATGGTCTATTCGATGATAATCATTATCGTGTATTAACACGAGTTGTTTCTTTGACGATCGATAAACCTGAAACAGTGAAACATATTGGATCATTTGTTAAAATAAATTTTCTCATAGAAAATAATTATCATGAGAAAAAGAATCCGAATTTAATCTGTGCTTATTGGCATATATTTGAAAATATGACAGCACAATGGTCAACAGAAGGATGTCATATAAGTAATATTACAAAACATAGTGTTACTTGTATGTGTGATCATCTAACACATTTTGCTGTTTTAATGGTTTGAATAAAACAAAAAGTTTCTTGTTTTTTTTTATAATGATTTGTTCTTCTTTTCTTAGGATATTCAACAGAAATCAACGTCAAAATTTGTAGAACAACTTCTATCAATAATAACATTGATTGGATTATTATTATCTTCAATTGGTTTATGTTTAACAATTTTAACATTTATATTTTTTAAGTAAATAAAATCTTCGAATAATCATTATTTTAATGTAATATATATATTTTGTTTTTAAGAAAATTACGTCGTCATTTCAGTCAAAAATCTCTTTTATTCTTATCAATGAATCTTCTTTGTGTTAATATATTATTTTCTATTCTTTGTTTATATACATTTAAACATTTATTATGCATTATTATTGCTAGTTTATTACATTACTTTATTCTATCATCATTTAGTTGGATGTTTATTATGGCATTAATACAATATTTATTATTTGTTAAAGTTTTTCCAACTTCAATAACAGCATTTACGAGAAAAGCAGCAGCATTTTCTCAATGTAAGATTTAAAATATTGAGTATTATGAATTTAGAGTAACAATAAAGATCTAGACAAAATATGTCATTGATGACGGCTGTTTGATTTAAAGCGTCATTCTAATTCTAGTTCTATAAAAAACTTCGTTCGGAATTCTGAATGAAGACTCTTTGTAGAACTATAATAATCAATCGTAGAAAACTGATTATACTTTAATTCTGGATTTTCTATAATATCATATCGTTTCATAAACGTCGAGTGTGTTCCTAGATTAGAAGAGATTGACATGAAAATCGTTATTTTATACAAATAAATTTCTTTTTTAATATTCGTTTGTATTCCTGATAGGAATTATGATACTTTTTGTTTGAGCTGCTACAAGAATGTTCGATCATCCTAAAATAAGCATCTAACGGTTTTGGTCATAAGATTCCTCTGTATATATAATACTTCAAATATCATCTATAAAACCAGTCCCACTATATGTTCATTTTTATTGTTTCATCGAGTCTCGCAAAGCTTGTGGTACCTGGTTTTTGAGTAATACTTGAAGTGCTATATGTATCATGCCCGTCGTCAAAGGATTAAACAGTATGAGCTATACATAATTCATTAAAGTTTTCATGAATTCTCAATATATTCTTTTTAAATAACGAATATTTTTATAGGTATTCCATTGATTCCTGTTCTTATCGTACTTGGTACTGACCCATGGAACTATACGAAACGAACTGATCATATGTAAGAAGTTTAAAAGAGAAAAAAAACTTACTGATTTATTTATTTTCTTTTAGTTGTTGGTTGTCAAATTTACCTTTTTATTTATCATTTATTTTACCAATTGTTTTGTATATTTTTACAAATACTATCCTCTTTTCTATAGTAGCCTATTCACTTTTATGTGGTAAAACAGCACGACAATTACAAAGTACACAAACTTCAGAATCTCAACGTTTATCACGATTTACTGTTGCATTAAGTTGTTTTATCGTTCTTGGTCTTACTTGGATATTTGGTTTATTTGCTATTGGACCAATTCGTATTATATGTCAAATACTTTTTTGTATATTTGCTTCTCTAACAGGTTTTTTAATATTTATTCTTTATATAATAACATCAAAAACTAAACGAACTTGTTGGAATAGTAAGTTGATTTCTTTCTCTATGTCTTTAAAACTTATTTCATTACTATAGATACTTTTAAATCTCTTGGTATTTCATCAATTTATTCTCCAACATCATCATCATCATCTGGTTTTCTTGGTAGTAAAGAATTTTCTATAACATCAATAAGTGATCAAAAACTATCGTCACGTCATTCACAATATCCATCTCAACCTCAACATTTTATTGATGCATATATGCCATCATCACCACCACCACCAGCTCCACCATTATTACCACCACCTCAACCGCCATTATTAATAGAAGGCGATGATTCAGTATATACAACTAATATGACAAATCATTTTTATGAAGCACGACATGTTTGGGCACCACATACAAACTATATTTATGAAACAAATCAACCGACAACATCACTTGATGATTATTCTCTGTTCTATGCTTCAAATCATGATGCAACAAAACTTTAAAAACCTTCATTTTTTATCTGTTTTTTCCATACAGTCAGATGTATGTGTGTGTAACAATCCGGTTGTTTTGTTTAATTCATTTTCTTAATTATACATAGATATTATAAAAATGTACTGCTTTTTTTTCCTCTGTATTAATCTTTTCATATATGATTATATTTGTATCTGTTTTTTACATAGAACAAACACGTTGAATAAGTAGAACTTTCAGGAATATTTAAGATTATTGAAAATCAGTTGATTCAGATGAACTAAATGAAATGAATTATAGCATAATTTACATAAGAGAAGAATTTTATTAGATATATATAATCATTAACCGAAAAAAAATATTTGAACTAGTTGAATTAATTTATTTGAGTTTACCCCATAATGGCGTTGTATCGATGTCTGATATGATCAATGTATCCTTTGCTTGTTCAACCAAATCATCAACAAGTGTTTGATGATGTAAATTTTCGGAGTAAATATCAGCTGATAATGTAATTAGATCTAACATATATTTAATAAGAGCAGCAAAATGCAGAGCAGCTTCCATATAAGTATATCGATAAAGCATATATTTCCAGAGAATTTCTACGTACATATTTTGACTTCCAAGAAGACGAAAACTACCATTAATTAATGCATCTGAATTCATATTTTTTTTATCAAAATTAACCGTATAACAATTTGTTGAAAAAGCAAAAATAATATGCATAATTTTCACTAAAGTTGAATCATAAGTAAGATGACTAGTAATTGATTTTGCTCGATGAACTATATCATATCCATACAATGGTACTATCACTTGTTCATTTCTACTATTATCAAATATTCCTCCATCACGTAACATAAAACATCCAAAAAAATTGTAAACACCATGTAAATTACGTCGAAATAGTGAACATTGTTCATCGATTGTTAATGTTCGAAAATCAGCAGTCGAAGTAATAAAACATCGTACTGATGTGTAGAAAGAAGCAAATAGATTAAATGATTCTGATATATCAGTATTTATCGCAGGTTTGCCAATATTTAACTGATTGATCATGTATACAATTGATGGTACTATAGAGAATTTGTCAACAGCATGTACTACATTTGATAGTAATCTCCATTCAGATGGTGTAAGCGATGATCGATCATTACAGAGTAGATCCAATGGAATGATTTGTGGAAGAGGCTAAATATAAAATAGATATGAAGTCTATTGGTACATATGATTGACTTTTACATACCTTATAGAATGTACAACAGACAGTATTTTCCCCATCAATAGATTTCTTTAACATTCGACGTTTGCTATAATGAAATTCTTTACGAATATATTCTATACTCATACCAACTGTAAAACATTTTCTTAATCGACACGAAGTACATAATTTACGTGTTTCTATATCTATTTTACAATGACCATTATATCGACATGGACGAATAGTCTAGAAAAGAAAAAGTTATAGCGATAAAATTCAAAAGAAAAGAATACATACTGTTATACGATGAGCATGACGACGAAAAAAAGTCTTGCATGAATAACAAGAAAGTGCACCATAATTAATTATATGTGCTTCAGCTTTACATATTCGACAAATATTTGATCTATCGAAATGTTGGACGTGTGACATTGTTCTTTGTTTATATTTTAACTAAAGTGATATAGTGATGTTTTGTATTATTCTTTAAAAGATGAAGAAGTGAAAAGAACGCTTTTCTTTTCTTTTCTTCTTAAAATTCTAAAAAGAATTAATTTTTGTAAAGCCTTATGAAAAAAAAAACAATTAATTTTATAGACAAGAATAAAAAGGTAAGATGCCTTTAAGTCTATAAAATATTATATTAATATAATTTCTATTCTTAACACTGATTACTTAATTTAATTCTCTCATAATGATATTTCTAAAATAAAACCATAGTTTCAAAATTCCGCCCAGGGATCAAACCAATTAGCAGATAGACAGTGAGGGTGGGGGCGGAAAATGTTTGAAGTCTATGTCACATTTCGGAAATAGTGAATAAAACTATCATATTCATATTATATGTAACAACAGATCAAATGTTTCGTGAGATTATTTAATATTTTTTGAAAGAAATAATAAAGTATAGTTTAAAAAAACTAACTTACTTGTTATCTGCGTCATGCCAAACGTGATCGACTATAATCAACAAAGTTTTTTTTTGTAATACTCTGTTATCTTGCTTTGTCCTGATTCTACTAGTTTAAAGACCTCTTTTCCTTTTGTCTATTAAGAGGATGTAATCAAGTGAATATAAGAAAGATAAAATATGCTTGAATTAAGTGACATAATAATATTTTATATAGAAAAATCCTTTTGGTATTCATAGGGGAGGATACTCTCGTGAATTTCCTCATAATAAATAATATATGTACATTGAAAATTTTAAATATTTCATTAATATTATACGCAGGACTCAACTGGAAGTATCATAATATAGCAAAATATCACCGATACTATTTCTCAGACATCTAACGTTATATAATACAAAATATATCAAATTTTTTACTTATAATTTTAGAGTAGCTCATTATTCTCTCTCATTTTTTTATGGTAACAACATATGCAATGCCTTCTAGATAGTGTCTGTATGTATATTTTATAGTCATGAAGCATATTTAATGAAATATAACCTTTCTTTCAATATTAATATCATGACGACAAAAGAATAGTTAAGATAACATACATATATTTTAGCATGTCTTCATTTCAGAGCACAAAGTATAATTAGAATAATGAATAGGAAGAATAAATATATTTGACATAAAGAAAATATGTTGAATAGTATTTATCATTTATTAAAAATATTTACGCATAATTGTACTACTTCGTTTTACTTTGTGCATGATGGTATTCGATCACAAAGTGATATATATATATTGTAAAAAAACATTTTTTTCTCTTGTTAAGACATCAGTATTTATATAATTCAAATTCGTTTTTTTCCGATGCCGGTGATAAATGATACAAAACTGAGCAAAATATTCAGAGTATGCATATTTCTCATATATACTTGATAATGATACTATGTTATTTCCAAAATTGTACTAGAAAAGATCTGTATTGATTTTTTTTACAAGTGTACTCATTTACACGTCAAAACATAGGGTTGAAAAAACACTTATGTGCAATCCTTTTATTCTAGACTATGTCACGTGTCTGTAAAATGTGACTTTAGCTTAAGTATATCCTTATATGACACGTTCCGGATTACTCGAATTTAAATAGTTTAATACTGATAATCATTTTGTAAATGTTAATTATATGAAATAGATAAAATCTAGTCATCAATTCTATTTTTATTCACCTCTCTTTACTTATTGTAAATAAAAACAAGTAAAGTCTATATACTGTTATCATACAATTACAGAGAAGTTGAAAAAAAAATAGTAGAAAAAAAAAAGACTGTATACTTAAAATGAAACATGTTTTAACGTCTAAAAAATAAAAATAAAACTATATCACCGTCATCATTTTTTACATAACAAAAATAAAAGAATATATATTCAGCCGACTCGACGAAAACCTTTTAAAATTGGAAAAATAAGTTCAAATGCTTCATGAATTTCACGACGTTCTTTTGCACCTAAAGAAAAATAAATTATTTGATTTAAAATAGAAAGGATAATTATTCATTATTGTCTACCTGTAAGCACCACTTTACCGGAATTAAAAATTAATAATACAATTTTTGGCTTGATAATTCGATAAATTAAACCAGGAAATAATTCAGGTTCATAACTTAAATGAATTCAAACGAACTTAAAATAAAAATATGTTAATATTTTATCTAACCTGCAGTACGTTGCATGTTTCAATTGAAGTGCTTCAAGTCGAATTTTAAAATTAACATCAGCGCTACCAACCATATTTTGAATTTTAAAATCAAGAAATTTCGCCTGAAAATTATTTTTTTTCGTTAAATATAAAAATAATTTATTTGTTCTAAGAAAAATATTACTTGAAAACCAAGTTTTTGAATAACACGAGCATAACGTCGTGCTGCTTGCACCGAATCTTCTTCACTTTTAGCACCTGTACAAACCATTTTTCCTGAACTAAATATTAATGCTGTTGTTCGTGGACTACGTATACGCATAATAACAGCAGCAAAACGTTTCGGATTATATTCAGCATTACGAGCTTGAAGTGCAATACGTTTTAAATCTAATGGACAACCAAGATTTACAGTAGATACAATATTTCTAGAAATATATATTCTATATAGAAATAAACAATAATAAATAATTCAAATTACTGTAAACTTGGTTGTACACGTGAAGCATCAACTGTACGTGGTGTGACTGGTGTTGGTGCAACAGAAAATGGTGTTGAAGGTGCAACTGAACTAAGATGATAAGAAGTAACTGCTGAAGGTGGACCCATATCTGCTGGTACACTTTTTTTGGAAGCAACTGATGGGCGATGGAAGAATCTAGTTTCATTCGTTGTATTTGCATGTGTTTCGTCTCTTGGTGCAACACTTCTCGGAGTTGCTGATGGAGGTAAAGATAAGGGTGATGCATATTGATCGTTCTAAATATTAGATTACGAAAATTAAAAATTAATTTACACAACAAACTTGATGAGAATGTGGATCAATAAAACTAGGTGAATAATCCATTGTATGAACGTCAATACAATTCTATGTTGGACTTCTTTTCTTATGTATACATATACAACCCTCAAGGAGAGCTTATCCAGATCCAGAGAAAAGGGAAGAGAAGAACAACAATATTAGTGATTTGTCAGCTGTCGAGACATACGGATGAAATAAAATAATTCGTACATAAAATAGATGCCGCTCGAGATTGAAGATTTAGGCATATGAAATAATATTCTCAATTGTTCTTCTCTCTTTCAACAAATATTCATCCTTTTTTCTAGTACAAGAGTAGTAACTTATGATATATATATGTACATTAGAAATTAAAGAATAATATTTAATTACAACAAACATAAATGTATGTTAGAAGAATGAAACGAGATGTAATTCAAGAGAAAATAAAGTGATGTTTACTGTTAGAGATTATTGTTTTAAGAATATAATAAAAAAGGAACTGTTTGCCATCATTGCTTGTAATTTTACAGCTGTCTTTAGAAAATTGTCAATCGAATTTATATCATATTCAGGAAATAATCGATAAATACTTGATTTTAGATTCTATGAGTTGATTAAATCCCATTGTAGATGATAGAGATTAGATCTATATCAACACCCAAAGATACAAATTCATGTAGTTCTACTTGCAAAAGATTAAATCTTCTACTATACTAAAAATTCATTAACTATAGTCACTTACTTATATAAATTACAGTATAACAAAAGAAAAGTATTGTTAGCGTTTGAGTTTTATTTAATTTATTAAAGTATAAGAGAAAAACAGTATCAAGCAAGGTCTAAGTTATTATTTATAAATTGTATGTCATACATATATCAAATAAAATATACAAACAATTTTCTACTTTTCAATACAAATAATCTTTGCTTATCTTCTATCATCAATTATCCATTAATTATAAATAGAGTGCGCTAGTTCTCGGTAAACAAAATCATTTATCTTTCTGCTGGTCAAAACGTCACCATTAACACAAACCTATACTGTAGATGATGATTATGATTCATAAATATATATATACATATACATATATATATAAAGAATGCCCTATGACTATGATAAAACATCCATCGACTTTTCTCTAGAACACGGTTGATTGATAGATCAGTTATGCCTAAAGGTTGATAAAGACAAGTATCATCGAATTGTATTGTTCTTTTGTTTTATTACATTCTCTTTCGGTTACTATTTATAGCTATACTGGATAAAGAACTATTAACAGGTGTTGTTTTGTCTTTCTAGATAAATCAAACACCACATGGATCTCGATTAACATATTAACATATAATATTCTATCAACAAAAAAATGGCTAAAGCCTATGATTATTTATTTAAATTACTTTTGATTGGTATATTGAATTTTCTCATATGAATATTTATTTATTTTTGTTTATTTAGGTGATAGTGGTGTTGGAAAAGTAAAATAAAAGAATTTTCAAAAGAAATATTTTTTTTTTTATTTACTATTTTATTAGACATGTGTGCTTTTGCGTTTCTGTGATTCAGCATTTAGCACAACTTTTATTTCAACGATTGGTAATTTATTTATCTTGAATTTTTCTCTAGAAAATATATATATTCTATATAGGAATTGATTTTAAAATTAGAACAATTGATCTTGATGGACGAAAAATCAAACTTCAAATATGGTAGATATATATTCGATTAAGATAATTTATTATATTTTTTAAATTTTTTCTAGGGATACAGCAGGCCAAGTAAGGATTGATATGTATTGATTTATATTTATTAATAAAAACTTTTAGGAACGATTTAAAACAATAACAACAGCTTATTATCGTGGTGCAATGGTAAATTTTAAATATAATAAATTTTCTATTTTAATATAAAAATTTCTTCGTAGGGTATAATGTTAGTATACGATATCACAAGTGAAAAAAGTTTCGATAATATCAAAAATTGGATTCGAAATATTGAAGAAGTAGGAAAAAAATTAAATTTTTTCTATTTAATTTATTTGTATATTTTAGCATGCATCCGCTGAAGTTGAACGAATGCTTATAGGAAATAAATGTGACATGCAAGATAAACGACAAGTTAGTCGAGAAAAGGGTGAACATGTATGTATTCAATATTCTTAAAAAACAAAAATCTAGGATTATGTATAATTTAGCTTGCTATGGAATATGGTATTAAATTTACGGAAACTAGTGCTAAAGGAAATATCGTAAGTTAGAATAGATATATATTCAATTTATATTGTTGTTTGATTATTTTAGAATGTGGATGAAGCATTTCTTTCTCTTGCCAAAGATATCAAAGCAAAGATTGATAAGAAAGCGGTATGAAATCTATTTCTAATTAGATTTTTAATCATATTGTGTTTCTTCTTTTTGTTTATAGGGTGCTGATCAGACTGGTAATAAAGTTGTATCTGGTGGTATTAGGCCAAAAGCAGATTCAAATAAAAAACCTGGTACATCGTTTTGGTCTCGTTGTTCATTGTTCTAAACAAAAAGCCAAATTCAATCTGAAACAAAAAGATCTTGTCATATTTATTGATTTTCTATTGTTGTTTTTTTGTTATCAAACAGCATGGATATATCAATGATGAGTTTACTTTTTCGTCTGTTTTCTTTTTATTTAATACCGATCAATCATCATCCACTTTGTATATCGTACTCTTTTTTTTTCTTCTCATTATTACGTTTGTTATTATTCTTGGGTATCTATCTTTTTTTCTCTTTTCTTTTCTTTTCTTATTGTGGAATAAAATAAAACATACATGCTTGTATTGATGAAGATTGTTGACTTCCGAAGATGGACAAATAGATAGATCAACTAGTTCACTCTCAATCTTATTAATCGCTCCAATATGACATCTGATGATTTTGTCGTCTTCTTTTCTATATGTCCGGATGAATACCTTCTTCCTTCTCCTCTTCATCCTCCTCCTCCTCCTCCCCTTCTCTCTTTCCGATTGACGACATCGAAACGAAATCTTTTGAATAAATATATGAATAAATGTGTCCTCATTCGAAGTCTTGCGTGTACGTTTGTTCTCAATGTACACAAAAAGAAATAAGAAGGTCCGTACGATGAACTAGTTAATCATACGCAACAATCGTTTGTTGAATTTAGTTTACGACGAACGAGAGATTTTTTTTAGAACAAAAAAAAAGTTTATCAAAGAAGGACATTTGTTATAAACGAAAATTGATGAATTAAACAGAAAAAAAAACGTTTATACATAGTCAATTACAAGTAGGTAGGATTTAAAATATTCAAGGTTTGAATTAATTCTTATTTTATAGTATTTATAGACATGTTAAAATTTTGAAAAAGAATAAAAACATCATTGAATGTATATTTCAATTTATAAAAATATAAAAGAAAAAAAAAGCATAGGAATAGTATTTGACGAGATAGTTAAATTTATAAATAAGATATTTATTTTACTAATGAAAATTTATTAAATAAATATTGTTAATACTTATGTAAACAATAATTCCATTTATTTAGCATCATACAATGGTAGTTAAAGTCGGTTCAGGTGAAATCGATGATCTATCAACATTGAATGTTCTTGATGAAGAAAGTCTTTTACGTGAATTACGTGCGAGATATAAAAAAGGAATAATCTATGTAAGTTAGAAATTCTATTGACATATGAATTTCTATTTATTCATTTATAGACATATATTGGAGATGTATTGATTGCTATTAATCCATTTAAACAATTAAATATCTATGAAAAACAGGTTTTTATTTGTTTTTAAAATTGAAAAGAAATAATTTGTTTCTTTTTAAGCAACATGATCTTTATAAAGATGTTCAAAGTCGAAATCAGTTAACACCACATATTTTTTGGGTTGCTGATCAAGCTTATAGAAAACTTTGTTTATCAAAACAAACACAATGTATTGCTGTTTCAGGAGAAAGTGGAGCTGGTACAATAGATAGATTTGTTCTTATATGAATTTGAACATGTTGTATTGTTTATTTAGGTAAAACTGAATCAACAAAACTTATGGTTTCACATATAATTCATTGTTCAAGTGATATTAGTGATCGTGAATTACAAAATCGAATTATTGAAGTTTGTATATGAATAAAAAACCACACTGAAATTGAAAATTTAATATTTAGACATCACCATTACTTGAAGCATTTGGTAATGCTCAAACGTGTATGAATCAAAATTCAAGTCGATTTGGAAAATATCTTCAATTAAATTTTACGAATACAGGTCGAATTGTTGGTGGTATGTTATTAATAGAAAAAAGTATATCTTAAGAAATAATTTTTTCTTCTAGCAAAAGTTTATGATTATTTACTTGAAAAATCACGTGTTGTTCAACATGGTCCTGGTGAACGTACATTTCATTTTTTTTATTATTTATTTGCTGGATTAGAAAAAGAAGCGTTAGAATATTTTTATTTGGATGATCCTGAAACTTATAGGTAAATATTATTTAATTTTGTAACAGAAGAAATATAGGAAAAAATATTTTATTTAGAATTTTAAAAGATCCATGTGGTGGAAAAGTATTTCCTAGTCGAACGGATTTTAAACATTGTAGACATATGTTCAACACACAAAAAGATGTTATGAGAAGAGTCGGTTTTACTGATGAAGTAAGTTTATTTTAATGAAATATATAAAGAACTTTATTGGAATTATTTAGGATATTAATATGGTATTTACTATTCTTTCGGCAATACTTCACTTAACAAATATTCGATTTTCACATGATGATGAAACTGATGGAGTTTATATCGAAGATGAATATCCATTGGAAGTTGGTAAGTTATTCTAGTAGATATTAACGATTTATCTTTTTGTTCTATAAAACAGGAGTTTATTTGAAGTAGATTAGAAGCCTTATTCGTTGTTTTGGTAAATTTACAATACTAATTAACTAGTCTTATTGTATCAACACATATAAAATAATTAGGTCGTGTCTTAATTATTGCAGAAAGATACTGATAGCTAGGGAGCTGCGGAGTATTCCGAAACCCGATTATGACTTCGACGGAGTCAAAAAATTCGACTGTAGAAATCGCTTTTTTGTTAACAAAATGTCGGAGTCAAAAAAAGTTGACTCCGTAGGTCCCTGCTGATAGCTAATCATGTAGGTAATTCTGTGTTGTCTATTGCATAGAGATTTGATTTCGGTCACTTAATTCGAGCTTGTTGGCTAATATCTGAATTTGACTGTGTTACGATGCAAACATTCTAGATCTTAGTTATACAGAATGTACCAGTGATTAATATATCATAGTGCGAGTACAGTTCAGATTTAAGGAATTTTATCGATTACGTAGTAGATATTTCATTTCTAATCTTATTACTAATTATTTATTTAATCTATAGTTTGTACTCTTCTTGCACTTGATCAAGAAATTCTTACTATGGCACTTATTTCAACATTCAGTACAACGAAAGGTTTATTAATTGAAAATTTCTTCTGGCATTTATTTCATTTCGCAAGTATTGTTCTATTTAGGTGAACGTGTTATAAGTCTGAAAAATTCTGATCAAGCAAATGATTGTCGTGATGCATTAGCGAAAGCTTTATATGAACGATTATTTTCATGGATTGTTAAACAAATCAATACACTTTTACAACCTAATCGACGGTAAATTTGTCTCATAGAAATCTCTTAAATAATATTAAATATTCAATAGACATAATCAAACTGATGATAATATATATCGTACATGTTCAATATTAGATATGTCAGGTTTTGAAAATTTTCAAGTGAATAGTTTTGAACAATTATGTATCAATGTTGCAAATGAACATCTACAGTATTATTTTAATGAACATATTTTTTTACAAGAAGAACAAGATTATCGAACTGAAAGTGTATCATGTGAAAAAGTTGAATTTCAAAATAATGAAGATTTAATTGAATTATTTATGGGTGTAAGTTATGATTAGATAAAATTCTAATTATCTCGTATTTATTTTTAATAGACATTAGGAATATTGGCGTTACTTGATGAAGAATCTCGTTTTCCAAAAGCAAATGATGAATCCCTTGTACAAAAATTTCATAGTCATTGTAAAAATCATCCGAGATATATTAAACCAAGAGGCAATGAAACAGCCTTTGGAATTCATCATTATGCCGGAAAAGTATAAAAACAGACAAAGAAGAATATTTAACAAATTGTTTTATTTAGGTTGTGTATGATGCTCGTGGATTTTTAGAAAAAAATCGAGATAATCTTAGTGCTAATCTAATTGAATGTATGGAAAAAAGTGGAATTGAATTAATTAGTTATTTATTTACAGTTAATGATGATACAAGTAGTCCACCCATTACTTTAGGATCATCGGCGTAAGAAAAGATTATCCTATGTAGTGTGTGTGTGTTAAACTGAAAGTTTGGATATATTTTTTAGTTCACCATCGGGTAATATGAATAAACTTAAATCAACTACACTTCATCCAATGCGACGTCCAAAATCTTTCGATATCGAACGTACTAAAGAGAATTTTAGTCAAAAAACTGCTAAATCTCTTCGACAAGAATCGTAAATTTTTTTAATAAAGAAATCGAAATTTCTTTCTCCTATGTTTATTTAGACGTCCATTTAAATCTAATACAATTCAAAAAGAACGTTTTAGTCAAAATACTGTTACTATTCATTTTAGGGTAAATAATCTTTTAAAAATTAAATAATCTTTAATTATTTTTTTTCCTTCTAGAATTCTCTTGCTGAATTACTCGATAAAATGAAAGATGCTGAACCATCTTTTGTAAGGTATGTCAATTACTATGTAAATATCATAGAAAAGGATGAGTTTCTTTCGTTCTGTGACTTTTGTTCAGTAGGTTAGATGATTCGACATTCTTCTAAATTCTATTGTGTTCGTGACAATAACACTAATTATTTGTTTATTCTATATGTTTCGCTAATAAACAAATATATAAAGTGAACGAGACATTTTCGCTAGTATAGATTTAATAAAAACAACATTGTTCATGTAGGTACAATTGAATTAAATCTATTTTTATTAAGGTTTTTCGAGATTTGTGGTTTAATGTTTTGTCACGTGTGTAGTTAATTTCACATCCTTTTTTTGTTTTGTCCGAAGTGCGTGCTTGGATGTCGGTCAGTTCGAACGAGTGGTTGTTTATTTATTGATTAGTTTAAATCTATACGAGTAACTAAAAACGAACAAGATGAAATTGATTGACGTTTCGTATAACTAATATGTCCGATTTGAATTTATTTTCACCAAAAAATGATTTGAAAAAATTGTTATTTACTACGAAAAAATATATATATTCAACTGATTCATGGCAAGATACATCTAATAGAACATCAACATTAATATTGAATAATGAAACTTCTTATTTATCATTATTATCAAATATACAAAATACAAATAGTTGGCAATCAATTGATGATTATACAACAATACCAAAATCATATGGTATTGATGATGAACAAACAGGTTATTGTCGTCTAGATCGACAGGGTCATTGGCTTCTTCTATCACCTCCACCTCTTCTTCTCCAGAAAGATACAAGTCAAGTTGTTACATATTATGATAATAGACGTTTATCAAGAGATTCAAAGATTCAACAAATTGAACATATATTTCATGATTCATGTGAAAGTTTAACTGTTTCACTTGATTTACATATTCCAACTGATGAATTATTGAAAGATAATGATAATATTTATGGACAAAATATAGTTGTATGGAGAAATAAAATTCGACCACATCGAAATAAATCATTGGATGAGACACGCAGAATATCGAGGTTAAGTCATAACGTACAATTAGACTCAACCGATAGGTGAATATCGTGTAGTTATTAGAAAATCGCTAACGAAATATATATATCGATAGTAATAAACAAATAATCCAAAAAGATCTCATTGCATTATATAGATCATATTTTGTATTTCTATCTTTCTATTAATAGATGTATTAAACCCAATCATGGTAAAGTAGCTAATCAATTTGATGAAGAATTAGTTCAAGAACAATTACGTTATAACGGTATTCTTGAAATTTCTTATATACGAAATCAAGGTTGGCCCGTTCGTTTTACATTTGAAGAATTCTTTAAACGGTATATTTTCTTCATTCTAATAAATAATTTTCATTTTGTTTTATTAGATATAAATTTATTTCTTATCCGCAAAATAGTCCGATAAGAATTAATGGAATAACGTGTGAAAGAATCTTTAAAGATTTATCTTTAACGGATTATGTTATCGGAAAATCTAAAGTAAAAATTTTCATTTCATTTATTGATTAATAAAAATTAATTCGTAGGTTTTTTTAAAATTGGAACATTTGGAAATTTTAAATCAATATTATGAAAAATATATATCGAATATAATTAAATGTCAAAAAGTTGTTAAAGGTTTTATTGTACGAAGAAATCTGTTACGTAAAGCAAAACAATATGCCAATGAACGACATAGTCTATTAACTCAAGTACATATTAATGGAAAACGAACATTAGAAAAACTTATATCATTACCAAAAGTAAATTGTGTATTTCTTTTGTAAATTGTATAGAAATTTTTTGTTAGGTTTCACCAAAGAATATCAAACAATTATCATCAAAAATGGAAAATAAAAATGGACGTTCAGGTCATTTTATTAAGAAAAAACCGAAAAATCAAAAGAAATTTACATCTGATGAACCTATGCAAATGAATGAACAAGAACATAATGAAATGTTAAGAGTAGCAAAAGTAAAATTTTAATTAAGAAAACAACATTGTTTTTTAAATTTTAATAGAAATTACAATTGATTGATAATGATGAATTTGATGGTATCGATCATCGAATAACATCATCTAAAAAACCTGATTATGATATGAAAATTACTGATGATTTTAGATCATCATTAGAAGGTTTATCCGAACGTGAAGTTCGTATTCTTGTTCAAGATGAATTTACTCCATTAACAAATAAACATGGTCAACATAAAAATTTTCCTATGCAAGCAAATATTCAAGCAGGTTCAGGATTAGCTAGTACAACAACATCAACACCAGATAGTCCGTTAAGAGTTCATGAAGGAGTACTTGCTGCAATGGCTGCTAAAATACCCATTGCACCAACAATGAGTTTAGCAACAGCTGAACAATTAATTCGAGAAACAAAAGTTGCAGCAACAAGTGGAGATTTATTTATGACTGGTAGGAATTTGATTAATTGAAAAAAGAAAGAATGTTTTTTGAGTAGATTGGGCAGTTGGACAAGATGAAAAGAAACAAAGAAAAGGTACACGTTCAAAATCTGAACCAAGAAATATCTTAAGTGATTTACATGATGAAAATATGTTATCAGAACAAAAACGTGATATGATTAAAAAAATTCTTATGTTACAAAGACAAAAATTTAAAGATAATCAAGCACGTAAAACACTAAAACCTAATGAATTTGAAAATTCAATATATAGTTTTGGTCATATGAATCAATCATCGAAAATTGATGATGAACAACCGTTATTCGAAGAGTAAATTTTATTTAAAAAATAAAATATTCCATTGCTTTTTGTTTGTATTTATTAAGAGATAATTCAGATTGTTGGGATGCAGCTAGAACAATGAATGTTCAAGAAGCATATGAAAAAACAATTCATTGTTATCGTTTATCAATGCGTTTATTAAAAATTGCTACATATGTTGTACTTAATATTGGTGTTCTGTTAACAGCACTTGTTAGTAAAGGAGCTTTATTACTTATGACAAACTCAGTAGCTAAAGTACAAGAAGTAAGAAAGAAAGAAAAACAATTAAATTTTACTTACAAAAATATGTTTTAGACACCTTATCAAGAACGTTGGGTTTGGATGTTATTGATATCAGTATGTGCTCCATATCTATTTACATTTGTTGATAGTCTTGGTAAATGTTTATTTGGTAATAAACCATGGCCGACAGTGAAAATCTTTACTGTTGTATGTTTTCAATTACTTTTTTCTTGATTTTTAATTGTTTACTATATTTATGAATAGGTGTTTTTTATTGAAACTCTTCATAGTTTTGGTATAGCAATATTTGTCTTTCATATTTTACCAAAACTTGATGCAGCAAGAAGTTTATTAATAATGAACGCTGTATGTCTTGTACCGGCTTTTTTAAAACTCTTTTTAACGAAATCAAATTCATCAATTGTTCGACGAAGTCTTTTATTTCTTATGGATTTTTTTGCATTTGCTATGCAATGTTCATGTGTAGGAATTGCATTAGCATCGAAATTTTTAAAGAATGATGCATCAATGACTATTCAAACAACTTTATCATCATTATTTTTACCAACAACTACAAATCCAATACTATTATTAAATCGACATCGACGACAAGATGAATTTATGAGTAATGGAGCAGATTTATTAGGTCCGGATATGATTGGAAATAGTGAAAGTATTTTATTTACAACACCTATTAGTAATATGAGTTCAATTGATCAAAATTTACAAACAATTTTAGCTGGATTTCATATTGAATGGGAATTACCTGTTGCTTTAATACTTGTTTCACTAGCTTGGTAAGATATTTCTAAATAAAGAAGGTACTTGTATATTTTTTCTTAGGTGGGAAAATTTTGTTGATCGTGATATAAAAATTGGTGGTCGTACGTTAGTTCATATGAAATTATTAAAAGAAAATATTATTGCAACACGATCAAAAACATCAATTATAATAACATGTTGGAAAATTCTTGTTACTATTTTATTTGCTTATATATTTCATCATGGAATATTTAATACATCAGTTGTTTTTCCAACAAATAGTAATACTGAACAATTAGAAGATCCATTACCAAAATTATCTTCTGGACAAAATTCTTGGGCAGCATTAGGTTTTGATCAACAACCATCTCAAGGAATGTTTCCTATTTTACCACCACGTGAACGTCGTTCAATTGTCAATACATCTCTATTTATGAAACGAAATAAAAGACAATTAGATAATGATTTACCATCAAATTTTGCCTATGATGAAGACGGATTAAGTTCCGTTGGTGGAGGAAATAATCCAGGAGGAGGTGGTGAAGGAAGAGGAGAAGAATCAAATTCCAAAGATCGTTGGATTATTTATTTAACTCCAATGATATTAAAAGTTATATCAGACGCATTATGTTTTTATATGGGTCGTTTAGCATGTAAACTATGTATGCAACGAATATGTTTTGCTTTACCAATAACATTAGTGACACCATTAGCATTAACAATACTACTTGTTATGTGTTCTGTTGCACCAAAATCGACTGTTTTTATTGAAAATTTTCTTTTTTGGAGTTGTTACGCTGATTATGCTAAAGAATCATTTAAATGGCAAGTTATTTGTGGTTTATTTCTCTGGTGGCTATCAGAATTATGGATTGGTGGACATATTTGGTTTGGTAAAAGTCAACGTTTAGCATTTACAGAACGATTGTTTGTTTCACCACGTTATTGTGCAACATTACTTGAACAATCTTTAATGATGAATCGACGTCGAAATGAACGTGATGAATTATTAACAGGTACATTTGATGAAATGGTTACAACAAATGCTGAAACAGACTTTGATGAACAAAGTATTGAAGAATTATCAATGGAAAAAAAGTTAAGTGCAGATGTACATACAAAAATATATTCATGTGCAACAATGTGGCATGAAACAGAAACTGAAATGTTACAATTATTAAAATCAATTATGAGGTTTGTCAATAAGATATAACTGCAACTGATTCTATTCAATAATTCTTTTATTTTCCCTGTAGATTGGATAGTGATCAATGTGCTCGTCGAACAGCACGAAATTATTTACATCTGAAAGATCTTGATTATTATGAATATGAAGGTCATATATTTTTTGATGATGCCACCGAAGAAGACGATAATAACGAACAAGTACCAAATAGATTTGTTCAACAACTACTCGGAGTTGTTGATCGAGCTGCAACGTATGTTTATTTTTCTTAAAAAATTCGATTTATTTTTCAAAAAACCAAAACTATTTCTTAGTGCGATTCATCAATGTCCAATGAAAATTCCTCCACCATTTAAAACTCCAACACCATATGGTGGACGATTAACATGGGTATTACCAGGTGGAAATTTTCTGATTGCACATATAAAAGATAAAACAAAAATTCGTCATAAAAAACGATGGAGTCAAGTAATGTATATGTACTATTTACTTGGTTATCGTTTGTTTGGTGATTTGAATATAATTGAAAAACTATACAAAAGAAAACGTAAAAAGAATTCATCCAAAAGTAAATCAAAATTATTTAAAGGTTTTGGAAATTTATTAAATAATATGGATAATAAAAAACGAATACAAGTAAAGAGATTTCTAAAAACAAATAAATTTTTATTAAATATATTTATATAATTAGATGGAAAATACATATTTATTAGCACTTGATGGTGATGTTGATTTTCATCCAGAAGCTGTACGTTTATTAGTTGATCGAATGAAAAAAAATAAAAAAGTTGGTGCAGCTTGTGGACGTATTCATCCCATTGGAAGTGGTAAAATTAACTTCTTAAATTTCATTTTTCTTTCTAATATTTATTTGAAATAAAAATAAAGGTCCAATCGTATGGTATCAAAAATTCGAATATGCTATTGGACATTGGCTTCAGAAAGCAACTGAACATATATTAGGTTGTGTGGTAAGACACAAATACATTCATTTTTATTTTTTAAAACAAAATATCTTCTATTCAGATGTGTAGTCCAGGTTGTTTCAGTCTTTTTCGTGGTTCAGCATTAATGGATGATCATGTACTTCGTACATATTGTACTAAATCAATTGAAGCTCGACATTATGTACAATATGATCAAGGTTTTTCGTTCAAAAACTAATCTTTTAATTTAATTTATTTATTTATAATAGGTGAAGATCGTTGGTTATGTACACTCTTATTACAAGAAGGTTATCGAGTTGAATATTGTGCTGCATCCGATGCCCTTACTTATGCACCGGAATCATTTCATGTTTGTTTTAATGTTTATTGTTTTGATAAAAAATATATTTTTGTTTTTTGGAATTCATAGGAATTTTTTAACCAACGTCGTCGTTGGGTACCATCAACTATTGCAAATATTATGGATTTTCTTGCTGAATATAAACGAATTGTAATAGTTAATGAAAGTATCTCATACTTATATATAGTCTATCAACTTTTCTTAATGGTTTCAACTGTACTCGGTCCAGCAACAGTACTTCTGATGATTATTGGAGCATTTAATGCTTGTTTTGGTATGTTTAATATGCATTTCTCGAGAGAATAAAGCATTATTTTATTTTAAAGGTACAAGTCTTTGGCAATCAATGTATATGTCTGTTCTTCCTGCTTTCTTTTATCTCTTATTATGTTTTCATACAACAACTGATTTTCAAATTCGTGCAGCCGCATTTTTTTCTGCTGTTTATGCAATAATAATGATGTCAGTTATTGTTGGTACAACTATTCAAATAGCTGAAGATTCTTGGACATCACCGAATGCTGTTTTTCTCATGTTACTATTTTCGATAAATTTTATTGCTGCGCTGATGCATCCACAAGAATTTTGGTGTATTGTACCGGGTTTATTATATTTTTTATGTATACCAAGTGGATATTTGTTTTTAATTATTTATTCACTTTGTAATCTTAATATTGTTTCATGGGGTACAAGAGAAGCACCAAAAAAAGTTAAAAAAAATCAAAGTAAAGAAGAAATTGAACGTGCAAGAATGCAAGAATTAACACAAGTTAAAAAGAAATCTGCAGGATTTTTTAATCAAGTAAGAATTTTGATTAAAAAGAAGAAAAATAAAAGATTTCTATTGATGGTTTTTTTTAATGAAAAAAGGTATTTGCAAATTTCAATTTTAAAAAATATGATGAAAGAGTTCGTTCATATGCACGTAAATGGCTTGGTCTTGAACGAACTGGACTTAATGGTATTTTATTAAAACAAATTTTAGGTGCTATGGAACGAATGGAAAAGGTATTGATGATTTTTCAAATTTTAAGAGAAGAGAACAAGAAATTGTTTTTTAGTGTAAATTTGATGAAGAAATGGAAGCTGTAGCAACACAAGGTATATATCCAACAGCTGGTAAAACACAAGTTGGATCTGATACCGATGCTAAATATGGTTTAATGCAATTAGCAGCTCGTGCTGCTACTCCTCAAACAACGGGTGGACTAATGAATCGTGCTAGTTATCCACAAATAGATCCTCAACAACAATTAATCTATCGTGGAATAAATAATGCACGAAATACACCCTATGGACAAATTATGTCATATGCCGGTATTTCACGTCCAATTGAATCACCACAAGTTGTTAAACGTGATGAACTAGGTATAAATTCGTAAAACTAACTTTTTTTCTCGTAAACATTTATTTACATACGTCCTGTTTTTTTAGTTAATCCTGCTTGGATATTTCATGAATCATTATTAGATTCAGAAGTTGTTATGCTTGATCCACGTGAAGTGAAATTTTTTAAAGAATTAATTGAACGTTATTTATATCCATTAGTTGAAGATAAAGATCATCAAAAGAAAATGGTTAGTGATCTTAAATCATTACGTAATAATTGTTGCTTTGTATTCTTTATGATAAATACATTATGGATTGTTATTATATTTTCTTTTCAACTTGTTTCGGAACGTATACGTGATTATGTATTTATACCAATAAAACGTTTACATAATGAACCATTACGTTTTGAACCACTTGGTTTTGGATTTTTAGTTTTTTTTGCAAGTATTTTACTTGTACAATTTATTTCAATGTTATGGCATCGCTATGGAACATTATTACATTTATTAGCATCAACTGATTTAAAACTTGGCCGAAGAACTCACGGGAAAAATGGAAGTAGTCATCGACGTGAAGATTTTACAATAGATAATGTTGAAGATGCTGTTGAACAAGTTAAAGTTTTACAACAATTAAAAGGTTTTGATGAAGAAGATTTACCTGAACCGGACTATGATGTTGATATTGATGATGATGATAAGCAAGCAACTGAACCAGATTTATCAACAACAGGTCTTGTCTATCGTACTAATGGACCACGATTTATCAAAAATTCAACATGTACATCACAACAATGGAGTGATATAGCTAAAGTTAATGATATGCAAAGAAATTTAGATACAACTGATCATAGTGAAATAAGTCAAATGTAAGAATATGAAAGTATTTTTTTTATTTATATAAACATGAACTATTTATGTATAGGGCTGGTTATGTATCAGGTTCAGTTAAAACATATGGAAGTAATTATGAAGCAATAAAACGACGTCAAATATCAAATAAACGTCATTTATATAATAAATCACTTGATCATGTTTTTAAATCACGTTATCATGCATTGACACAACAACAACATCATCAAACGCATAAAAACCCACGAGTTAAATTAACTGATGTTTTTCAACAGCAACAACAACAATTAGTTTCACCAAGAGCTAGACGTACATCAAGTGCATTAACAGTACGTGATAGTGTTAATGGTGTTAATAATCAACAATCGGCAATAACAAAAAAACATCGAAGGAAATTTAAAGAGCGACATTTAGAACATTTGTAGTGTGTACGAATATGTATCTTTCATTGTGTTTTTCTTTTTTTTGTTGTTTTGAATAATATACTAGCAAAATGAATTAAAAGCAAATACTTCTGTCAGTTATCTTCATATTGTTTATAGAGAATCTCATTATATGCAGAAATAATAATAAAAAGAAGATGATTAACAGTAAGTGAAAAGATTGTTTTTCTGATCTGAATACTCTATTGAATACTGTGAATACACAATAGTAACTCAATCTTTTCCTTCTTAATTTCAAGACGAATCTTATTGCTGACATAATCAAAACAAAAAGAAAAAGCAAAAATTAGGCACCATTTTTTTCCTACCAATTTTTTACAGTTACACAATCAAACAATGAACTCATCGGTTGAATTATTATCACTTGTATTTAGACAGTATATATATCTGACGCTATTATAGAATAATCATGAATGTGGACAAATCTATGAAAACTTTAAAATCATCATTCGATATCGAGCGCTGCACTGCATTTTGTAGTTGAATGAAATTCGATTTTCTCATTATTTCACGCATGTAACTATAGACATACAAGAATATACATGTTTGTGTTTGAATAACATTATCTTGAAAAATTTTACAAATTATAATGTATGCGACATTATAATTATTTCCAACTTTCAAGTCTTCAATAACATTAAACATTAGAGCAGAACGAAAAAAATTCCATAGAGATTCTTTTTACGTCATCAAAACACCTAATAACATTTCTTTTCGCGGAATATTTTAGAGAGCAACAGTCGTAAAAATATTTAACCATGCCTTTTTCGTTCTTTGTGTATTACTAAGGAGTATATATGTTGATCTTTTTTTCTATGTAAATACTGGGAACATATCTCAAATGTATTTTACTTGTATACGGAACATCAGGCTAGATGTGAGGGCTCAGAGAAAACAGCCCTATCCACCTACATCCTTTATAGAGTAAAACTCGACCAATAAGTTTATATTACTAGACGATAATAAGACTGCAGCAACTAAATACTAATTTAAACTATTTTTCAAGTAACTTACACTTAAGAAATATAAATTTTTTCTCTAATAATTACAATTTGGAAAAACGAATACGAAAAACTCGTTAAAATAGTTTAACGTGTTATTGTTCGACATTTGCCTGCCTAGGCAGATCCACACCCGACATGAAGTGCAATGTTTTGACTCTCTTCTTCAGAGAAAGCTACCTAATGCACTTTCAAATTTTTCATCTTTCCAAATGAAATGTAAACATGAATAATACCAATTTGAGGTGAAGACGAAGAATACATGAAATGTAAACATGAGTAGGTGTATGACAATTTGGATTTTTCCTCAAGATGTTGGATACATATTTATATTTCATTATTTTTTGTTTTCATAAGCAATTGTTTTTGTGACTGAAATATATATGCATACGTTTCCAATGACGACAATGACTCAAATGCATGATGTCATTTTGTTTGCGTGGGAACAATAAGCACTAGAAGTATATAAAAGAGTGATTATTGGTACAAAGAAAATTCAATACACCACATCATTGTGCCAAACAGACATATATTATTACAATAATTAAGTTAATCAAACGAAATGGAATGGACATACTCGGTTTATATGGGAGTTACTTACGGTATTTCGTGTACTCTTTTTGTGGTCATCAGTACAGGAGTAGCTTTTATCTACTCTTGTTCAAAAACAGGTAAAGAGTTTATCAACAAAAGAGTCATTGGTGTTGATCCACCCGATGTAGAAGATGATGAGAACGATGATGTCAAGAAAAAGCGTATGAAGATAAAGGAAGATGTTCCATCAGAAAATAAATCTGATGATGATCATGATACGAATGGTAACAAATTGATTGGTGGTCTGTTCTGCATTCTTGCCGTAATGACACTTTCTATAGCAGCGGCGCTCATTTTTGAAGGATGTTTCTTGGCAAATGCAAGACTTCTTCCAGATGATAATTGTCCTGATTATCCAATGGACTGTTTCGTTTTTAATCAGATAGCAGATCCGCAACCAATAACGCAAAGTGCCAGTTTTCGTTGTCTACCTACAAATAAAACTCAGTTTCCAAGTGGTGCCTCTAACGGTATTGCTGTGTGTTTTGGATGGATCATCAAACTTCAAACAACAAAAAACATTCTGGATCAGTTCGGTATATGTACGGGTCTAATTGGTCTCTTTACTACACTCCTAGCTATCATTATTTATCTTGGAAAATCTATAAAAACAATTGTTCTAAGCTGTATATTTATTGTAGCTTCCATCGTTACCATCATTCTTTTAGCAGTCTTTAAATGGTCATTTGCTCCGCTAACGTATGCCGTACTTGTTCTAGGAATGACATTGGGAATATTTGGAGTGTGTCTCTATTTCATTCTGCCAAAACCAATAGATAAGAACACCAATCAACCAACACCTGAACCAAATAAAAGTCCAATAGATTCTCCGCCTCATACGGTTGTACCTGTTTCAATGTCATACACTCCTAAGACGACAGCAGCATATCGTAATAAAGTTGCAGAACGACAATCGAAAGTTTTTCCCGAATCAACTTCTCCGTCTAACATAAAACAATGAATATTTATAACTTATTTAGGTTTTCTATCCTTTAAGTAGGCCACAGAAATCTTGTAAATCTTTAATAAAAATCTTTTTTTTCAAAATAATTAATATTTTTAATATTATTCATATTTTATATAATACACCTCATTATCAATCTTTTCTCATTCAAGCACACTTACGCTCACCAAATATGCGCTACAGAAAAAGAAAATATCGTTTTCAAATTAAAAAAACTGAGGTTGAAATGACGTCATTGTTCTGTACCATTTAATTTTTTAATTTTTTTTGCATGATTCCTGACAGAACAGAGCAAGGATGAAATACTCATACAAGAGCAACTTGAAAACATGTTCTGTTACGAAAATAGTATTGCTACTCTATTTATCGTTCTTTCATATATAGTATGATTGTTTTGAATACGCATCGCTAGTTCTTTCAGCGATGAATATATCGAAAAAAAAGATCTGAATTTATGAGGTATTGGGAGAGGTTTAATCAACGAAAGAAATGTTAATTTAAATCTGTGTGCAGCGACTATAAAATAATATATCAAAAATAATAAAATCGATGGCGGAATGACATCATAATTGCGCGGTGTGTGTATGGTTAACGGTGTGATTATTCACTGTGTCTACTCACACCCACACCTTCAATCATCTATATTTTCAATGATTGAATCTAAAACAATCAGAAAGAAAACTTGTTGAATACTTTTTTTCAACAAATCATATATCAATTGATAGATGTGTGTTCTGTGTCCTAGAAACTATAAAACATAATTCTGTGCGATATCGAAAACTGAAGTTATAAGCAATTTACTGAAGAAATCCTTTTCTTCAGAAGAAGTAGGTCTAATTACTTTATGATCTAGAATACGAAATTATTGAATAAATGAATCAAATAATGCAAAGATTTGTAAAAGGTTTGGAAGGTGTGGGTTTTGATCGAATAGAATATTTATACTTATATACACTCTCAAAAAAAACAGACTTATAAGATATTGTAGAACCGATAAAGGAACCATCGATACTATTTAATATATTAATCAATCATTTACAAATTATTTAATAATAACAATTTTACAATATAAGAATTGATTTTGATACCTTTACATCTTTTATACTCATTAAAAAAAATATTTATATCATTCGGAGCTTAAGATAAAATATTTTGAAATATCAGTAAATCTGTTAGTAAAATAGAAGAAATATTAAAAATAAAAATAAATTTTTTTTTTGCTTTTATTTTTATAAACCTTTTAATCAATCAATAAAGACATACAAAAAATAGATAATACACTCGATAATATCTTGAGGGTATACTAGTGCGGGTGCGCGTCTATTATTTTTACTCATAGCTATACTCATTTAAGAAGATTGTAAATTTATCCCAAGAGCTATCATTAAAACGCTGTATAAATACTGGTTTCATAAAATATTCTTCGTATAACGTTGATAAATCATTAGCTCGTACAAGAGCTTCCTTCATATTTGATCGTTCTTTTAATTTACTAACTTAATTGTATAAATCACTTGTTTGATTTTCAAGAATATTGACTCGATTAATAGTTTTGTAAAATATACGAGAATGTTGACGTACAAATGCAGAAATTTTTTCACTAATCTTTTTTTGATTATCTTCTGTAACCCAGATCGATCATTCAAACGATCTGAAATGTCGCCTTCTAAAGCATGAAATCGTGTAATTCCTGCTGTGAATGGCTAAAACCGAGCGCTTCTATTAGCCGTATTTCAACGGTTTTAGACCGTAGTCCGATGGGTGTGGGTGAGCAAGTGTGAGTGGTCTATTTCACCCACACCTACACCCTTCATTTATAATTAAAATTTATCATTATTAGACTAAAGCATCGTCCGCATAATTCGAATTCCAACAAAATGGTCTTCTTGTTTGTTATGTTCACAAGCATATCGTTGATGATTGGTATTCTTACAGTTTATTTCTAATTTCATAATTTGATCATATAAAAGACCTGTTTTGTCTTCAAGAATATATACTCGATTAAACATTTCGAAAAACACACAAGATTGTTGTTCCAACAGTTCAAAAAATTTTCGAACAATATTTTGTAAATCACCTTGATTAATTTTTCATGAATTTATTGAAACATGTATACATAGATTTTGAACTTATATAATATTGTTGAAAAGCTTCACATATGTATTTTTTATCATCTTCTTTAACCCAGGTTGATCATTCAAACCATCTGAAACGCCACCTTAAAAGACATGAAACAATGTAAATCCTGTTGTGAACGGCTAAAATCGAGCGCCTCTTTTGGTTGTGTTTCACCGTTTATAGGTCGTAATCCGGCGGGTGTAGGTAGGTGTGAGTTCTCTATTTCACCCACAACACATGCGCCATCTTTTGATAAGGGGATTGTTTCAATCAATTTGATAACAGAAGAATATTCGAACAGTATTAGATAGCAACTTATTTTGTGTCATTTATATAACCAAATCTATACAAGTATACTATGTGCATATTTTCCAAAATCTATCGATTCATGAGAGTGGGTGTGAATGGGTGTTGGTGTAAGCTAAACATGATGTCTACGCCCACACCCCCACCCCATATCCTCAATAATTTATCTTTGACTCGAATGGATATTTGGCAGATATGTAAAATAATCTGATATAGATGATCATATATGATCCAAGGAACCAACATTATACGCATCTTATAACGAGCTTTAAGTGATTTTCGCTTATTTAAACAAATCTTCCTTCACAGCATCAATTTTTTTCTTGAATTTTTAACTATTTGTTCGTTTACAACGGAAAGTAAAAAACATAAACATCATGGGTCATAAACATATATTATCAATCATATTATAAAATCATATAGATGCAACAGATTAATAAGATGTGGATGTGAGTGTAGCTGGATGTGTGAGGTGGATGTTAATAAAGAAGATTCTCACACCAATACCCTCAAGATGGGTTGATAATGATCGAAAATTTTCAGTTTAAATAAAACTTCAGAGAGTAACTATAGTTTCATTTTCATTAAAACTGAAGAAATTTGTTTAATAGTGGCAAATTTATTATTAGCTTTCTTTTCTTTTCTTTTTTCTTTTCTTTCGCCCTACATTTTTTATTATTGATCAAACGATTCAGTTGCAAAAGAGTGTCAACAAAATTGCGAATCATAACATAACGACGCGCATAAAAAATGAGAATCTTGAGGGTGTGTATTATTCGTTGATGTTGTGCAAGATCGTTGATGTACGTCATCACCACATAATAAATACATGAGTTTTTTCATTCGTTTTTTCTATTCTATACTTTATTCAAACAAACTATTTGTCGCAAATGGAAGCAATTTTCATATCTTTCATATCGCTCGTTATAATTAATACATGCTTGGCAAGATATTCAAGCTATAGTAGCAGCTCTGATATTTCATTATCAACCGGTGCGATTATAGGTATTGCAGTGGGTGGTGGTGTTTTCCTTATTATTATTATTGCAGTACCAATAATAATAGTCTGTTGTTTAATAAAACAAGCGAACAAACGAAAAATGGGTATAGCCCCCTTCGCAGGGAACACAGCCTGGGCTCAACAACAAAATCAATATCAACCACCAGGTTTTAATCAAGCATCATATTCTGGATTTAATACTAAAGCATAATCAACAAAATGACACCAGTTTCATGAAACACATTCTATATGAATAAGTCTTTGGTACAATCAATCATCAATGTATTATCATGTGAAAAAAAATCAATTAACACATAAACTGTACAGCTAGTATGTTATGATCTTCACATGTCGTGAGATCATGTCATTGCCACCATTCTCTCTTTCTCTCTCTCACTAGTACAATCTTTGTAGTACTATCTTCTCTCTCTTGTGATTTTCAGATCGTATATATAGTGAAATTATTTTGAATAAAAGACACAGAATCGAACCGACACAATCTTAAAGCCTACATGAGATGTGGGGTGTAGGTGGTTGTGTGATGAGTAGGAGACCCACGCCCACGTACCGCTTGACTGATCAAATTTAATGAAAAATCAATCTTGATCTAACTCTTTTTACATGGGATTTCTCAGTTAGTCATGCAATCATTGTATAATTTAATGGAACATTTATAATTCTGTTTACTGAATTTTTTCTTTTAGTATCTATCCAATCTATATGCAAACATATGGAATATTTTAAAGAATAGAATGTTTTTGGTTACAATCAACTTTAAATACATTATGTAATAGAAATTAATAAAATGAAAATAAACTTTTTTCCGATTGATTAGCAATATAACAACGATTTAGTTTTATCTATTTCTATTTGGTATCAAAAGAAAACGACTAATATAAAATGACAACGAAACTTCACAGGATAATCAAAGAGAAAATAAATGTTCATTGAATATAAGTTTTTATTTTGATCCATATTTTAAGTGTATATGGCGTAAGATGAATATAACACCCATACTCTACATATACTATAGAAGAATACAGAAATATATGACACCACTAGACACTCAAAATAAAATTCTAAAAACAATCCAGGACACAAATAGAGCAACGGAGAAAACGTATGTATAAGATTTCAAATAAATTGTTTTACTATTGAATTTATTATAAAAAAAACTACTCACCACAATCGAATAAATCAAGCTTTAATGATGCGTAATATTCTTATCTATATCGTACGATTTTCTTTTTGCGTTAAATGATACATGTGTTTCTTTTTCAACGTGACAAAATTTTATCTTTCTATACATTTTTTTCTCTCAACTAAGTATTTGATTCATGGTGACTATACATAACATAGATAATATATCCAAGATAGAAGGAAAGAATTAGTAAATATAAACAACGACAATAATAAGAAAAAAAACAGATTATCAAACTAATAAAAGATAAATATATTTGAAAAAATCTGAACAAACGACAATAAATCATTGACAATAACTCGAATAGGAAAAACAAATATGTAGAATTTTTAAAATCTATCGAATAGTTCGTATTATTGAGATTTTAACAACGTGAACTTCTTTCCAAGAGAGTTGTTTCAAAGAACTTTCCAGTTGTTTTTCTAAAAGAACTTCTTTATAAATTTAGTCAAATCGTATGTAAAATGATGTTCTATTTTTATCTATGATAAAAAAAAGATTTATTTTATACAAATTACTTGAAAGTTATCTCACAAATATAAATGCATTCGACTCATTTAGTTGCATCCATAAAAAATCAACTAAATTTTAACTAAACTAATACAAATATAACAGTCAGTAGAATATAAACATTTAATTTTCATTATTAAATTCTTTTTATAGAAATTTTCTTTTCTTTTATGATCATTATCTTTAGTTTTGCAGATTTATGCATGGATAAGTTTAAACCAAATGATATCAATCTATTTTACGACACGTTTCGTCCTATTCTAAGGGGCTTATAGGGTAGATTAGGAATCCTATTATCTTCTGTATATCATTCTTAAATCGAAAGTCCGATTAAGAATAGAAGAATAAAAGAAAACATTAAATTCGAATCATCTTGTGTTTTCTTCTGTCACCTACAACTGCATCTACACTCACACTCGAAAATTCATAGAGATATGATTATAACCTTAATTTATTTATTTAATAGAAACGTAATGAAAAATCATTTAAATGTAAGTTAAGTTTTTAAAAATTTATTTTGTTCAAGTAGCAGTTTTAGTAAAATAGAATATCGAGTGATAATAATGACTGTAAAGTTTCTACTTACCATAATTGTACAAATATGAAATAAAATTAATCATGAAATTTTAGTCAAATATAGGAAGTCGTAGAGTTTACGAATAATAAAATTTATCAGAAAAATATTTGTATCGTTGTGCCTGTTTATAAACAAATTCTATCTATTGAATTGTTTGAATATCGTTTAGTAAATAAAAGTATTAAATTTAATAAAAAATGAATTTTGCCTGTAACAGATATATATATAGAAATAATATTATACATTTATTTCATTTTTGATTTCACTGCATTCAATACTATATTTAATTATAGTTTCATTGTTTCCCTTCCTCTTCATTCTTGTACATATATAAAAACATGTCCTTTTTTCTTGTGTTTTTTTCTGCGTAGATTTATTTTGTTTTTTGAAGAAATAATGATGATAAATATTACACGCACATTTAGTACATGTATTTTATTTTCAACCATACTTTATATCATTCTCTATTAATGATGTAAATATTTTGTATTTTAGTATTACATTCATGTGCCTTCGATGAAGTGTGACTGTTTTGTTATTGACGACTTAATAGGTAAGAAAAATATCTCATTAAATATGGTCTTACTACTTTTTCGTTCTGCTCAACATTAAGTACTTGAAATTGAAATATATCAATATGGACGATAACAAACAGAAATCTGTATGGAATGACGTTCAAAAACAGGCCAAAACAACACTGGATGTGTGGAAGAAACGCAATAGTCAACCAACTTCATCATCACTATCTACTCTTACCGATAAACAAGTGGACAAGGACACATTTCTTAACGAGGAATTACCAAAAAAATTGTGTGAAATTCTGGATTATTGGCATACCAATCATTCATTAGATAAAACTCAAAAAGATACATTTCAGGAATGCAGTGAATATTTGCTTGAAGTCTCAAAGAACAATAGTGAACTTATAAAATGGTTCAATCAACAGGAGAAATTAATCGATCTAGTGAAACAATGTAGCGATGATATTGCGTCTCATGGTTATTATTTAGATATTAAAGGAACAGAAGATCCCAATATAGGATCATTTGATAGACTCATTCAAGCTTTTACCAATAGTAACTGTGATCAGTTGCTTGATGTTATTAGTCGATGCATCTTCAATCGTCTCTATAACGAAACATTATATAATATCGGTAAAACCAATGCGTCCACTTTGAGCTTGATTCAACAATTTCTATTAGTAACCTGTCCAGATTATATTCTCACATGTGACCAAAATAAATCTCAATTACGAAAATTTCTCGAGTATATGTTACCTCACTATGCTGAATTGTTTACTCATTTTCTTCCCAACATTGAAAAATGGACTGATACAGTTGTATTATGTCTACTCTATCCAATTCGAGTTATCCTGTCTGATTCAAAATCCTTGTCATTAGAAGAGAAACGTCTTATTCAAGAAGCACTCATAACAATTCTTGTCAAACAACCGCTTTCTAATTCCAATTACAAAGAAGAACATATCACACTTGTTTATGCTACACTTAACGTTTTACTTGAAATTGTTCGTTCCGAGCATAAACTTTTGGGTGAAATGAAGAAGGAAACAGCTGATAATAGCAAGTTACTAGAGATCCTGAAACAGCTCTCGACCGATAAACAAAATGAAAAAGTACAATTACATGCCTTAGAATTACTTTCTTTTCTTGTACCAGAAAAAGAGTTTCTAAAAACAAACGATTCAGCGAAAGTCACCGAATTATTTGCGAAAAATTTTAACGAAGCAGTGGAAGATAACAAAGATCGGACGGCAGATGATCTCATGCAAGGATTAAAAGGTCATAAAATTACTATTGATATATTCATCAAACATCATGTTTCAATATTTTTTTTAAATTAGGTTTAGTACAGAGTGAAGAAATAAAACAGCAATTTGTGGAACAAAATGTTCTACCATCAATTATGCAGTACGCCAAAGAAACAAGTGATGATCCGGCGCCACTAGAAGCTGCCTATGCACTTGCATTCAATTCAGATGCGAAGAAAGCATTTAAGGAAGATCAAGAGTTTGTCGATCATGTTGAAAAAATGAAACAATCCGACAACAAGGATGTGACAAAAGCAGCTCATGGAATTATGTGGAAATTGGAGGATGAAGAGAAGTTTAAGAAAGAAGCAGACGAAAAAAAATCGAACGAACAATCAACGAAAGAAACAAAAGAATCAACAGATGATAAAGAAAAACAAGAAACAAAAGAATCGACAGATGATACAGAAAAACCTGAACAGTACGACATGATGATTTCGTATTGTTGGGCACAAAAAGAATTGTGTCATAAACTTAATGATCGTTTAGAAAAAGATGGCTACAGTGTTTGGTTAGATAGAGATGAAATGCGTGGTTCGATCGTTGAATGTATGGCGGAAGCTATCGAACATTCTAAATGCGTACTAATCTGTATGTCGAGCGATTACAAGTCGAGCACCAACTGTCAAGCGGAAGCTGAGTATGCATTCAATCGAAAAAGTAAAATGATCCCGTTGATGGTCGAAAAAGATTATAAACCCGATGGTTGGTTAGGCTTTATGGCAGGATCAAAACTCTATGTCGATTTTGCGGATAAGGACGATGAAGAATTCGATACTGCCTATGAACTCTTGATTGCTGAACTCAAACGCCAAGAAGCGGATGAGAATGCTGAGAACGAAGAGGCAAAATTAGCCACTGATTCTTCTGAAGCTGAACCGACTCCAGAAGAAGCTGAACCACTACCTATACAAACACGACAATATTTGAGCGTTGGTCCAGTAACCACGTGGACCGACGTACATGTCAATGAATTTATTACTGACAATGAACTCGATCTACTACTACCAATATGTAAATCAATGGATGGACCACTACTACATGAATTTCATCAAGCCTGCCAAGCAACACCCAGTGCAATGTTCACTGTGACTAATAAAAGTGTAGAAGGTTCACCAATACCACTGGATGTCTTCTTCAAATTTATTCTGAAGCTAAAACAGTTCATACCTCCACCAAAACGACCGTCAGTGATATTTTTTCGATACGATTTCGTTTATGCACCTTTGACAACGAGCACTAAACCTGTCAATGCATCCAAAGTTTAATTCTTACTTTTCTTATTTTCGATGAACATGAATATTAATAAATGGTGATGGTAGATTTTGTCTTAATAAAACTTATAAAAAAATAGTAGAAAACATGTGTACTATTTATCTTCGGCGTAAATGATGTTCCTAACAGACTACATACTTGTATTTTTTCTGTTCCAACTTTTCGTTTTTTTTACAGAAATTGCTTTCCTGTTATAAGAAGATAAAGGATGAAAGATATGATATTGATATGGCAGTTGTTACTGGAATAATAGCATGTTAATACTTTGCATTTATTTATTTGATTCACACCTATTTCTATTGCTTGTTGAATTCGATTACTGCTTCAGTACTGTTCATCCCATATGTATGCGACACGTCACTATGACACATGTGTTAGTATAATGGCTTTAAGAAGATACGTAAAACATTATGTGTTCACACAGCTTTTTTTATGCATCGCATAACGACACATGTCGGTATGTGTTCTGGATAAAAAAAAGCGTATACTATAGACAAATGTAAGGAAAGAAAAAAAAATGGTTGTCTTTCGTCGTATATAAACTCCAAATTTTGTGTTTAAAGTTCATAAAAAGACATTTTTTTAAAACTAAGTTCATTTTTTACTTGTAGATTTAGCTTAATAATTAATTTGTCATATTTAATTTTTTCAATCAATTTATTTATTAATGAAACTTAGGTATTTTTTCTTTTTTTTAAAAATGTATCCAATTTTGTTTGAAAAATAAAATATTGAAAAAATATATATAAAGTCTAATAAACATAAAAGAATGAAAAATAAAATCTTTATATGAAAAAATAAACCAAAAAAGGTATCATGTTTGTACAGTTGAGTTTTTTATCGATCAGATGTGTTTTTGAAACAAAACTGGATAAATTTATAAAAAAAAGTAGAAAAACTCAATTAAATTTCATAGAAATAAAATCCTTTGAATTTCATTAATAAATAAATTGATTGAAAAAAATTAAATATAACAAATTAATTATTAAGCTAAATCTACAATTAGAAAATAAACTTAACTTTAAGAAATAACGTAGTGTGAAATTTGAACATGGAATTTAGAGTTTATATACGACAAAAGACGACCATTTTTTTTCTTTCCTTTACAATTGTCCATAATATACTCTTTTTTATTCAGAACACACTACCGATACATGTGTCGTTACGCCATGCACAAAAAATATAAAGACTGAACACATAATGTTTTACGTACCTTCATAAAATCATTATTTCAACACTATTTCTATTACATACACACTCACACCATCAATGCTATTCAATAACAGCAAGTATATTGCAACAAAATAGCAATTAAGGTGAGAAGAGTACAATCATTTGATGAAGCATTAGATTCATTCTGGAAGTTTTGGAGATTAAGATTGATTCCTGAAAAACTGATATTGAAGATGTACTCATTGATGCAGAATAGTAAAAGTAAAGGCCTACACTATACTAAATCAACTAAAGGAATCGAAAGAATTAGTTTTAGAAAAGAATCTTTGTTACAGTCATATCTTCATATGTCTTCACACATTCTTTCACATCGTATCTGGTTTTTCTTTATTCACATTCTTTGTTTGTTTTTCTCTCTCTTTTCTGTTTTTATTCTTCATTCGAATAAGATACAACGTGAAGAGAGGGTTCTATCATATTTGGTGCCATGACCGGTTTTCTTCACATATACAATCGAAAAAGAAGCAACAACTTTTTTTTGTTTTTTCTTATAACTTTTGTTACATCATGGCTTCTCTACCAATACGACTCAATTTACGATTTAATAGCAATCCGGAATATTCATTGCCACATAATATTATCACAGAGTGTCTTCCACGATCGTTCGTTGATCCCGTATTACAAACTACTTGTTCATCTAATACATCGTCTTCTCTATGCATATCCTTACCTACGATGACTTTGAATTCATTATTAGCTGTTTTTACAGACAACTTCTCTTGAAGAATGTGTGAAGGTATATGAAGATATGACTGTGACAGTCTTGAACTTCACAGTTAACTTTATCATGACATTGAAGTTTTAGTTTAGATCTACTTGAGACACAAGAGTTTACGTCTCTGGGTATGAAAAAGTAACTTTAGACAATGCATGATCTGACACTTTATTATGTGACACAGAAGAACTATTCTGAACATCGATCTAATGACCAGTTTCTTTTTTAGTTTAGCCACTTTATCATGGATCGTATGGTTTATATCGACAGACAACGATCAGTTCACATCTCACGCCAGCTCTAGTGCAGAAAGCGCATGGGTGATACGTGTCACACTACAGTTTTATGGAAGTATGCGACGGTTCTATTTTAGTTTATCCAAAAAAAACTAGCGTTAACTGAGTATAGAAAAACTCTCTAAGTCACATATTAATAGAAGAGAAATCAACTGCAAACGAATCTGGTTGCGAGTCAATGTTTGTCTTTATCATCACGATTTTGGGATTTAATGAGACGAATTGAATTTTTTGAGAAAAAAATTTCTATCGGTCACATGATCATCTCATCAGAGTCGAAAGGCTTTCTATGGCGTTTTTCGAAAAGTAAAAATAAAGTATTTTCTCTACTATGACAGGAATAATCTCTTAATCAATACATTCATCTATTGTAGATATCATTCAACTACATACTTCTTCTTTCTTCGGAACATAACTTATCCAATACTCACGAAAAATGGCATCCAACACGAAGACCATTTCAGTTACATACACACAGTTAGGCAAGATGATTGACCACTCTCTACTTCATCCAACGATGACTGATAGTGACATTCTCGCTGGATTGGAAATCGCCAAAAAATACAACGTAGCTACGGCCTGCATCAAACCATATTCGATCCCGGTAGCTAAGAAGATTCTAGCCGGATCTGACGTTCTCATTTGTCCAGTTATCGGTTTTCCCCATGGCAACAGCACAACCGAAATCAAGGTAATCGAAGCAGAGGCTGCTGCCAAAGCTGGTGGTCAAGAAATCGATATGGTTATCAACATTGGCAAGGCCCTTGGAGGGGACTGGGACTATGTTAGCAAGGAGATCCAACTCATCAACGAAGCTGTCATAAAACATAACGCTATTTTAAAAGTTATTTTCGAGAACGATTATCTTCAAGACCAACATATTATCAAGCTCTGCCAAATTTGCTCATTGCTCTCGGTTGCTTTTGTCAAAACATCAACTGGATATGGTTTTGTTAAGAATGCTGATGGTCTATACTCCTACAAGGGTGCCACCATCCCGCATCTTAAGTTGATGCGAGAACACTGTGCACCAGGTGTACAAATCAAGGCTGCTGGTGGTGTTCGAACGCTGGATGATCTACTTGTTATAAGATCGTTAGGCGTAACACGCGTGGGAGCTACCGCCACTATTGCTATAATGGAAGAAGCTAAGGCACGCGGCATCACGGATACGCCAACCGAAGTCATCGTGAAGTCAGCTGATCATCTTCAGGGCGGTTATTAAAATAAAAAAAGGAACACGAAGTATCTTAATTTTCATTTTTTTAGTAACAGAATGTAACTAATTTTTTTAAAATTATACAAGAACTGTATTTCTAAGATCCTGATAGTATGCAAGAGCGTGTGACTGTCATATCTTATGTAAACACTCACATCCTGTTTAGATTCAGAGAGTAAGATTTGTTCATGAAGAAATTTTCATTCGAACGATTTTCTACTGAAAAATTTCAGTTGGTCTAATATTTATTATATTCCACGAAGATTTTTTAAAGATTTTATTGATTTGACTACTGTATTTCAAGCAACTGATGCATTTCACGAAGTTGCAATTCCCACAATGATTAACATTATCGATTTCACTTATCGAAATACATCTTTAAATAGTATCGTCAGACGATTATTGAAAAGTAATGGACAATTGACGATCAGAGAAATTTTACATTTATCGATAAAAATTTTCGGTTATTTTAGAAATTATTATTATAGACGCTCTGAGAACGTCTATCAATAGAAGAATTACTCGTTTTCTAAATAATATCTGCACAGTTTTTTAATCAAATTATATAAAACTCAAACAAATATTTCATGTTCAATAAAACGGCTGTTTTCTCTTTATCTATACCTGTTGTCTATGTTATTTGAAAAAAAGATCAACGTTTACATTTTGGATAAAGTGAATAGAAATTAAAAAAAGGAATTGATTGAATTTCTTACTTCTAGTAAACACTATCTTGTAATACAGAAATGTTTCAAATGAAAAATAAGCTAAAAAAGTTTTTTATACGAGATACTTTATTATCACTTAATATATTCACGAAGTTATAGATTCATATAAATAATTCAAATAAAAGGTATGATATACAATTTGACACGTTGGTTACAAAAATAAGTCTTGTCTAATATTTTTGTTTAAATAAATAAATTTTTTTTGACCTTGTAGTTTCATCTATATCTGTTTTGTAAAAGTTCGTATCTTCTATGTCAAAAATTTAAATCTCATAAGTTCTTGCAGCATTTTCTATAACGAGTACGAGTTGAGTTTACTTCAGACGAGCACATTGATTACAAAAAGAGATTTTTTTTGTATACACGTGCTTTTGTATTATAATATATAAAGAGGAAGAAAGTCACGACCGTTACTTGCTTTTCTTTACTTACGTCGTCATGCTTCACCAATTTTTCATTTTTTTTTATCATATTGAAAAAAAAGCCAGTATCGATATGCATATTCTGCACTTAATAAATATTATTTTTTATCACAGTAGTATATCAACTAATGCATCCTTCTCTCACTGTCTGGAATAAAATCATATTCAAGTATGGTAATTGCTGATTAATAAAATATTAAACAATACAATAATCGATGAATTAGAAAAGCAATTTTTTTTCTATGATTTCATAGTTATATTTAGATAAAACAAAGACTCAGAAACCGTAAGTAAAAGATCCATTTTTATGTTGGCTATACTGTCGAGCTATACCTTTTTAAAATCAAGTGAGATTCTACGATTTATTCTAAAAAAATATCAGTATCGTTATGACGTCCTTGAGATGATATTTACAAACAGCCTGTATTTTGTCAACAAATATTATTTGAGAACGAAGGTCCGGATTATATCATTCAAGTTCAAATATAAATGAAGTTTTAAGTGTTTAATAGGACTACAAAACAGAGAGATTTGCTAGATTCCCTTTCAGATGATTCGAATAAGAAACTGAAATCTTAAAGTTATTTACTCAAAATTAATTAGATTCCTTTTCTTCATTATCTCTGTATGAATTTGATTAATAGAAATCTTTTGAAAAGTTTTGGTGTATTCTTCAAACTATTAATTATTTTATTCATGAGTAAATACACATTTTCACTGCTCATTTTTTTCTTATTTGATGATGACTAAAAGAATTTTTTTTCATTTTTCATTTTAGATAAAAAGAAATCTTTATTTAAAGTACATTAAATCAAAGAAAATGAATATTCTAATTCCAATGGGTGGTATTGGTCATCGTTTTAGCAAAGAAAATTATCGTTTTCCTAAACCATTAATAAATATTGTTGGTCGACCAATGTTATTTTGGTTATTAGATAATTTAGATACGAAAGAAGATGATATTATTTATCTTGGATTATTAGAAAGTTTAGAAAAACAATTTAATCTTGTTCAAACAATCAAAATGGAATATCCAAATCGAAAATTTGAATCGGTTGTAATAGATTTTGAAACACGAGGAGCTGTCGAAACATTATTTATAATGTTACAATTTTTAAATCCAGATCGTTTAGATTGTAAAACAATTTCTCTTGATTGTGATACAATTTATTTTCAACCTATCCTTGAAAAATTTCGTCGTCTACCAATCGAAATCAATGCTTCATTTTTCTTCGAAGATAATGGAGGAAAACCAGTTTTTTCATATTTAAAATTAGATGAAAATCTTACGGATGAAGGATATCATTCAGTAACAGATGTACGAGAAAAAATCATGATTTCAACTCATGCAAATACAGGAGCTTATGCATTTCGTTCAGCAAGAATTTTAAAACAATATTGTATTCAATTATTAGATGAAGCTGTTGGATCTTCAGGAGAATATTATACAACCAATATTATTAAATTAATGTTAGAAGATCAAGAACGTTTTGTTGGAATTGAAGTTAATATTAATGATTTTGTTTGTGTTGGAATACCTGTTCAATTAATTGATTTTTTAAAAAAGCTCAAAACGGATCAACATTCTTATCCGGTTAGAAAAATGAGATTTTGTTTTGATTTGGATAATACATTAGTTTCTTATCCAACAAAATATGGAGATTATAGTACAGTTCAACCAAAAGCACAAAATATTCAATTAGTACGAGAATTACATAAGGCTGGACATTATATTATTATTCAAACAGCACGAAGAATGAGAACACATCATGGTAATGTTGGTGCTGTTATTGCTGATATTGGACGAGTGACATTAGAAACATTGGCTCAATTTGAAATTCCATATGATGAAATCTTTTTTGGAAAACCATATGCTCATATCTATATTGATGATTCAGCTATTAATGCATTAATTGATACAGCTAAAGAAATTGGATGGGTACTTGATAATACTGAGTCCGATGGAGAAAAAGATAAAAAAATTAAACCTTTTATTACTTCTCGAGATTTACATACGATCGAACAATTGGATAATCTTATTATTAAAACATCGTCAATCGATGATTTACGAGGAGAAATTTATTTCTATGAAAATATTCCATCAAATATTAAGGATTTATTTCCACGATTAGATCGTATTGAAACAAATAAAGATGCGGGAGTTTCATCACTTGTTATTGAAAAAATCAATGGAATAACTTATTCACATTTATTAACAAATTCTGTTTTAACTCAAGATCGTTTACAAAAACTTTTATTATCTTTAAAACGTATTCATTTATCATTACCAATCGAATCTGTCGAATCTCAAACAAATATTTATTTGAATTATTCACCGAAGATCTTATCACGTTATAATCAATATATTGATATTTATTCAAATTTAGATAAACATTTTCAATCATCATTAATTCATTCGAAAGAACTTTGTGATTATTTAATTAAATATTTCAATGATTATGAAACATCTAAACGTGGTAAATATAATTCAATAATTCATGGTGATCCAGTTTTTAGCAATGTTTTGTTAACACCACAAAGTGATGTCATTTTCTTGGATATGAGAGGTTCTCTAGGAACACAACTTACTTTAGAAGGTGATTTAAATTATGATTTAGCTAAAGTTTATCAATCATTAACTGGATATGATTTTGTTTTATTAAATAAAGTCGATTATTTCTCAACAGATATGGTGAAAAAGTACATGTCTGAACTTATTGAAACATTTCAAACGTTCATTTCAAAAGAATATACAAATCTTACAAATTTCGATGAGTTAAAAATGATTACAGCACAATTATATTTCACTTTAATTCCATTATATAGTGATTTTCAAAAACAAATTCAATTTTATAAAATTGCAGTTCAACTTTATAATGAAAGTATTTCACAACAAATAGATTCTATTCAATCAAATGACAAACATTTATAGAATTTACTTTAAATATTATTAATTATTACATAAATAACATTTAAATAAAAAATCTTTAATATTTTTTTTTATCTTTTATAAAAATCTTTCGCCAAGAGAAATTCAAAGAGTTCAAGCATTTCGAATAACGATCATGTACAGACATCCAGATTGATCGGACAATATTCTAAACATAAAATTAACAAGTAGTTTCCGCTTGTTGAAGGTGTAGGTGTGGGTGTGGCTTAGAGCCCGCCGAGTCCACGATTTTTTGGACCGGGACCCTTACAATAAAATGTTTTTCAAATCCACGCCCAAACCCGAAGTCAAGTCCGAGTTATCTTTTGAGTCAAAAATAGGTCGATATTTTTCAGTATTGCAGCCTTGTATTCGAACGATCAACTCTGATAATAAAAAAATAAACTATCTCAAGGAAGAGTGTCAATATTCTCTTGACTCACACTCACAAATGAATTACATTTTATTTTTATTGAAGTTCTATTATCAAATTAAAAGAATAACTATCTGACATCGATAATATAAAGAGAAAAAGAAGTAAGGATCTCAAAGTTGCTTGTTAATTATAACATACAGATATTGATTCGATATTGTCATTATATTAAATTCATTTTATTTTATTTTACAAAATCAAACAACAAATAAAAAAGAATTTATACAATATTCATTTCAAATATTCTATTCATTAATTTATATAATGTTGATGAATAGCTGCAGGAATACCAGTTATAGGTTGAGAATATTGATTACCTATTGGAATAAAATCAACTTCACGTTCAACATTAACACGTCCTGTATATGGATTACGATAAAGTTCAACATCTTGTGAATAGATTCCATAACCATAATTACCAAAATCAATAGTTTGATAATTTCTAGTCCAAGTATTATTCATTGGACTAATAGCAGCAATGGGTTGAGCAAACATTTTGTTAATAATTCTGAAGTATAATAAACAGTGAATTGATATTGGTATGAATGTATGAAAATGAGAAAGAAACTTGTGAGTATTTATACTATATGATAATATACCTGTATAATAATAATAATATAAATAAGAGCGTCATATAATATACGTCATCGATGATGTCATATTTATGTTATACTCCCATAAATGATAAAAATAAATGCTGTGCAGTGTGATTGAGTCGATTAAGAATATTCGTGAATATACTCTAAAAGTTCGTTTTGATAATTCTTAAGCTTTTTTTCAACTATAAAACGATTAAAATTTGATTTTTAATATTTTACTTAGAATGTTCTCTAAGATTCTTTTTCATATAATTAAGTATTTCATGATTAATTCTTATTTTGCATTTATTTAAATCTTTATGTTAGCGTCATACAATGATAAACGACTCTATTCAATAAAACAGAATCATATAAGTTTAAATAGATTTTATTCATGAAGTTATTTCAAAAATTACATCTAGAATTTGTTATTCGTAGAATAAAACTGTTCGATGTTATAATTCAAGCACTTGATATTGCTATATTCTTGCAAATGTTATCAATTCGAATAATATTTCTGATATTATTTTTCATAATCGTTTATTAAGTTTTAACTAAACTAATTTCAAAGAATAATTGAAAGTATTTTTCATACAGATACAGTTAAATATTTGTATCTTAAATTTGATCATTTATAAAATATTTTAAGATTAATTATATTATTTTTTTCATGGTAGATTTAACTAATAATTTCGAATTATTACATGATGAAATTGAAAAATAGTTTCTTTTATTGAAAATTTTTAATCATCTTTGAACATAAAAATAAATACATAATTATTAAAACGAACTATTAGAATAAATGTGATTAAAATAAAGCTATCATAGAGTATATTCCGAATATTCTTATTCGCACTTCATAACATTTATTTTTATCATTTATGGGAGTATAACATAAATATGACATCATCGATGACGTATATTCTGGGCTGCGATTCGACCTATTTTTCCTATAAATCCTATATTTTTGACGAATCCTCTAATTTGTCCTATATTTCGACTGCTTTTCCTATTTTACCTATATTTTATCGAAAAACAGAGAAATATAACTGATTTTATAAAAATATGAGAAAATAAGAGATTATTCAAAGAGTATTAGCCGAATTTTACACCGACAAGCTAGTGAGTACTGATAAAGTCGATCTTTATACATTAAAAAAAAGATCGAATATATATATATATATATATATATATGTATGCACATGTATAGACGCTGTCAATTAATACACGTAAGACGGCGATATCTATTGTACGTAATATTATTTGTATTTTCACATCTTCGACGAATTTGCTAAGAAATTATTTAATTAAATCTTCTAAAGATCCAATAGTCAAAAGAATAAAACTAATGTATAGAAAATAATCATATGTTCTGCGAACCTTTTTTCACAGTTTCACGTATGTACAAATGTGCGTATTTTTGTGATAAATTTTAGCAGATAGATGAAACATGTATAAAGGGGGTGATAAAAAAATCATCACTTTTTACTCACGCTAGAAATATCATAATACGAAAGTCCCTATTACCTAGCTCACAAATCCGGTATCTATTCGTCTAAGTCTGGTCCTTTTTTTTTGGTGTTTCCCGTAGGGCGATACTTGGCTCTCAGTACTAGACTCAGGTACTCCCTCATAGAAATCGCTGAAAAAAGGGAGCAGATCTAGACAAGCGGGTGTCAGATTCGTGATCCAGGTGACAAGGACTTTCCTATTATGACATTTCTAACGTGAGTAAAAATTCATGATTTTCGAACATCCTCTCTAACCCTTTGATTACTTGTCACATATATATATATGTGCTGACTACCACATCTTGATACATTTCTAAAAGTGCTTAACCCTTTCAGGACCCTGGCACATTTGTTATACCACCTATCTGAAGGGAGACCCAGCCCTTTCAGAAATAATGTTTTTTTTCTGAGATCGCCATCAAAAAGATAGTTCATGATTGACACACCGATGTAAAAAAGATAAAAGCAAAATTGATCCTGAAAGGGTTAAATATAACAAGAAAGTTTATTTTAGCATTTTGTATAATAAAAAAACCATTTTATTTTAAATAAAAATTCCTCAATCAAAGGGTTAAATAAGCATTTATTTATTTATCAAATTTAATTATGAGAAAAGTATTTGTTTGCTTTTTCGCTATTTATTTTTGAAAGTTTACGATTTACTTCTTTTTTTGTTATTTACTGAAATGTGAATAAACTGTATTATAATCGAAATTTCAAACGCCATTTGATTTATATGATTATTTTGATAGCAAAGAATTACGCAACTGTAAGTAAAGTGTGATCGTTTATTCTAATTCTATCAAAGGAAAAATATGGAGTAATAAAACTAACAAAACTATATGTTTTCTCAAAAATAATACATACCTATATTTTTGCCATTTTTTATGGAAAATCCTATTTTTACAGAAAAATAATCCTTTAAGGATTCCTATTTTTTTAAAAATTCGCAATCGGAGGCCAGCGTATATTATATGACGCTCTTATTTATATTATTATTACACAGGTATATTATCATATAGTATAAATACTCACAAGTTTCTTTCTCATTTTCATACATTCATACCAATATAAACTCACTGTCTATTACATTTAATAATTATCAACAAAATGTTTGCTCAACCCATTGCTGCTATTAGTCCAATGAATAATACTTGGACTAGAAATTATCAAACTATTGATTTTGGTAATTATGGTTATGGAATCTATTCACAAGATGTTGAACTTTATCGAAGTCCATATACAGGACGTGTTAATGTTGAACGTGAAGTTGATTTTATTCCAATAGGTAATCAATACTCTCAACCTATAACTGGCATTCCTGCTACTATTCATCAACATTATATAAATTAATGAGTTGAATATATGAAATGAATATTGTATAAATTCTTTTTTATTTGTTGTTTGATTTTGTAAAATAAAATAAAATGAAAAATATAAAAACAGATTCATTTTTTAATTTGATAGAAATAAAGATGGCTATTACAGTTGCCTTCACTTTTGTCCTTAGTTCTATTTAATCATTGTCTATTAGTTGTTACTGAGGAAGTGAGTGAGGGTTTTATATTCATCTCTCATCTTTACTCTCACAATCACATTCACATCTGGTGCAGATTCCACATGGGAGATTAAAAAATAAATCATTAGAAAAAGAGTAATGCATGGATTTTTAAACAGTTTTAATAACTAAATTTTCAATTGGGGATATTATATGTTGTAATAACAATGCCTTATTTTTCCTTCCTTGTATTTTACCATCATGTTTGAAATAATATTGTTGTATTCTGTTAACATTTACATGACACTATAGCAATATTTTTTTCTAAAAATATTCCTTTGAGATGACGAAGCAAAAAAAACGACCCTCTTAGTCAGCTAGTTAAATAAAGTTTAGTTAATTGTTTAAAAGAAAATATTTTGTGAATAAGAATAAGACATTCTTTGTATGGCGTCTATATTAGAAGAAAACAATTATTCATATTAAAAATATCTTCTTTTTTTCTTTTTTTTGTTTCTTCAGTGTTAAAAAATAAATCTAAAATATTTTTTCATTAAACCAGTTTCATCAAATTAAATACACAACAAACTTCTTACTTTATTCTGAACAGAAGAAAATATCTTTTGGTAAGTATTGACTTTTTGAATAGGTTAGAAAAAACAAAAACAATCTTAATTCTATCAGATCATCATAGACAGTATTGGATGAAAAATTCTAGACAAAAAATATTCATATTGAAGAAGAATAGAAAAATGTTTTGAAAAAAATAAATAATCAGATATCCAAAGCTTTTGTTTATTAAGAACTATAGAAAACTATAGAAAAAACAGGAGATTATTGCAATAAACTACCATATGTGTTGGCTAAATCATACTCCTCTGTATAAGTTCTATGAAGATAAATGAATAATTTTTTCCTTATACTCCGTTTATCATTTGAAAGACTTATAAATGAAAAAAAAATATAATTATACAAATGAGATTTTTGCAGCTAAACTATATATTTGTGATATTTCAACATAACAGATCGATGTTTAATATTTATAATCATGATTTTTTAATCTAAATTCTCGTCTAAGATCACTATCGTTAAACATTTCTTGATTTTTAATAAAAATAATCTAAATGTTGTATTTATCCTTCCTTTTTCTTTTTCTATTTTTTCTTTTTCGAGTTGATAGACCGAGAACGACGAGAAAACAAAATAGAATCATCATTAACATGATGCTATGAAGCCGAGCAAACGTATTTTTTTTAGAAACTGATTTTCTATTCGTAATCAAAAGAGTATTTTTTCTCAAGAATATAAGAAAACTATAGTTTCATCACTGTACGTATTATTTCTTAAGTTTTACAATTAGCTAAATATAAAGAAAAATATTAATTAGAATTTATTTCTCGAATTACCTTGTAAAATATGCATTATACTTGATATTGTAAATAGAAAAATTAGAAAACGATTATTCTTTCTTACATGCATCGAATTATATCATAAGAGGCACCGTATTTTATTTAGAAATGTAAAAAAGAATAGTTTTCTAATTGTACAAAATTGTTTTAGAATACGGAAGTTATCTACACAAAATGAACAAAGAAAAAATTTTCCTTATTACGATATTAAAAATGAATAAATCGCCCAGACGTTTACTCTGTGCCATTTCTTTGTATTTAGAAAGTGCATTTTGAATGTCCTTTTTCTTTTTCTTAGGGTTAAGAAAAAAATAATAGAAAAGATTACACTTTTAATTAAAAAAACTAGTTTGACTATATTCGCAATCAACAAATTGCAGAGATGCATATTCTTTAAAAGTAAAGTTTAATTATTTCAATTGGAGACAAATATATACATTAGAATATGTTGAAAAGATGGATTGTTTTTGTATTGATACATATTCGAGTTAAATACAAATATTTGAACAAATTGATACATATTATATACAACAAAATTCGATTTATGACTATTTAAGATAAAAAACGAGAAACTATAATTAGGAAAATAGTTTAATAAGATCTAAAATCAATATCTTTACGAGTAAAGAGCTGACCCAATTTGCAGACGCGTGTTACTTGTTTTTGATAATATAGTATAAATATCAAAGATTTGGATGTCAATCAAAGCAACTACATTCATAGAATCTATATCCAGGTTGAAAAGGCACGGATAGTAAACGACCATATATGGTTGTAAGTTAGTCATGTGCTGAGTTGAATATATCGACCATACATCTGTACGCTATTGAATTCTACAATGACTAATTCAATAATACGTATTAATTAAAATAAACGGGCTGTTCAGCCTGGCCGAAGGATTCCATTCTATTTTTTTCTTAACCAGTATTTATGATATATAAAAAATAATTATTCTACGAATTATAGTATTCGTATAAGGCTATTGATCGATCAAGCAGCCTTATATAAATAGTATAGCTCCCAAAAAAAATTATATCTTCTTGATGTATCATGGAGATTGCATCAAAATAAAAAGAATCTGGACCTTCGATTAGACCAGACATCACAAATATTAGTTTTTATATTATTTGGGGAGTGATAAGGAGCGAGAGGGTATAAGGGGCTTACCGAAATACGATGACAAATTTCAATCCTTTTAAATATACAGACCCTTTTCTATTCGTAGTATCTAGCGTATAAATGGAATCCTTAAATTTCTGTTCCATTAACTGATCGCGTAATCATTTTTAGGTATGCGAAACTACTAAGAAAAACCTTATCTTGCTTTCGTGAACTTCAACGAAATTTTCTAGTCAGGCATTTTTAAAAATCAAGCTCGACTGCGTCGAATGAAGTACATCGACTGCAACATAATATTCATCTATAGATTTTTAAACACATATTATACGAAGGAATATGTAGTTGTATGAAAAAATCACCAGAATGAACTCTAATATGCTGTGTTAGTTTATAATTGTATGCATTGTATAAAATCAGATCTTAGAGACATCGGGGTGCGTTTAAAAAAAGTTTTTATATAAATGTTAGAAGACGGAGTATACAAGAGTTGAATTACGCGAGATGAAGGACATTTCGTGACAGAAAACTTACTGAGTATCGTGAAGATATCCGATTTTATCCGCTCACAATCATATAATGAATTGTTTATTCAATACCATTATCTATTAATACGAAAATAAATTATATTGTAGATATTCAAAATGATATTGTTTGGCTATCTCAATGTTTGGTTGTTTCTATCGATTGTTCGACAAATATCGGGTAAGCATTCGATAAAATTATTTGCTATACTCTTTAGAAGAACCTTCAGCTTATTTTCTAATCGAAAAATGATCAGATCCAGAAATTAGCGTTTTTTATATATGATCAAACCAAATATAATATGCTCATTTCCAGAGTTTTCTTTCGAATTTCAACCAGAAGAATCCAGCTGACGGAATCACTAAGGTATCTGCCGATAAAAATTCGGCAAACATCACACTAAATCTAACAGTTAGATTCTGAGTTTATGATAATCATTACTATACAAATTCTATTGAACAGTTGTATGATTTTTCACAGGTATTTCGTACAATCAACCAAAACTTTGTGCAAATGCAACATGGAATCAGACGGCAATAACTTTTGCCAATAGCACCACGATTGGCATAAGTGCTTTCGGTATGTTTGTCGATACAAATAACAGCGTCTATGTAGCTGATCGAGCAAACAATAGGATCCAAATTTGGTTCAACAGTAGTAAAACAGTTACACGTACTATTTCTGGTGGTTTAAACGCATCTTTTAGCGTTTTCATCACAGATAATAGTGATATTTATGTTGATAATGGTTATGCAAATTATCGGGTTGATAAATGGGGCTTTAATTCTACAAGTAGTGTTCCAACGATGTATATCTGTGGAGCATGTTATGGTCTTTTTATTGATATTAATAATATGCTTTACTGCTCGATGTATAATTATCATGAAGTTGTTTCGAAGTCATTGGATACACGTTTAAATGTATGGAGTGTTGTCGCCGGTAATGGTACAGCTGGATCAACATCGGTTACACTTAATAATCCATGGGGTATCTTTGTTGATATTAACTTGAATTTGTATGTAGCTGATTTTGTAAACAATCGGATTCAAAAATTTGCATCAGGACGATTGAATGGAACAACAATAGCAACAGGAGATATTACATTGTATCATCCAACTTCAGTTACACTTGATGCTGATGGATATCTTTTTATTGTTGACAGTGGTAATAGTCGTATTGTTGGTTCAGGATCTTATGGATTTCGATGCATAGCGGCATGTTCTGGAATGGGTTCATCATCCAGTCAATTATATTATCCAGTAGCTCTATATTTTGACAGTTATGGAAATATATTCGTCACTGATCAAGCTAATAATAGAATTCAAAAAATTCTTTTGTCATCAAACGGCTGTAGTAAGTATAAGGATATATTATGATAAGCAATCTTATTCATCAGAGTAAAATTCTTGAAAAAGATTCTATTCACACTATATTCTCATGCAATTGATTCTTATTTTCGATAAATTAAATACCTAAAATAAACAGAATTCTATTTGTTTTAGATACAACCACATCAACAACTACAACTGCTGGTATGTTAAATATGTCTTTCTTTTTCTATATTGTTAAGAAACTATCTTTGTTTATAGCAATAAATACGACGAGCGTTACTCTAACAACTACTGTATCAACATCCGTGTCTTATTCCAATGGTAAAATAATAACTGAGAATGAGTATTTAATATATTCACCTTCACTTTGGTTTACTGGGCGTAATCCGATGAATTTACGTCAGTTTTTATGAAAGAATATAAGTGTAGAATACATATGAGAATCAAATGTACGTAGAAGTATCTGATTGTCTTTAATTTTCAATGTCGTAGATAGAAATATTCCTAATCAACACATAATTTAAGCGAAAGTTTTTAACATTCCAATGAGAGCCCAGATGCAAGGAATGAGCTGTAAATGATCTAAGATGACTGATGAAACGCTATTATCAACGATGAGAATAATTGTCTTACACCGACTTTTTTATCATGATTTTTGATTGAAACATATTTTAGTTAAAAATATACTTATTAGTATATGCTCACATAAATATTAATCGTATCAATTGTTTTACTACTGATATGAATTAAAGAAAAAAATGCATTTAATAATTAACGAGGCATCTTTTACTTTAAAACAAATGATAGTCGTGATCAAATAGTTTTCCTGCGTGTTTGATAAACAATACAACTTTTTCTATGTTACTTTTAATTATTATATGTAAGATTATCTTTCGAGATGGTATCAAACTGTCCAAATGAGCAAAGATTGTTTAAGAGATCTAAAACTGGAACGATGCAAATGAACTTTATAACAAAATATCTAACACATCTAGTTTTCTAGATTAGAAGTATAGTAAAGTAATCATGACTCGAAAAAGAATCAATATCAAAATAGTTTGTTATAAATGTCTTCTCGTTCTAAATAGGCCTTATTGCATAGTAGAAGTCTTATCACGAACTATTTTAGCATCCAGAGTACATGAATATTTTTAAACTGTGATTGTGGGTATCATTGTTCGTTATTTCACTATGTGATTTGTACATAATAGAATAAAAATAATATTAATATTATTTTAGTTATATCATTCAACCAACCAAAATTTGGTGCATATGCTACTTGGGATAACATTGGTATTACTTTTGCAAATAGTAGTACAGTTGGCACAAACCCATATGGAATTTTCGTAGACACTAATAATACGGTTTATGTAGCTAATAAAGCAAACAATCAAATTCAAGTATGGTTATCGGGAAGTAGTATACCTACAAGAAATATTACCACTGGTGTTACTTCTCCATATAGTATTTTTGCTACCATCACTGGTGATATTTATGTCGATAATGGATATACAAATAATAGAGTCGATAAGTGGGCATCATACGGAAATATAAGTAGTTCAGTAATGCAGGTTCAAGGTGCATGCTATGATCTCTTTATTGATGTTAATAATACTCTTTACTGTTCATTGTATACTCAAAATCAAGTTGCTATAAAATCATTGAATGGCAACTCAAGTATGTGGATCGTTGCTGCTGGTACAGAATGTTCTGGATCAACTTCGAATACACTTAATAATCCTCGTGGAATCTTTGTTGATATAAATCTCAATTTATATGTTGCTGATTGCGGAAACGATCGAGTGCAATTATTTTTATCTGGACAAGTAACAGCAACGACAGTAGCAGGAAGTACAGCTACTGGAACTATCTCACTTGATTGTCCTAGTGATGTTGCACTCGATGGTGGTGGATATCTTTTTATTGTAGACAGTAATAATAATCGTATTATTGGTTCAGGACCTAATGGCTTTCGTTGTATAATTGCATGTGCATCTACCAGTGGTTCAGCATCCAATCAATTAAGTAGTCCATCGACTTTTAGTTTTGATAGTTATGGAAATATATTTATTACTGATCAAGGCAACAGTCGAGTGCAAAAATTTTATTTAACAACCAATATTTATAGTAAGTAAATTAGAATTTTTTTTTGTAAAACTTAATAACTAAAATAAAACCTAATCAAAGAGATTTATTTGAATTAATCAATCTTAGTTTTTGTTTGTGTACTACACATTGTGTATTAAACAACAGTGAAATTCATTCTGATTATATTAAACTATCGAACTAACTTTTAGCGTTATTCGTTGAGATACTTCATAGAAGTCCTATTGAAATCTGTTAGTAGATCTATCAATGATTTCATCAATAAGATTTAAATTTTTTATACTCCGAAATATTTAACTTGATGAACATGTTTGAAAAATAACATCAATGATTTTTTTAATTTATTTTTATTTTTAGGTACAACTATCAATCAACCAAGCTTCTGTCCATCTACAACTTGGTATACAAATGCAATTACATTTGCTAATAGTAGTATGGTTGGATCAATTGTATTTGGTGTTTTCGTTAGTATTAATAATACTGTTTATGTAGCTAATCAGCAAACTAATCAGGTTGTAATATGGTACGAAGGAAGTACTAATCCAGATAAAATTCTTTCTGGTAGTCTGAGTACACCATTTGATCTTTTCGCAACCCCTCAAGGAGATATATATGTTGATAATGGTTTAAATGGTCGAGTTGATAAATTTGCATTCAACTCAAATCTAAGCACTCCTGCAATGTCAGTTCCTAATTCATGTTATGGCATTTTTGTTGATATTAGTAATAATCTTTATTGTTCAACATTTAGTTCTAATCAAGTTGTTAAGAAATGGTTAAATGATAATGTACTCACATCAGCTATTGTTGCTGGTAACGGCACAGCTGGATCAACAGCAACTATGCTTCATTTACCTATGGGAATTTTTGTCGATGCTAAATTTAATTTATATGTTGCAGATACTACTAATTGCAGAATACAGATGTTTCCTGTTGGACAATTAACTGGAATAACTCTAGCAGGAGCTAGTGCACCAGGAACTATTACACTTAATAATCCATATGGTATTACATTAGATGGTAATGGATATCTTTTTATTGTGGATTGTTATAATCATCGAATAGTTGGATCAGGACCATATGGTTTTCGATGCTTATTTGGATGTACAACAATATCTGGTTCTGCACCAAGTCAATTGTCTTATCCAACAACTTTAAGATTTGATAGTTATGGGAATCTATTTGTTGCTGATAGAAATAATAATCGAGTGCAAAAGTTTATATTAGCATCGAGATCATGTAGTAAGTTATTTTTAGTTTATGTTTTCGATGAAATCAATTTTGTTTATTTTAGGTTTGTCTTATAATCAACCAACATTTTGTTATAATGCTTTATGGTATTCTAATGCATCAACTTTTGCATCAAGTAGTACAATTGGTACATTACCATATGGTATTTTTATTAATGGAATCAATACTGTGTATGTACCTAATCAAGTTAGTAACACTATTTTATCATGGCCTCAAGGAAGTAATACATCAACAACTAATACATATAGTAGTTTGAGCAATCCTTATAGTCTTTTTATGTCTATAAATGGTGATATTTATATTGATAATGGTTATTCATATGGCCGAGTGGATAAATATACATTTAATACATCAAATCGTGTTACTGTTATGAATGTTAATGGAAGTTGTTATGGTTTATTTATTGATATTAATAATAATCTTTATTGTTCACTTAAAAGTCTTCATCAAGTTGTTAAACTTTTACTTAATAATGCTACAACTATTCCGACAATTGCAGCCGGAAATGGTTCTGCTGGATCACTATCAAATATGCTGAATTCTCCTCAAGGAATCTGTGTTGACAGTAATTCAAACTTATATATTGCAGACAGTGCTAACAATCGTATCCAGTTCATCCAATCTGGTCAATCAAATGGAGTGACAATCGTTGGTAATGGTTCATCAGCAAATATTATACTCAACTATCCAACGGGAATTGTCCTTGATGCTAATGGTTATTTATTTATTGTGGATAGTTATAATCATCGTATTGTTGCTTCAAGTTATTATGGCTTTCGATGTATAGTGGGATGTTCAGGAGGTGGTTCATCTGCATCTCAATTATCTTTTCCACAAAGTATGGCTTTTGACAGTTATGGAAATATATATGTTACTGACCGAAATAATAGTCGAGTGCAACAATTCACTCTTCAAACTAACAATTGCAGTAAGTTTGTTTGTGTATAATAGAACATTATGAAGCTGTAGTTGATAATTAGTTTTTTTTTGCGACTATTATCTGAAAAGTTGAAAAAATAGAAATAACATGGTGCTTGAATTAATTGATCTCATATTAATGTTTTTAGTATAACTTCCCTCTAATTCGATTGAAGAAAGCATAACTGTTTTATATTTCAGCAATACCGACCACGACCACCACCACCACTACTACTACTACTACGAGCAGCAGCAGTGCCACTACTAGCACTGCTACTACTACCACTAGCAGCACCACAAGTAGCAGCACTAGTACTACTACCACCAGCAGTACTACAAGTAGTAGCAGTACTACAAGCACCACTACCACCACCACCACTACCACGAGTACCACCAGTAGCACTAGTACCAGTACCAGCAGTTCCACAAGCAGCACTACCAGTACCACGAGCAGTACTACCAGTAGCACTACTACTACGACCAGCAGTACCACAAGCAGCAGTACTACAAGCAGCACTACCACCACCACCACCAGTTCCACAAGCAGCAGTAGTACAAGTAGCACTAGTACCTCCACTAGTACCACAAGCAGCAGTACTACAAGTAGCACTACTACTACCACCACTAGTAGAACCACTACAAGCAGTAGCACTACCACAAGTAGCACTACTACTATCACTAATACTACAACAAGTAGGTCCTGTGAATGATTGAAGGTTGAGCTGCTTTATTTTAGTGATTAACCGAAAAAATTCTGAGACTGATTGGCGTTCTATGTAGAGGTAAAATCAGTAATAGCTCTAGGAAAAATATCGAGCCTATGAAACTGTCTTCGGATAGTACTTGATACCACAAGATAGCTGAAAACAGCAGGATATTCTTCTTTTTCATTGAATTTGGATTGATTTTTTTAAATAAGAATGATTTGACATTATTTTCTAACAGAAGTGAACGATATATCTAATCAATTTTCATGTTTTTTCTTAGGTGTTACTCTTAATCAACCCAATCTATGTCCATCTACAACATGGTATACAAATGCAATTACATTTGCTAATAGTAGTACAATTGGAACTGTCGCATCTGGTGTTTTCGTTAGTATTAATAATACTGTTTATGTGGCTACTCAACAAACTAATCAGGTTGTTGTATGGTACGAAGGAAGTATTAATCCAAATAAAATTCTTTCTGGTAGTTTGAATACACCATCTGATCTTTTCGCTACTCCTCAAGGAGATATATATGTTGATAATGGTTTAAATGGTCGAGTTGATAAATTTGCATTTAACTCAAATATAAGTACTCCTGCAATGTCGGTTCCTAGTTCATGTTATGCCATTTTCGTTGATATTAGTAATAATCTTTATTGTTCAGCGTTTAGTTCTCATCAAGTTGTTAGGAAGTCGTTAAATAATAGTGTACTTACATCAACTATTATTGCTGGCAACGGTACAGCTGGATCAACAGCAACTATGCTTAATGCACCTGTTGGAATTTTTGTCGATGCTAAATTTAATTTATATGTTTCAGATTCTACTAACTGCAGAATACAAATGTTTCCTGTCGGACAATTAGCTGGAATAACTTTAGCAGGTGCTAGTGTACCAGGAACTATTACACTTTATTATCCAAATGGTATTACATTAGATGGTAATGGATACCTTTTTATTGCGGATACTTATAATCAGCGAATAGTTGGATCAGGACCATATGGTTTTCGATGTTTATTTGGATGTACAACTATTGCTGGTTCTGCACCAAGTCAATTATATTATCCAGCAATCTTAAGATTTGATAGTTATGGAAATATATTTGTTGCTGATAGAAATAATAATCGAGTGCAAAAGTTTATATTAGCATCGAGTTCCTGTAGTAAGTTATTTTTAGTTTATGTTTTCAATCATATAAATTTATCTCTCTTAGGTCTTTCTTATAATCAACCAACATTTTGTTATAATGCTTTATGGTATTCTAGTGCATCAACTTTTGCATCAAGTAGTACAATTGGTACATTACCATATGGTATTTTTATTGATGGAATTAATACTGTGTATGTACCTAATCAAGTTAGTAACACTATTTTATCATGGCCTCAAGGAAGTAATACATCAACAACTAATACATATAGTAGTTTGAGCAATCCTTATAGTCTATTTATGTCTATGGCTGGTGATATTTATATTGATAATGGCTATTCATATGGCCGAGTGGATAAATATACATTTAATACATCAAATCGTGTTACAGTTATGAATGTTAATGGAAGTTGTTATGGTTTATTTATTGATATTAATAATAATCTTTATTGTTCACTTAAAAGTCTTCATCAAGTTGTTAAACTTTTACTTAATAATGGTACAACCACTCCGACAATTGCAGCTGGAAATGGTTCTGCTGGATCACTGTCAAATATGCTGAATTCACCTCAAGGAATCTATGTTGACAGTAATTTAAACCTATATATTGCAGACAGTGCTAATAATCGTATCCAATTTGTTCAAACCGGTCAGTTAGATGGAGTGACAATCGTTGGTAATGGATCATCAGCAAATATTACACTAAACTATCCAACTGGAGTTGTCCTTGATGCTAATGGTTATTTATTTATTGTGGATAGTTATAATCATCGTATTGTTGCTTCAAGTTATTATGGCTTTCGATGTATAGTGGGATGTTCAGGAGGTGGTTCATCTGCATCTCAATTATCTTTTCCACAAAGTATGGCTTTTGACAGTTATGGAAATATATATGTTACTGACCGAAATAATAGTCGAGTGCAACAATTCACTCTTCAAAACAACAACTGCAGTAAGTTTGTTTTGTGTATAATAGAACATTATGAAGCTGTAGTTGATAATTAGTTTTTTTTTGCGACTATTATCTGAAAAGTTGAAAAAATAGAAATAACATGGTGCTTGAATTAATTGATCTCATATTAATGTTTTTAGTATAACTTCCCTCTAATTCGATTGAAGAAAGCATAACTGTTTTATTTTTCAGCAATACCGACGACCACTACCACTACTACGAGCAGCAGCAGCAGCAGTACCACAACTAGCACTGCTACTACTACCACTAGCAGCACCACAAGTAGCAGCACTAGTACTACTACCACCAGCAGTACTACAAGCAGTAGTAGTACTACAAGTACCTCTACCACCACTACCAGTAGCACTACTACTACTACAACGAGTACCACAAGTAGCACTACTACTACCACTAGTACTACAACAAGTAGCAGCAGTACCACAAGTAGTACTACCACGAGCAGCAGTAGTACCACAAGTAGCACGACCACCACTAGCAGTACCACTACGAGCAGTAGCAGCACCACAAGTAGCAGTACGACGAGTAGTAGTAGTACTTCAAGTAGTACTACCACGAGCAGCAGCAGTACTTCAAGTAGCACTACTACCACGACCACCACTAGCAGTACCACCACGAGTAGCAATAGTACTACAAGTAGCACCACTACTACTACTAGTATTACAACAAGTAGCAGTAGTACCACAAGTAGTACTACGACGAGCAGCAGTAGTACCACGAGTAGCACTACCACCACGACCACCAGTACCAGTACCACTACGAGTAGTAGCAGCACCACAAGTAGTAGTACTTCAAGTAGTACTACCACAAGCACCAGTAGTATCTCAAGTAGCACTACCACCACCAGCAGCAGTACTACAACGAGTAGCAGTAGTACTACAAGCAGTACTACCACTACCACTAGCACGACAACAAGTAGCACCACTACAAGCAGTAGCAGTACGTCAAGTACTACTACCACTATCACTAGCAGTACTTCCAGTAGTACCACTACCACGACCACCACCAGCAGCACCACTACGAGCAGTAGCAGCACTACAAGTAGCAGTACTTCAACTAGTACTACCACGAGTAGCAGCAGTACCTCAAACAGCACCACTACCACCACAAGCAGTAGTACCACAAGTAGTACGGCTTCCATTACAACTTCTCAAGGATTAGATATCCATCAAAGTAATAATATAAAGAGTATAAAAATAGTTTATTGATTTTTTTTCTACACTAGCTTGTTATTCACCGACAATTATATTGATTCCTGGACAATCATCTCTATCATCTCCAATGTCGTATCGGCGTAGTCAAGATTTTTCTATTAGTTCAATGATTCAATTTAATTGTAATGGTTCACTTTCAACAACTAAAAAATGGACAATCAAAAATTGTACATCGATATGTTCATTTCGAATTCAATTGAATGCTAAAATCAGTACAACATTAAATGAACTTTATATTCCATCAAGAACATTGGATTATGGAATTTATGAATTAACATTAACTGTCACAATGATTGAGTCACTTAATCTTAAATCTTCATCTTCAGCTTATGTAAGAATAACTGCAACAGGTATAACAGCAAATCTTGTTCAATTAGGAACATCAATGATAACACGTGGTAGTCAACAAGATCTTCAACTTGATCCTGGAGCATATTCTATTGATCCTGATCAACATTCATTTGATGCGAGTGTAAGTATTATTTATCCCTCATTAATTATAAAATAGATTATATTAGATAAGACTATGATACATTAGTTTTACTTCAATACAGTGATATGATTAAAATTCGAAACATTTTCATTTTCGAATAGTATCATATCAGGAACAAAAGTACAATGAAAAGTGAAGACAGTTATAATTACAGTCCGTCAAATCATTTTTGAGTATAAAAATCTCCAATTTGAAGGAATCTAGCTAAGATTATCAGCAAGCTTCATTAAAAGTATATAGAATGCGTTATAATCACCAATAAATAAAAGACAGAAAGGACAATGTGATATATGCAAACTAGAGACGTAGTCAAACATATTCTAACGAAGATATTTATTAGTAGATTAAACAGGCGATGATCTTCAAATAGAGAGCTGATACCATGAGTAGTAGGAATCAAGCTTGGTAAGGTGATCATATGAATATTCCCCGATGATCTAAAAGATCGAAAATAACAGAAACTGTTTTGAAAGTATGGAGAGTAATGTTCAGATTCTTAACAAGATCAATAGATATTTTATTTATTGAATTCTTATCACTTTTTTACAGATATCTTAATAAATCTATTTTTATTGACTATAGAAATGGAAATATGAATATTATTGTCGAATTTATGGTTTATACAATTTCCCAAATTTTCAAGGTATATTATTACCAATTGAAAATTCCAAAACTGATCCTTACAATCCATCATGCTTATCAAATCAATCAGGTAATATTGATTCTCGATAATTTTATATGTCGAAATAAGAAGCCTCATAATTGAATAGGATTAATATTCGGAAATTTAACTGCATCACCTAATTCATCCCTAACAGTTCTCGGTGGTTCGCTTCAATCAAATCAAATCTATCAATTTATGGTTTATATGGAAAATCGTAAAAATTCATCTATTCAAGCTACAGGATATGTACTTGTTACAGTTGACGATACTCATCCACAACTAGTTGTTATTGGGTAAATAATTTTTTTATCTAATTAAATCTTAAAAAGAAATCTTTTGAATATAGTTGTGTTATATCAATATTATGTGTTCCAAATCTTGAATATCAATTTGTTAATCCAACAACACAAGTTGCTCTATTTGCTATTTGTGTTGGAAATTGTATCAATCTTCAAAATATAAAATGGAATATTTATCAAGGTTCTGATAATTCATCTTCAAACTATACACAATGGACTTTATTTAATAATACGGTTTTATATGAAAATATTTGGTTTTTCGGTAGAAATCTTCTTATGATTAAGAAATATTTATATTCCTTTGATTTTTCTATAGGTAAAAATACAAGTAATTTTACAGCTACAAATCAATTATTTCTTAATAATCCTCAGGTAAATCTTTGGCGATTTGAAGTTGTTTATACATTTTTAAATGAAACAAGTACAAGTGCATTAAATTTTATTATTAATCAACCTCCTTATAATGGTTCATGTTCAATTAATCCGATGAATGGTACAACAACTACTTTATTCACTATTTTATGTCCTGGTTGGTATGATGAAGATGGAATTAAAGATTATTCATTATATGGTATAGTTATTTTTTAATATAAGAAAATTATGAAATAATTCATATAGTGTTGATATAATTCTTCCTTTTGTTAACATTAATAATGATATTAAGGGGAAAAGTTCAGATTCTCGATATTTAATTAGTATCTAAGAATGTGAATGTCTGAACTTATCTCTTGAATGATATACTACGATGCTAAACAAAGATTAAGACATCTTTTTCCGTTTATGACTCGCAAATGATCCTTACACCTTTATAGATCGATCGTAATAGAGATAGACCTCGTAGTTATACGTTTGTAATCATATTAAAGAATAAGGATGTATTTTCACTCATTTTATTTCGAAATATTGAACAAAATATAGATTTTGTAGATCCAGAATTTGATTCATATTATAGAAGTTATTTCATCTTTTAAATTTTAATCCTGAGAAAGTATGTTAATCGATTTTCTCATAATTTAAGCATGGACGACAGATGTATCGCAAAAATTAATGATTGCATACTCATCAGTATCTTATTTTCAAGTTCGATTACCAAGTGGAGACAATCAAACATCATTACTCAATATTGTTATTTCTATTCGTGATCTACTTGATTGTGTTGTAGAAGTAAACATGTCTTCTGTACATGTTATCGTAGATTCTGCAGGAATAAACGATTTAATGGCAAGTCTACAAAGTTCACCAAATGCATTAACAAATAATCCAATTGTTCAATTACTTTCAAGTGGAAATCAAAATACTGTTGGACAAATTCTTACTGCAATTTCTCAACAATTTAATCAACTGAATAGTGAAAATATAGATCAAGCTATTTCAAGTAATTATTCACATTTAGTTTACTATAGATAATTAAAATAATCCTTTTTTAGGTGGAATACCAGCTGCAACTATTTTAGTATCATCGTTAGGAAGTTCAAGTTTACAAGGAGTAATTAAATTGAATTGAACTGAATTGATTTTATTTTATTTTAATATAGAATTCAACATCTTTCAATGAATCAGCTTTGATTGAATATAATAAGATATTAAATACTCAAGCAAATCTTCGAGATTATTTAATGACATTTACAACTGATCTTCTTATTACAACATCAAATAGTATCAAATTACAATCATCATCATTAGCACAAATAACTCAATCAACAAATCAATTAACAAGAGCTGCTCTAGTACTATAAATGAAATCATTTTTTAAAATTATATAATTTTGTATAATTCTAGTCAATTGCATCAAGTAGATGTTATCAATTATCTCTTGCTTTATCTTCAATGGCAACACAAATTCCATATGAAGATGCACAGATAGCAGCAAATCAACTAATACAATGTGCTTCAAATGTCTTAACCGTAAATTTCGGATTTTTAAATAATGTTCTATAAAACCTGACTCTTTGTATAGCTAAATTTCGCTAAGTGTAGGAAGACCAAAAAGTCAATAGAGATAGAAAATTTTGAATATTTCCGTCGTTCATGTTCGTAGTTCTTATTAACATGAAACACATTCTCAGAGCTTTGTTAAAACAATACAACTAACGTCAACAAAAGCTTGAGAGCGATTTTTGATAATGTTTCTTTTATGAAAATCAGCTATAATGAAATCAGATATTTTGAAAAGAGCAATTCCATCATTTGTTAATCTGTAGAATTATGTATAATTAATTTAGGCTGTAAATGGACCATTACAAGAACGAACAAGTACACTTGACTTAGATTATTCTCGTGCAAATGCGGTACCTACTGATTATGATACTGATCTTGAATCTCCATGGTCAAATACAAGTAACAGTTCTTGTTGAATGATTTATCTTTAGTTTTTTTTTATTTCTAAAAGATTTATTTGGTGGTGGTGATGAAGCATCTGTTGAACAAAATCGAAATATATATTATCAAAAACAATTAGCAAATGAAATTAATGCACAAGTAACATCAATTATTTCATTAATAACATCTTCATTAAATATTCATTTAAATATTGGTCAAAATTCAATAATAAATACATCTCAAACTTATATGTCATTAGAAACAATATCAACTCAATCACTTTCAGATAGAATTGTAAAACAAATTGGAAATGCTCAATTTCATATTCCATCAGATCTTAATTTGATTACAAATGATAACTCTTCGATTTCACTTCGAGTAAGTCTGTTTATATATTATTTAAAGAATTACTTTGAATTTTTTAGTCAAAAATGGATGTACTTGCCTCATTTGGAAGTTTTTCAAATACAAATCTTTCAAGATCAGTTTCACTTTCAATTATTGATCAAAATGGAAATGAAATTTCGTTTAAAGCCAATGAAAATAATTCAATAAAACTAATAATTCCTCGTGATCCAAATCTAGTAATTCCATCAATGTATTTACAAAATGTTACATAAATAAATTCAACTATTAATAATTTATTATTTAATTATCATTATATTAATATAACAAGTTCACTTCCTATTTCAGTTCATTTTGAAATTCATTCTTTAAATACAAATTTAGCCTATTTATTTATTTATAAATTTGATCAAACACCACTATTAAATAGTTCAATTAATATTATTGATGGATGGACAATGTTTTGTCCTATCAGTATGTTTTCTTGTCTTTAACATTCATATAGATTTCTTTTTTGTAATTATAGATTTATCCGATGATGATATATATCGATATTTTATTGATAATAAACAAACACCTGGTCATCAATCATTAGTATTTGGAATGAGAGAATTAAATTCAACAGAAATGAATAATTATTGTTTAAATAATTCTTCAGTAAATACGTCTTTACCAATCACCGATCAACCATTTAATTTTACATCAAATTATGAACTTCGTATATATACATCAGGTTGTTATTATCTTGATGAAAATAATAATTGGAAATCAGATGGATTAATTGTAAGTATAAAATAAATTAGAAAAATAAAGAATCTTTAATATTTATTTAACCGTAGGTTGGATCATTGACAAATCATTATGAAACTGAATGTCTTTCAACTCATTTGACAACATTTGCTGGTGGTTTTATTGTTTTACCAGAACCAATTAATTGGAGTTATGTTTTTGCCAATGCTGATTTTCTGAAAAATAAAACAATTTATTTAACAGTTATTTGTATGTCTATTGCTTATATTATTTTGATGATTTTTGGACGTTTTAAAGATAAAAAAGATATTGAAAAAGTAAGTTTAGATGGTTAATAATATTTCTTAATTAAATTTATTTCATTTATTTCTTTAGTTAGGAGTAACACCATTACCTGATAATGGTAAATCTGATCAATATTATTATCAAATTATTGTTTTTACTGGTCAACGAGCAAATTCTGGAACACAATCAAAAGTAAAAAAGATGAATTATGTTTTGTAAATAAATCTTAATTTGATTAGGTTCATTTTATTCTATCGAGTGATAATGATGAAACACGTGTTCGAACATTTTCAGATTCTCATCGAAAAATATTTCAACGTGGTGGAATTGATTCATTTATTATGAGTGTTCCAAAGTAAATTTATTTAACACTTAAAATATATTTATGTGTTATTTTTAAAGATCATTAGGATTATTGAACTATATTCGTATTTGGCATGATAATTCAGGAGAAGGTTCATCAGCATCATGGTTTTTAAAATATATTATTGTTCGAGATTTACAAACAATGGAAAAATTTTATTTTATTGCTCAACGTTGGTTTTCAGTTGAACAAGGAGATGGACTTGTAATTAGTTATTTGTTTCAATTCTTAATTTCTCATTCTTTAAATTTAGATTGAACGAATTTTACCCATTGCTGGTGAAATGGAAAAACAAAATTTTTCTTATGTATTATCGAAAAAAGCTTATTTTAGTGTCTCCGATGGTCATTTATGGTTTTCAATTTTCTCTCGACCGCCATCAAATAAGTTTACACGTGTACAACGTTGTACTTGTTGTTTTGTTTTATTATCTGCTTCAATGTTACTTAATATAATGTATTATGATTTATCTGCTGAAGCAAAATCGTCAAATAATACAGAAAGTAATAGTCTATCGATTGGTCCTCTTTATATCGCACCAGAACAAGTATGTATAATTTTATATTCTAAAGAATTAAGGTGAATGTTCTTAACGATGATCTTCATAGTCTATGAGTTATTAAATTTAACTTTTGAGCATAATACTAAATAGTCACTTAGAGTATTCTAAACATTCATTTTTTGTTTTTAAAGTATTGGATATTGAAAACATGATTTTTAGAATTTTTCATAAAATAATCATTTTATTGAAAAGATTGTGATTTATTTAAGATTGGAATTGGTATAATGGTTGAATTATTATCGTTAGTTCCAAGTATTTTCATAGTTCAATTCTTTCGACGTATTCGACCTCGTCAACAAATTTCACCATTACGTCAAGCATTGGAGAAAATAAGACCATTACCACAGACGTTAGTATAACTTAATATATTGTCTTTGATTTAATCATTTTATATTTTTAGTAATGTAAAAGATAAAACTATAATTAAAAATAAAAAAAAACAATTCACATTTCCTTGGTGGTGTTTATTTATTGCTTATACACTTTCTTTTATGATAATTGCTGTTTCAATGTTTTTTATTATCGTTAAAGGAATTATATTTGGTGATTTAAAAACTCAAAAATGGTTAACATCTGTTCTTACTGGCTTTTTTTCATCAATTATTCTTACTCAACCAATTAAAGTATATATTTAGATATTTTAGTTTACTTCAAAGAAATGTCTTTTCTTTTTGAAGATTTTAGGTTTAGCAGTATTTTTTACTCTATTTTGTCGAAATCCAAATGATGATAAAGAAGCAAAGGAATATATAGATGAGACTAATTTTGAATTAGATGGTGACGAAGATTATCTTCATTCGACTGATTTTTCATTGATTTCACATACTTCAAAACGTATTAATCGTCTAAATGAAAATGAGGTAGCTTTTCTTCGTGAACAACGTTTAAAAGAAATTCAAATGTGGTCAATTATTCGAGAATTTATAATTTATGCTATATTTTTAATATTACTTTGTATAATCAGTTTTTCAAATCGTACACAAAATAGTTTTTATCAAACTGATCATTTACAAAAATACTTTTTAAATACAAGACAAACAGATTGTGATTACACACAAGTATACTTTGTTTTTTTTGTTCTATATATAACAATGAATATTTGTAGATTTTAACAATTGATGATTACTGGAATTGGTTAAATAATAGTTTTGTTGAGAATCTTCGTGCTCAACAATGGTATAATGATGATCAACCGATAAATTTAAATGGATACATAAATGATAAAACAAATCGAATGATTGGTTGGGCAACAATGAGACAATTACGTAGTAAATCACAATTATGTTCTGATCAACGTATAATATCAACATGTATTAATGATTATAGTTTATTTAATGAAGAAAAAGATTCATTTCAACCAGGGTGGATACTGAATCAAACATCAATAGAAGAAGAAGATTATAGTTCATCAATTCTAAAAGCATTTCAATATCAATCAAGTAAAGAATTAGATACATATGTTTATGTAGGTGATCATGGAACATATGGTGGAGATGGTTATGTATATGAATTTCGTGGTCGTTTATCTGATATTAAAAGTAATTTATCTTTACTTCATCAATTACAATGGATCGATGCTAACACAAGAGCTGTTATTATTCAATTAACTTTATATAATCCAAATGTTGCATTATTTACTTCAGTTACTTTTCTTCTCGAATTTTTATCTGCAAGTGGAGTTTATCCGTCAGCTCGTTTTGAACCACTTAATTTCTATGGTACGTGATTTTTTCTAAACTACTGATTTTACATTGACAATTTTATTTTAATTTAGTATTTACATCATTAACACAATTGATTTGTACAATTATTTATATATGTTTTATTATTTATTTTCTAATTATCGAAACTAAATTATTAATTAAATTAAAATTAAAATATTTTTACGAATTTTGGTCAATAATTCAAATTGGTATAATAAGTTGTTCAATAACAAGTATTATTATTTATATTTGGCGTTTTAAAGAATATAATCGTTTAAATTCACTTTTTCAACACACAAATGGATATACTTATGTTAATTTACAAATGATAGTTTATGTTGATGATGTATTAACATCTCTTCTTGGTTTTTGTTGTTTTTTTGGAACAATTACATTTATTAAATTTATTCGGTTTAATAAATCATTAAGAATATTTGTTCAAACACTTAAATATGTTACAAAAGAACTTATTTCATTTTCATTTATGTTTTCAATTGTATTTATGGCTTTTCTTTCATTATTTTATTTATTATTTACTTCAAGTATCGAATCATGTTCTAGTTTATTAGCAACAGCTCAAATGTTATTTGAAATAACATTAATGAGTTTTGATGCAACTGATTTTACTGGAGCTGATCCATTTCTTGGTCCATTTTGTTTTTCAATTTTTATTATTATTGTTGTTTTTATATGTTTAAGTATGTTTATTTCAATACTTAATGATGGTTTTCATCATGTTGAAGAAACTCCAATTGAAGATCAACAAATTTTATCATATATGTTAAAGAAATTTTTAAATTGGACACGTAAAAACTATTTAATAAATTTAAATAAAAATTTGTTTATTGATATTTTAGATTTAAGAAGACCAAATGTTGAAGAAATTTATGAAATACAAGACTCTCGAATGCATTCTCAATATGTTGATCCAATTGAAAATTTTCCTGATAAAATCGATCAATTATTAGAAGCAATCGATCGAGTATATTAAAATATAAGAATTTATCTTCATCCAAAAATTATTTATTTCTCTATTGTTTTAGATTTATATCGATCAAAAAAAAGAATTATTAAGATTAAAAAGAGCTGGTGTTTAATTATACTAATTTTCCATTATTATATTTTGAACTAGGATTAGATTCATATTTATTATTATATTGCTTTTATTTAACTTGATTTAATCAACATATTATTTTTTAAATAAAATTATTGCTTTATTTGTTGTATAATTAAACTTGAACTTTTGTTTATTGACAAAAGGTTACAATGTATAGATAGATATTGTTTTGATGCTGAAACATGAAGCTATAACGGATATTCAATAAAACACACAAAAACATGGATGTTTGTTACAGGATGCAGTGGAACTACCAAGCTACAACTGTATTTAAAGAGATACTATTCTTTTTATTTCTTATTAATAATTCATATTGATTTCCATAAAACAACATAACATATAATCATTGAATGATTACTTTCAAATGCAATACAGGATATAATAAATGACCATTGATATGTATTTCCTATGGCTAAATTCAAATCATATTTTAACAGCGAAACAAACTTCAAAGATAATACGGAATAATTGAATGACAGAACAAATAATTGAAGATATTTAAAATGCCATTGATACATTTTAAACAAAAGATGTATATTATTGAGTACGCGATCTCTGTGAGAATGACATATGGCTGGCTGTATTTAGTTTCTTTGACTTTTATGTGTTTATAATATCAAATCAGAAATAACTTTAAAAATATAAAGCAATTACCTATAAATCACACCACAAATGAGAAAATATGATTTTACTTTGATATAGTCGCTTAATCATACGTAGTATATGGAGACAGAAAGATTTGTAAGTTAAAGATATGATTTCAATTCTATATAATTTATAAATCACATATGGATAGGTATGCTTTTGAGAGCTTGAAAGGAAAAAGGAAAAGGAAACGGTAAAGTTTTACTTCCATACGATACATAAAACATACGTTGAGTACAGAATAGTTTGTGACTTGAGAAAAACAAAAAAGAGTAGGTGAGATATAATTTAAAAGTCATACATGGATCAACATGATTCTGTAAGTTCAGGAAAACTAGAAATAGATTATATGTTTAATATATATATGATTTATAGTTTATATCTTCCGTTTTCCTACGCATACAAGACACTATATATATATATGCACGTTAATAGTGCTATACCAAAAGATATCAACCTTTCTCGAAGTAAGTAAATTTGTGTTTATTAAATAGTTGTTAATAGCTTGGATTATTTTCACGACGAAACGATGTAACTAAAGTGCTTGTGAGGTGACGCTAAGAGAAAACACCCATACCCTCAAAATTTGTAGCTATTATTCATTTGTATTGCAGAAAAATTATTTCTACTTTTCTTTATTTTTATTTTATAATAATTATTATGTGTATTTGTATAAACCACATTTGTTGATTTGCATGGATTCTTTCAGTGTGTCTATTAAGAACAGTTCACAATAGCTTCATCGATAAGATCTCATTATATAAGATTGATCATTTCTCTAATACTTTTTCTATATAAGTTCTATTCTTTTTCTTTTTAGTCGATATCAGAATTCTTTTAATTTCACTCCAATTGATCATTATAATGATGTTCTTTTTCAAATATTTATTATTCGTATCGATTTTATTCCATCAAAATGTCTATAGTAAAACGGTTTTATCTTCTGCCAATGATAATTGCATTGTAAAATATGGTAGACATTTATTACAAGAAGGTCAAACTATTGAAATAAAAGGAAAACTTTACAAAGTGGAAGATTGTGAACTTCATCGAGCTTATCATGCATGTGGAACTTCTTTGTTACAAATGGTTAGTATTGCTTGTCATGCTATTCAAAATCAAAAATATAAAACTCCAAGTAAACGTGTTCGTAAACATTTACGACAGAAACTACTTACTGAAGCTTGTTGTGAAACTGTATGTACTGTTGCTGAAATGGCACGTTATTGTCCTTCATATTAAAGCAGTGATATAACAACATCATATTTGTGCAATATCTTTATTATTATAGAAATAGATCGGTCTTTAATTAAAAACAGACACGATTTTGTCTTGTTTTTTTTTTATAAAGAAATGTTATTTTATCTTTCATTGAATTAATAAACAAAACGTTTCACAGTGACTTAAAGGTTCTTGAAAGTGAGGGTGTGGGTGAGAGCATTTCTAACAGAAACATAATTGAGCAAAAGTAGATAATTAATAGTAATAATTAATGGAGTGAAATCCTAAGAATGAGTGTGGGCGTGGGTATATCACAATACTTTACTCATACCCATACTCACATCCAAAATAATCTTACAGCTATTCTAAATAGATTTTCGTTTCTTCTGTTATTGATATGCTGTCAAGAATCTGACATATGGCAGCTCGATGATAAACAATAAGTTTTTTCTCTTCTTTTGATCAATTTAACAATCTTTTAATACATATGAATAGAAAAAACAAATAACACACATAAATATCGATGAATACAAAAAAGAACAACATAAAAAATCTTTAATAATAGCGACGAAACAAATTCTTGCAACAATCTAAGGCTTTTATCATTTTATGCACAAACTCCTTGTGTTCGAAATCTGATGAAAAATCGAAATCCTTTGCTTTTTGTAATAAATCTAATTGATCTTGTATTTTTCCAGTCTTTTGATGAGTTACTGCACATCGATCTTGACGCAAGAAATGAATATCAGTTAAACTATCTTTAAAATGTTCCAAAAACACAGGCTTAATGTAATATTGTTCATTATAATGTTGAAAGATCGTTTGTTAATACCAATGCATCTTTTATATTAGAGCGCTCTTGTAGCTTAGCAACTTGTTTATTGTTCAAGAATATTGACTCGATGAACTGTTTTGCAAAATATGCCAAAACGTTGATGAATAAGTTGAGAAATGTTTTCAACAATCATTCTTAAACTTGTATCATCAATTTTTATTGCTGATTTATTCAACTGTTGTTGAATTTCTTTCAAATTACACGTATCTTTTGAGCTAATAAAAACTTCTTAAAAAGTTTGGCACAAGTACTTTTTCTCATCTTCTGTAAGTTACAATCGTTGAAATACCTTTTGAAGTTTTTCATCAGCTAATAAATCATTGATACTGATAGAAGACATTGTTGTTGTTGTTTGAAATATTCAACTAATGATAATATTATATTGACGATATCACAAAATAAATAAATAAATATTGATGATAAATTTATGTTAATGAGGGTGTGGGTGTGGGTGGATGGGGGGTGTATCATAATGCTTTACTCATACCCCCCTCATCCTTTAAGATTGCTGACTTTGACGCTGGAGCCAGACAGTTGTTAATAGTAGCAATAGCAAGATTAGTGTTTTTTCTAAATGAAACAAAAGGCAATGAACTATTGTATATACTAAAAATAATTACTCACTTCCGATATCACTTTTAGAGTAAAAAAAACACAACTTAAAATGCTTATGTATAACGATTAAAATTAGGTGTGTGGCTTTCTAAAGCGTTAATCATTTGTTTAACCAGCATTTTATGTTCAAATGCTGCAGGAAAGTTTAAGTCTTTTGCCTTTTGTAACAAGTTCAGGGTGTGGGTGGGTGTGCATATATCACAATGCTTTACTTATTCCCACCCTCATCCTTTAAGACCGCTGTCCTTGAAGATGGAGGAAGACGATTGTTAATAGCAGCAATAACAATATTAGTGTTTTTTCTAAATGAAACAAAAAGTAATGATCTATTTTACATACTAAAAATAATTACTCACTTACGATATCACGCTGGGTTTCTTTTGCCTCCTTTTCCACACTTGCCACATTATAGCCGAATGCGAAACATTTAGTTTCCTTCCATGTGTGATCATCGTTTAGCTGTTTTATTTTAATTTCTTTAATATTTTTACAGTCAGCTTGTCGAATTTCGAACATTTACCCGCTGGTTCCGCCCAGAAACTACATATTTCTTGCGGGTTTCTGCCGGAAATTCACAGAACACTTCTTCAGGGAGCATCGTTTTCGGTATTTTATAAAAACAAAAGTGTTTATATTAATGAAACTAAATGTATATTCATATTCGCTTACAGTTGCTTTTATATCTAACAATTTTTCCATATTGCGTTTTTCTCTTGGTAAACTAAAATGGATAGATATGTTTGTGATCTTGTCTAGACTGTTAAATGAATAAATAGAGATATCATACGCCAGATGTGACATGGACGATAATCGTAAGCCAAGAAGAAAATATATACGGCATATATATATAGTGAAAAAAACCAAGTGCTGATACATGTACATATGCATATATATACGAAAACTAGAATAAAGTACAGAAAATAAAAATAATAAGGGACGGATATGTAAGCACTATAAAAACAACATCACAAATGAATTTTTATTGAAGATAGAAAGAAAATTTTAATATCAAACATGATGTATGATTATCAGTGTTCATACTTATTTATCTTACATCTTCTCTAAATCTATAAAAAAAGAAACAGATTTGATTGATACAATAAAGTTTTTCCTTTTTTGTTAAATATTCCAACTATTTTCTCGTGAATGTTCAATATATTGTCATTGATTCTCTGTTAAAATTTCCTGAGACTTTTCATCAATTATTGATTGTAAAGAAACAACTGTATGACAATGACGTTTACCAAGAAGAAATGGAAGATCAGTTGCATGATATAAAATACATCCATTATCATTTCTTAAAAAATACAATAAATGTATTTGTTTACGCATATGATTGTCATATAAAATATCAAATTGATCAGTGGAAGCAATATAAAGATAGAAGACGAATGTTTCAAATGGTTTGTAGCGGAAGAATGAAATAGACTTTCTGAAAAACGAAAAAGATCTATATAGAGAAACTAAAATCTAAACAGAAAAACCTATTTTTAAATAATTCGATAAATTTATTTTGATATTGATAATTCAGTGATTACTCGTAAAAACCAGAAAATATTAACAAAGATGATCGAGATAAAGTATGATTACCATATAGATTCTAATGAACTACAGCCATCATTATCATTTCCATTTGTTGTCTGATATAAATTCATATTCTGATTATATTCAAATGATTCAAATCTTAAATTTTCAATTTAAATAAAATTTCATAAAGCAACTATAGTTTCATTTTCATTAATATTGAGGAAATTTGTTCGATAGTGTCAAATTTATTATTAGTTTACTTTTCTTTTGTCCTACATTTTCTTATATTATTGATCGGACGATTCAGCTTCAAAAAACTGTCAATTGTATTGCGAATCAGAACATGATGACGTGCATAAACAATGAAGAAAAATAAGAATCTTCAAATCAACATGTGAATGAGAGTGTATTCTTCGTTGACGTATGTCATCGCCACATAATAAATACCTGAGTTCTTCATTCGCTATTTTCATTCTATACTTTATTCAAAGAAACTGTTTGTGGCAAATGGACGCAATTTTTGTATCTTTAATATCGATCATTTTAATTAGAACATGCTCGGCAATAGTTTCGACTCATAATGGCAGCAGTACTCAGATTTCATTATCGACAGGTGCGATTGTAGGTCTAGCAGTGGGTGGTGCTGTTGTCCTTATTCCCAGGTCAACCAATCCAACGTTGGATCCAATCGGATCTTATAGGATCCGATCATCCGACAGAATCCGATAGGATTCCTGGTGACGGATTTGCATTGGATTCCGTACGGAAAATTTTCAGTCACTTGCTGCAAATTTGATGAGCGGCGTTTTTAGCTATTTTCTATGATGACCTTATGGTCACCTATCGGATCCGTCTAGATCCGTTTGTTGGAAATTGTGAGATCCGATGTTGGATCCGACCACAACGGAATCCGAAGTGATTCCGTCATCAGGAATCCTATAGGATTTTGTCGGATCGTCGGATTCCGATAGAATCCGGCACCGGATCTGATCGGATACGAATATGGAGTTTGTGGGCCCGGGTTATTGTGACAATATTAATAGTCATTTGTAAAGTAAAACTAATGAAGAGACGAAAAATGCGTACCGTTCCTTTCGCAGGGAACACAGCCTGGGCTCAACAAGAAAATCAATATAAACCACCAGGTTTTAATCAAGCATCACATCCTAATCAACCTTCGTCTTATAATCAGGTGCCACCTTATAGTCAAGCACCAGCATATTCTGGATTTAATACTCGAGCACAACCAACAAAAATGACACCAGTTTCATGAAACACATTCCATAGAAATAAGTATTTAATACAATCAATCATCGATGTATTATCATGTGAAAAACATCAGTTAACACATAAACTGGGCAGCTAGTATGTTATGATCTTCACATTTAGTGAGATCATATTATCACTACCGCTCTCGCTGTCTCGCACTAATACTATCTCTGTAGTACTATCTTCTCTCTCTATCTCTTTTGTGGTTTTCTAATTGTATATATAGTGAAGTTATTTTAAATAAAAGACACAGAATCGAACCGGTGTAATCTTAAAGCTTACATAGTACCTTGTGGGTGTGTGGGTATGAGTGTATCAGTATAATACTCATCGGATACTCACAACCACACTATCGAGATTTGCGATTGCTGTTGATGATATAGACAATAATAATTTAACTAATATTATTGGAACTAATAATGGATATGGTAATATAGATATTCTTATGAAAACTTGCTAACATGACATATTTCATTTAAAATTTCATTTATTTCTTTACTTTTTTTTAACTATCTCATGTCTTTTCAGTAGTTCTTGCGAATGTTCTTTTTGTACTTAATGGAAAGTGACTTTTTTTTACTGTATTTTTATAAAACAGCATCTTAAAGCTTAATTTATTAATTTTTTTTGTTTACTTAGAATTGTTTACTGTGACCAAAGAGATTGAACATTTAAAAATAGTAGAGATTTTCTTATAAGATTTAGATCCACACAAATATTATGTTTGAAAACTAAAAGAAATCAATTAATTAGTTTTTAGTGAGATACTTGCATTTGTATGATATTCGAGGATGGGGGTGTGTGGGTGAGAGTCTTCTATTCAAATAACAACTACTCATTCTTCCACTCGTATAGAATTGTAGTAGAAAGCATAGCAGAACATTATTTTCTTTATTGATTATTGATATTATAACAATATCACAGGAGCAATAATTTCCTGTTTCCAAGAGGGTGTGAGTATCCTATTTATCTTGCATCGACATCCTCATCAATATGTTATGCACAATGATTCGAGAAAGTGACAAGCACAAATACTGTTAAGTGAAGTTTTGCATAGGATTTTATTTATCAATTATTATTCTATTAGAAATACGTAGATGAAAGTGATAATGTCTTTGTGGCATGAAAAGATACTCTACGAATATGTCTCTGATCCCATCCACCTCTTTTTGAAGTACTTGTAGAATTGTCTAAATGATCTGTTTCTAATCTTGGCAATGGTATATGATTCAGTCGATAATTCCAAATATCAGTATATTGAAAACGGTATGATCCAAAGGCAAACATTGTTCCAATAGTTGAACCAACTAAAATATCGTACCAATGATGATAATGATCAATCATTAATGACGCAGCAATAAGAACAGCAATAAGTATTGGAACAAAAAAAAAGAACAAATTTCCAATATTGTAGACGATAATTAGAAAATATTTTCAATTTTCCATTAAGATACAAAGAACAATAAACAAGACCAGCAAATATTATTGTTGTATGTCCTGATGGCATTGATTTTAGAGCACCATCTATATCCATTTTATCTCCTGTACATATTGAACGATCAAACATTAGAACATCAAAACCTTGTCCCGCACTAAAACTTGTTCGATTGATATTTAGTTTACAAACAGAAAAGAAATGTGGTCTTAAACCACCAATAAGCCATTTCATAAATACTTGGAAAGTCGTAGAAGTTAATAATGAATAAAATAAACCCATTGTTGCTGTATTAACATCATCAAAACTTTTTACACGTATTTGCATTAACATAATAAATATAAATGGAATAATAAATGCTAATAGACCAGCTAACCACGATGGAATCAAATTTCTATGAAATGGATAACTAATTTCTGGATAAACGATTTTACCAGTACGAGAATAAACTGCAAAAATACGATTTGGTGCCGATTGACGTGAATGAATAGCGAGAGTAAGGCCTCCTAATATACTCATTGAAAGATAATCCATCCAAAAAGTACGAAGATAAATTCGAAGAGCTGTTTTTGCTAGTCGAAATCTGTCTCGTTTATTCAGACAATCATTGTTGTCTGACTGTTGCATTGGAATAACGGTATCAATAATTCTATCCATTTTTTTACTACTTAGAAATGCTTCAATCACAGATGGAGAGATGTATGTTACGTAAAAAAGAATGAAATAAACTGATTTGCTCTAGTTGTTAGCATTGTGAAGATATAACAAAGTATTGGAAGGAAGTATCGTTTCTTTTACTGCTTCATTCAAAGCACACTGTGCTCTGTGTCATCCTGTTATTAATTCAACAGGTACAAAGAGCTATTCAATTAAACTTCTATTAAAAATGTGAATCAATAGACACGTCAAATAACGTTAGAATCATATTCTGATAAATATTTGACTTCAATGAGTCATTCATTTAACCCCGAATTTTGTTTCATTTTAATGAAAGATCTTTGCAGAATCTTCAATGTTTGACTTCGGATGTGATCCGAATTTTGACAGGATCCTTGAAGGATTTTCTGAACAGAATAAAAAGAGAATGCATTTCATTGTAACAAATAAACTATTTTTTGAATGAGATTTGTTATATACACCCTAGTTTGATAATACGGTTTTTATTTTTATGATAATCGAAAAAGCTTTACACCGCATTTTTGCATACGAGCTCGACTTATGTTCGAATATATATGTTGCATGAAATTTATCTAAAATCAAGAAAAATGTAATTTCCTTGATGATTAGTTAATAAATGACAGTCAAGCAAAAAATGTCATTTTTCAATGAAATATATCGACATCTACTGGTGGAAAGAGATCAGCTGGTTGTTAAAACACAACCAACAGCTACAAAAAGAACGATGACTTTTATGTGTAAATGATGATTCAAACGAGCATTCTTTCTTTTTTTTTCAAAATAAAATAATGGTTTCAGTTAAATATCAAAAAGTTCTCTATGATGTTTCTCCTCATGATTTTAAAATTCTTGATGATGATCATGTATATAAAATGAGTAGTGAAATAAATCATTCCATATCTTCATCATCATATCGTCATATATACTGGTCAACAGTAGCTGAATCTGGTTTAATAACTCAACAAGTAAGCTTGTAAGTATAAATCTATTCTATTTATTTGTTACTTAGTTTTTAAATATTTCTAGAGTTATATTATTTACAATTCTATTTGTTCATTTGGATACGAATAATCTACAACCAATAAATATTTTAATAATCAATGCATTAATTGGACTTATTGGTTTATTTCTTTATCGACAACATATTAGTTTAAAATTATGTAAGAAAAAAAAATCATTTCGTCTCATGAAAAATATACATTGACGATTTTTCTAGTACAAGAAAATTTTAAAACATTATCAATATTTCTTCTATTTGGTTCATTGGTATCACCTGTTGTATTTACATTAACAAAAACAATCAGTACAGATACAATTTATGCAATGAGTACATTAATGATGTTAACTCATTTAATCTTTTATGATTATGGATCTGAAACTGCTATGTAAAAACAAAATGCTCTTGATTGATTGATTTAATTATTTCATTAAAATATTTAGGGTGCAAAAAGCTTTGTCATTTAGTGTAGCATTATTTTCATCTGTTTGTCTTGCATCACGTTTATCAACATCATTTCATACATTTTGTTTAGTCACATCAGCTGTACTTGTTTTTGCTCTATGGCCAGAATTAAGAAAATATATTAAAGTAATGAAAATCAATAAAAATAAATTCATAAATAAATTCTTTTTTTTTATTATTAAGAAATCAAGTTTTGAAATATTTTCAGTTTTAACTATTGTACATATTCTTGGATGTATTATACTTTTATTTCATCTTTCAATGTTACATATGATTCTTTATGCATTAGCAATACTTTTTCTCACATTTCTTTGTCCATTATGGCTCATTTCATTACAAAAATATAAAATGTATATATTAAATTTTATTAAAAAAAAATTTATTTACTTTTAATGATTCATTTAGATCAATTCGTGGTGCATGGGAAGAAGCAGTAGTTCCAGAACAGACAAAAGATAAATTTGAATAATTGTTATTATTTTTATGTTAAATAAAACATAAATTCTTCTTCTGTTTTATTTCCAGTCAATATACGCAATTAATTATGAATAGCTATTTCCGTTGAGAAGAGTCCATTACATGATGAAGTAATACATATATGTGTATAACTTTTAACAAAAAAAAAAAAGAAAGAAACAAGACGACTTCATTTTTACTTGTTCTTCGTTTGAATTAACAAATGGATTTTGTTATTTCTTTGTCAAACAGAACGATAGTCATCATACACTTAAATATTTTTTGCGCATAGAAAATGAAGTAAAAAGGTTAGTTTTAGTAAAATCATGTAATCAAATGTTTCTTTTTACATGATGATTAATGAACGTATGTAAGCAATTATTCAGATGATTAAGTTGTATAATATCACTGTGTTTGGATATTATTTGCGATAAATACTATAGATAAAACATATCCTATGGATTTTACCATCTGTTTCTCTAGATTATATCTTCACTTATTTATTTTAACATTATGCCATTGCAACGAGAAGTTAACAATTGAATCCAAACAACAGAATCGATCAAGTAAGTAGCTTCCGTAAATCAATGTTAACAATAGGTCAGACATTCTCTTTATAACAAACACATGTTATTCTTTTCTTGTTCATCTTCAACAACTCATTTTCTTTTTCACTAAACATATAGATTCATTGATATTTCTGTAAGATGAGTAAATAGAAGGAAAGGAAACAATCGACTAGCTATCGGCAAACATCAGCAAATGTGACAACGAACATCTATTTGATTATGTAATATAAGAGAGGCAAAACAATCATCCTTGATTCTATGATCATAATAGATATCAAGATATACTGATAAACATAAAATCAATTACGTTTAAAAATAAAAACGAAATCAAATCTTATCTTTTATAATATGTGAATTTTATAGATCCTATTTCATTATTTTATATTTAGCCCATTGATTAACATGAACGAAATCGATTTTGAAGAATGTCTAAAAGATTCTCCTACTTATCGGTATGTTCTTCTTTTCTCTTTTTCTCTCTCGCTCTGTTCGAAGAGAAAATATTAGATATGTTTTCCTATATGATATTATCATTTCCTAATAGAAATCAACTTCGACAAGCAACAAATCATATCGATATGTTAGAAGATCGGCTCGAACAAGTAAAATTAATATTAAAATAAAAAAATGAACTAATCTATCTTAATATTAGATGGCAAAGTCGTGCAATTCTGTAATTAATATTGGAAAAACATTTGTACAAGAATTTCAGTAAATAATTTAAAGCAAAAAAAAAACAAAATTTTATTTTATTTTTTTTTTAGAAAATTTCTTAAATGTATTTATGATGTTCGTGAATTATTTTCTTCCGATGATGTAACTTATAAAAGTTTAGCAAAATTTGGTGAATATTTACGTGAAATACAAGGACTTTTTTCCGTAAATAAAATTTAAAAATATTAAATTTCATTTTTATTTTTCTTTCTTCTTCAAAAAACAAAAGGGTTTATTTGAACAAACAACAAATAGTGTATTGAGAACATTAACACGAATGGTAAAAGAAGATATAAGAAAAGTTAAAGATCAAGGAAAATTATTTGAACGTTTAAGTTCAGATTATGATATTGGTAAATTTATATATTCGATTAAATATAAATCAAGATTGAATCTGTTTTCTCTTTAGCCTTACAAAAGAATGCGGATGCATCAAAAACTAAACGTATGTAGAAATTGTATCATTTAATAATGAATTATATGTTGAAGAGAGATCCTTGACAAAGGTCGAATAAGGCCATCTCTATTTGTAGACCTTGACTATATATAGAATTGAGGATAATGAATAGATGAAAAGGACTTAGATAAAATGTTTATACATTTTTGCTTCGATTGACAGATTTTCTGATTAGGGATAACGATGAATATTGTATTCATATACATTTCCAGGAGAAAGATATGTATTTATTGTGAAAACAAATGTAATGCTTTAGATCGATAATACTCATTTTTTTTTTCGTTCGTAAGTTTTTAAAGCTATACATTCTCAATTATGCAATAATTTACCCTCATAATACATTTTTGTATTACAAGAAGATAAATGATCATTTCCCTACTACAATTATTCTCTTAATTAACAGTTCCTATTCAAGTCTTTGATCATTCTTTTTTCTTCTTCTCATTCGATATACCAATATTCTCATAATACCAGATATAATCGTATATAACCTTGACATAGTTTGAATTTTCTCACACAATCGAATTAATGTTTTTTTATTCGTAAATTTTTAGCTCATGTTTGTGAAGATGCAAGTAAAATTTTATTAGCAACACGTAGCTGTTTTGGTCATACATCCATAGATTATACATATCAAATAAATGTATTATATAATCAACATAAAGTTGAATTAGTTGAATTATTATTATCATATATTAATATTCATAAAGCATTTTTTCATCAAGGACATGAATTATTATCCATAGATACTGAAAGAGATTTTACTACAATAACATCTCAAGTAAATAGAAAATTTAAAAATAAAATCAATCTTTATTCTATTTATATATTTCGTAGTTATCAAAAATGCGCCAAGAAAATGTTCAAAAACAAAAAAATCTCGAAAAAATCCATGATATTAATCAAAGAAGAGTAAGTCTATTGATGAGTCATAACTAATTATATATTGTTTACGCTTGATTTCGTTTTGTCTACTCATTTTCTATGTTTGTAATACTAATAATAATAAGAAAGTTAGTTTCATGAAGAATAAAAAGGTGTAATTTTTTAAAAGAAAATATCGAATTTTTATTCGTTTATTATTCTAATATAATCTTATAGTCACCATCGTCACCGATCAATTCAACTCCGACTTCCTCCCCATCGACAGACAAAACGAAACGTTCTTTATTCTTTTCACCACACAGATCAACGATCAAAAGCAAATTATCATTAAATCAGAATAATCACCATATACAGCAGGTGATTCGATGATTAATAAAATAATTCTTTGGGATCGGATCTATATAAGCTCTAACTTCTGCTCATCTAGACTTTTCTTTTTCTTCGCGCTATAATTTTTTCAATATTTTCTTATTTTAGTGTAATCTAGACGATAATCGAAATGATGAAGCACCAATAGAAAGTACTTTATCTGTGGTAAATAAAATATATTCTTTTATTTTATTTTTTAAAAACAAATCTTTGAATTTAGCCTAAAGGAAGTTTACCACGAAATCCATCTCAACAAAGTCTATCGAATAATTCTAGTACATCAGCAAATGTTGAATTAAATAGAGAAGGTAAATGAAATCTATGTAAATTCTTTATGAATAATTTTACTTTCTTAGGTTATCTTTTTAAACGTTCGCATAATAAATTTAAAACATGGAGCAGGTATGTTGGTTAATTATTACTGAAAGAACGAAGGTTATCTTTTGTAATATGACAAGATGGAAACTGTCAGTCGAGAATGATAAAGATTTATGAGCTGCAAATGTTGAGAATAGATAATAGCATTTTCAATAACCATATAGTTTGATCTAAAACTGATGTTCTATTTTTTTATATTAGACGTTGGTTTATAATTCGAAATGGTCAATTACTTTATATGAAACGTAATAATGGAAATTCAACAAATGATAGTTCTCAACCACAATTACCCCAATCGACTATGGTACCTGATTTACGTTTATGTACGATTCGTCCAGTTAATGATAATGATCGTCGATTCGTTTTTGAAATACTCTCGCCAAATAGGTAAAATAGATCTATGTTCATGATATAAAATGAATTTTGATTTTTTGCTATATAGTTCTCATCTTCTTCAAGCTGATTCTCAACTTCAATGCGATCAATGGGTTAATTCGTTACAATTAGCAATAAGTAATTCATTTAAGTCACCAAATGGTGGCATTCAAAATTCAGCTTCGGTTTGTATTTCAATATTAAAAATAGAGAAGTTTATGAATATAAATCTATTTATCTTTTAGTCATCACCAAAATCATCATATGATGATAATTCAAATACAATTTTAACAGAAAAGACTAAACTGAAACAGAAAATGTAAATATTGACTTTTTTGTTTTATGTTTGAATTAATTAGAATTTGATTTCAGGATTAAAGATAAAATTGATGAAGTACGTTCTCTTCCTGGTAATGAAAAATGTTGTGATTGTGATGCAGATGGACCTGAATGGGCATCAATTAATCTAGGCATTTTACTTTGCTTGAATTGTGGTGGTGCTCATCGGTTAGTTTTATTTTGTTTTCTATGTATATATATATTTTTTAATTTTATTCTATAATATCAGAGGTCTTGGTGTAAGTCTATCAAAAGTTCGTTCATTACATATGGATTCATGGGATTTAGAAACATTACTTGTTATGTCTGAATTGGGTAATACAGTTGTGAATGATATTTATGAAGTAAAAATATCAAATGGAATGCAAAAACCTAATGCTGAAACAGATGCGTAAGTATAATTATTAGAAGAGAATATGTAAAAGAAGTTTCACATCATAAGTTTGTTAAGTATAGTATTATATGAAACTAAAAGTATATCTGATATATTATAAGCGATGACAAATATTGATCTTCAAGGTCTATATTATATATACAACTATCGCTAATACTATTTATAATAGTATACTCAAATTTACTAATCAATTATTGATATACTCAGTAATATTTATACATCATTAATTCATATGAAAAGATTCGACAGGAAAATCAATTAAAAATCGGTTATAATCGCAATTCATCGTAATAATTACGGAAACTTTGATTTTCTCGGTTATTTCTGAATAGAATCGATTTTAATCTGATTTTTACCGTGTTTTTTATATATGGGAATAAAGTATCGACTTTTATCTCATCATCTAGAAAATTATATATGAATTTGCTTTTTTAGTGTTGCTCGTCGTGCATTTATCGAAGCAAAATATGTTCAAAAAGCGTTCTTACATCCACTACCATCAGCTAGTCAAGCACGTGCATCGACTCGTAAGATTAAGCGATGGATTATTAAGAAAAATTCAATAGCCAATGATACAGACGATGATACAATCAAAACACCTAATCGTCAGTTAATGACAAAGTTTGTATTTTATTTCTATATTCTTCTCTTTATTTTCCATTCTAATATAATTTAGAAGAACAACACCATCACCTGATCATGACACAGTTAATCAAGATAATTCACCAGTAATATGGGATATGAATATATATTTATATGAAGCAGCTCATCAACAGAATGTTATGATGATGCTACATGCATTAGCACTAGGTGCAGATAAAAATTTTATAAATGAACATGATCATGGGCGAACACCATTAATACAAACAATATTAAGTGTATGTTCTTTTTGATAATTTAACCTAAAATAAAAATGTTTTATTTTGTTGTGTGTCTAGAGATCAGTTGCGGCTGCTGAATTTCTTTTAACAAATAATGCAAAAGTTAATTTAGCTGATCAGAATGGAAAAACACCACTTCATTATGCTACACAATTAGCAACTAAAGGACGAGGGTAAAAATAAAATAATATCCAAATAAAATTATTTATTTTGAAATTTCTAGACCAATTATTCTTTTACTTAAACGTGGAGCTGATCCATTATTAAAAAATAACGATGGAATTGATGCATGTTCACTTTCAATGGATGTAGGTGATCCAGATGTTATAACATGGTATCGTTTAGTAGCATTACATGAACAAATGAAAGAAGAAGATGCTGATGCTGAAAAAACTTATATCTCAATACTTGATGATCCTGTTTATATGAAAGAAATAGCTAGGACACCATCATTTTCATAATAATTAAAAACAAACTATCTGTGATATTTATCGAGTTAGTTAGTTTGTGTGTTGTTTGTACATTTGTTTTTTTCTCTCTCTCTCTTATATTCTTACATCAAGTATCAAATAAATATAAAAAAAACCTTTATCTAGTCTTGCTTCTATCATCTATCTAGCAAGAATCTTTTTTGTTTTTCTGTATCTTTGTTTTATTTTATCTCAAAATAAAAATTGCTCATATTATATCACTCAACAAAAAAGAAATTTTAAACGAATGAAGAAAAAAACCTTGACTACCTTAATGCACTTATTGATTGTGAATTGTCATTGAATTATTTGGTTATTGTTTTGCTACTTGTAACAATGCGAAGTTAAGGAGAATGCAAACAAAGAAAACATTAAATTCGAATTTTTTTCACCATTAAGAACAAGTCTTTCTATTAAAATGACGAGTTTAGTATTGTTTAAAACGGATCGATCTGGAAAAGGAGATCCTGCTCCAGCTAGTGATGATTGGGGTACAGGCAGACCTCGTGTTCGAGGAAGTCAATCAGCTTTTCCTCGTCTATCTGGTAATTTTCTTCAAACGTAAGATATTTAAATTTTAGAAACAAAAAAAGTTAATTTTTTTATATTAAATGTTTATAGAGGTGAACCCATTTCTCAAACATATCGAAATACTGACTTGGTATTAAGTAATTTACGAAATAATGATGAATTGTAAGTTAATTCTTATTTATAAGATATATTTCAGTCTTTTCCCACATTCAACAACTAAAATTATGTTTAGTCTAGAAATCAATCTTTCTTTCAATTCTAAATATATGTAACAAACTTCTGTTAATTCATCATAATTTTTATTATGAAAAACAACGATCGTATTTGATATATATATATATATTTTATTTAGAGTACCGGCTCCACTTCATACAACTGATATAACATCCCATGAAATACCATTAGAATTTCCATCAAACCATCCGCATACATCTCATATTAGCGAAAAAGCTGTATTTCCTGGTGCAACTGATGGTTTAAATGATCGTCCTTCGACATCTGTCGAGCCTTATATCGTAACACATAAAATTCGGGGTATTGAAAACAACGACAAAGTGTATATTTCTTTTTTTTCAAAAATAATTGGAAATATGATCGAGACTTCTTTCTTTCTACTTCTTATTTGCTTAAGTCGTCATTGATTACAAAAAAGAAAATTGCTATTTTTTTCTGTCTAACTACGACATACAAACGATCGCTTCTCTCAGTTGTTGTTATTGTTACTGTTTCTGTAATGCAGCAATGTCTGTTAATGTTTATTTTTAAATAGGTAATCCATTTCGTCGTGAAGTACACTTTCACGGTTTTCAACCCGCACATTGTCGAACATCACAATGGCCCGATAAACATTACATGCACGTAAAAATATAGTCAAATAATATTATTCTTTGTAAATGTTTTTTCAATAATCTTAGTTGCCTCGATCACAAAGTGACTTGAATTCATCATCAATATATCCTTGGCCACGTAAAATGTTTGCGCCAAATGATCATACTTCACCAACAAACTCAGTCAGAAGTAAAAATAAAAAATAATATTTTTTATTTTAAAAAAAACATATAAAAACTAATTATCTAGGAGCAAGTTCACATGTTGTACAAAACACAAAAACAGCAACACCTTCATCAAATAAACAGCTAGTTTGTTTTTTTCATAAGATAAAAAGAGAATTTTTTCTTTCAAATGTTTTATTCATTCATAATATAGAAATCTTATTTAAATAAGACATCCGAATCGGTAAGACCTAAAAACGGTGGTATGCATGGTAATCGTCAACAAACACGTGCTTTTGACAAACAGAGACCATCCACGGAAGCAACAATGTAAATATATATTAGCATATAAATATTGTAGTTATTTTTGTTCTTCTTCTATTTTATATAGAAGAATGAGTGAAACAGAAAGACTTGATGATCAACTACGCAATGGAACTGATTATGTTAATCTTCCTGCACATCTCTTTCCAACAAATAAGGCACCAACATGGATTCGTAAGTCAAATTTTTCTTTTCTTAATCATTATCTGATATTGTTATTTTTTTTCTTCTTTGTATTAGCTCGACAAGAATCATCAAATGATAATCAAGGTACACCGAATGAAATTCGTTTTCTTCAAACTGACCAACCACAAGCATCAACAGCAAATGGTCAATTATATCGTGATCATTATGCAAGTCATCAACAAATGAATGCAGAAAATCGTCTTCAACAAATAGAAGTTATTCGTCCACAAGAAAATCTAACTTTACTTAATGTTAAATATCGTCATCTTCAAAATCCACGTCATGCACGACCTATTTTACCTCAATATCGTGATGATTATGTCAATACATTTTATGATCAAGTTGGTACATATGTTCAGGAACGATCCGGTCTTTATCATACCGACAATTATAATCCAAATTTACTTGCTCAAAGTATACCGGAACTTGAAAACTATCAAGAAATTGTTGGACCATCAGTAAATGATAATAATCTCGGTGATTTATTAAATCGAGGTGAACAAAATCAAAATAGAACAAAACCTAAATTATTTCAATATAAAGCAATTGGTGATTATGAAAATATGCGAGTTAGTATATTTTTTATTGAAATAATTATAATTCTGAAGTATTGATAGAGCTTTATATAAAGATGCATATATATATATATAATAAATCCGATAAGATAAAAAAAGAATTGTTTTTATTTATTTAGAAACAGCTTCTTAATAAATTACATGTACCACAAGATGCTAGTACTGTTGATAGTCGTGTACAAGAAGGTGATAAACAATTTATTCAACGTGAAACAGTTTATGGACAAGGATATAATACACGAAAATTTCTTCAAGAAAATACTTTACAACATTATGCACGTGTTGATCCTACTAATTTAATGAGTACAAGATATAATAATGATCTTGAACGTACACGAAGTTTAAATAGTTATCCAATGAAAACGACTCCAACTCGAAATATAACTGATGATGTTCTTAGTAGTCCAGTTCTTCATCCATCACAATATGATGATATGTATACGACAAAACATATTACTGAACATACAGATGGTTATTCACGTCGACCAACAACACGAGTTTATGATTCACCATTTAAAAGTGAACATGATCCAACTGTTCATCAAGTCTATCAAAATCAAACAGTTCATACACAAGCAAGATCATTCGATCCAGCTCTTCAAATTCCAACTCAACTTCCAAATTCAGTTAAAACAAGTATACGACTACCTGGTCCAGAAAATGTTGCTCGATTTATTGAACCAAAATTTGAAACAAATACAACATATCAACGTTCATTTAAAGATATATCTTTTCATGAAGGAACACCTCGACGACAAAATTTCAATCAAGATAATAATCAACATTTAGATCAATCATCTGATCTTAGTCCGAGACCATGCAAATTAACTGATATTCAAGATGGATGGACAAAAACACAAGCTCAACAACATTATCAATATGAAAATCCTGGAGTTGCACCATACTCTAGTGATACTATCATGCGAGCGAAAAAAGAAGTACTTTTAGCTGATAGTATTGTTAAACAACACGTGATGCAAGTTCGATAGATTTTCCTTATTTTATAGAACATGAACTTTTTCTTTGAATAAATTAACAAACTTTTATGAACTAAACTATTTATCAATACAATATATATTTGAAAATAATTTTTATTATTTTAGCTCGTATAAATAGTGCAATCATAGATAAATTTCTTAATATATATATTTAACTATATTCATAAATTCTTTTCGAAATAATTTTGATGTCTGATATACTTATAGCTAATGTATATAAAGTGTTGCTTTTTAATATTTGAAAAGCAATTATTACGATAATAAATAGTGTTCTTGTCAATTATATCAAATGACGTGCTATTTATGCTACCTGTGGTACCACTTGGTTCACCATTATCTTTCGTTGTCGCCATTGCTTGAAATAAACTTCAAAGAGTACATAGGTCAGTTGCTGACGAAATCGATTGGATACACACATAAATATATAAAATGGACTCTAAAGAAATAAACACAGTTAGGATAATTTTTGTAGGATTTCAACGTAAAGAAAAAAGTATCTATCACATCTGTGGGATAAAGCGGAATAGAAAACCTTTATTACTACACTTCAAAAATTCTTTTAGATGGTGTTTCGAAAAAGTTTAATCAAAATACACTTACTGCAAAGTAGATGTACAACATACATGTGGTTAAAGCAGTTGCATATTGTAAACATGCTGCATTAGTTGGATCTTGGCTAAGTTGAGGCACTTTTAGTAAAATATAAATAATGGTATATGGTGTAATAGTAAAAAAACCGAAAACTATTTGTACTAAAACCATCACAGTCAATTGTTTGTCCAATTCTCGACGAACCATTGGTAACGTTCTATAAGTTATTTGTTGCACATTACGATAAGCTAAAAATCCAAATAAGAGAGTTATACCAATCGGTAATACTTTTCCTAGAGTGACAGTAATGCTATAAGTAGTATACTGATCAAAGACATTATTTGTGATTATGCAGGTCACTTTCCCGGTTGTCAAAGATACAATATGATCATAGTAGATCAGAAAAGGAGCATTGTGAATAATCCAAATGACCGTAAATATTGCAGATAGACGACGTGCTAAGTTAATATTGGACCATTGTTGCACTCGTGGACGAGAGCAAGTGGCAAAATATTGATCAATACTTGCTAAACAGATACAAGTCATTGATATCAATGAACATACCTGGTAACAGTACAATCGAAATTTGCAATAGAATAGAGATGTTAGAGTCCAATCGATATTGAATCCAGTAGTCAAAATACGACTGAGCAAACCGGTGATCATTTGACCAATATTACTGATTGACATGACACTTAAATAAAATCCACAGGGACTCCGTCGAAATGTTTTCAAACTGAGAAATACAACTATATCGAGAAATCCACCAACAATACCAGCAATAAGAGTAATTGAGCCCAAATAGATAATGGTTTGTTTTCCAGCAAAAGTGAGTGATGAGGTAAATCCTGTCGACATTTTACTTCTAACGTTCGTCTTTCTCGATGAAAATTTTTGATAAAATAAACTTTTGTTTCTCTTTTTTTAACATAATTATATATTGTCTACTGCTAAGTGCTAATTTTTCTAGATAATTGAAACGTTATTAATGTACATGATCAATTATCTCTACAAATTATAAATATATCAAGTAATCTGGAAAATAAAAATCCGGAAAAGAAATAAATCACCTCGAAAGGTTTTGTGGTACTGGTGTGGAAGAAGAGTAATGCATACCTATACAACCACGCCTACACTCACCCTCACGCTAAGCATTCACACCCTACAACGACGACATCGATCGTGCCGAAATTCTCGATGGACTCTCACCACTAGTGGCTTCGAAGAAATAAGCTTATCAGATTCTCTCTAATATGTCCACACCTTTTACTAATTGTATCTTCTATGATTAATAAACTATAAGTAAAATTTTTCCGGAATTCTTAGTAACAACTAAATCATGATATGTTTGATGAGTACTTCCGAAGATTTTTCTTTGAAACATAAACAAACAGATTATATTCGCATGTTGCGCGCTATAATAAAGTATCCTTTTATTAAAATCATACCTTCAACATTTCCTTTTAATTTTTACGATGTACTTTTATCTCGAAAAAACAGGTACTTTTCAATCTAGATAAATGAAAGCATAAAAAAGGTTATTGCTCGTAATTCTTGCTTATCATCGATCGAAGAAGTCGAAACTGTGATCACGATGTACTTGTTTCACCTTCATTTGAAAAAAGCTGCGATTAGTTCTACGTCAAAAGAAAAATATACGTTGGATATAGGCATAATCATTTGTTAGCAACATGACTTCGTAAAACTGAAACACGTGTTTTTCATGATGGGTGTAGATGTTATGATCATGTGAAAATCAAGAAACTAGCCATATTATCAATAAAATGAAATTTTTTGAATTTTGTAAAACTTTATAATTATTTTTCTATTTATATTAATTATCATAGAGAATAGAAATTTTTTCTTTTGTGTATTTATTCGCTTAAACAAAGTAGTACGACAACACAATAAATGTATTTTGTCAATTTTATAATTTTAATTTTGTACGACGGAAATGACGACGTTTTGTATTATATCGTATTGTATTTCCTGTACGCATACGAATCTAAATAAAAGAAATATTAATAGAATAAATATACAATTGAAAATTATTCATACCCATTGTGGCACAGGTCGATTTTGTTTTTGTTTCTTTGCTAAAACTTTTTTAATTTTTAATGTTTTATGTGATGCCATTATTTTAAAATCTAAAACAAGGTATGAAAGACTGTCTTTCTGTTTCTGTTATATATAATACAAGGGAAAAAAATATATATAACAAAGATAAATAGAAAAAATAAATTATTCTTCTTCTTGAATTGATGAAGAAGAAGATTCTCGTGATACTGGCGCACGTTCAACATCTTTGAGTGCACTTAATCGTTGCCATTCACGATATGCACGATAATGACGAGTTCTTGGATCAATAGCATATTGTGAATTAGAATGTTGCATAATACTATTATTAAAATGAAGCTTATATTTTCTAGAATTTTTTAAAAAACAATTTACCGATATTGAAGTGCATGAATGAACATACCAAATCCAACAACAATTAAAATAATAGATATGGGAGCAAAATAATTCTGATGATAACTTTGTGATGGCGAGTAATAATATGAATAATCATTTGAACGTTGTCTATCAGATTCCATTTTTCGACGAAACGCTTCATAAAATGATTCATCACGATGTGATGCATTCCTTAAAAATATCATATAGTAATATTATAGAACCATCATATTTGCTTACCAATTTGTTTTATTTGTATTATATCGACGTTCATATGTGTTTCGACTACCAAAATCTACATTTGACCAATCTGCTGATGGTGGACGAGCATATGGTTGATATGAAGAACGAGATATTGAACTAAGAGCTAAAAGGAAATTGACACTATTTAGTATATAACATATGTTCGATTAGGATTAGTATTTTAGATTTTCATTGATATGAAGGTATCTGAGTAGTAGAGTCTAATGAATTCAATGGATTATTGTTAGGAATAATTACTAATGATAATTACTAATCACCAAGGCAATAAATAAACTTTATATTCTTAGAGGAACTATCAGATTCAGATACAGAAAATATAGCTTAGACGTAATAAAACTACATTTCACGTTCAAATTCGAAACTCTAAAGATTTTGAATACGTTGATCTTTACTAACGAATGCACAGTTCTTATACTAGTTTCAATGGGAAGAAAACTTCAACTGATGACAGACTTCAATCATCTCTAACTATAATAAAACTTTCAAAAGATACACATGTCGTAAATAATCTTATAAATAATATGTTAATTCTTACATTGATCATACGTAGTACGTGTAGATTGTTTACTAAGTATACTAAAAGCTTCATTGATTTTAACAAATTTATTATGAAGTGATTTATCAGCTGAATTTGAATCGGGATGATACTTAAATCGAAATGAAAAAAGGTTATCATTTATCATATGATTAAATTAACATTTACTTCTTTTGATAATTTAAAAAATGCTTGTTTTATTTCTTTTTGTGTTGCTGTACGTTCAATACCAAGTAATTCATAATAATTTCGTGCATTTATATTTGCTGTTTTATATCGATATGTTGTTAGTAGAATTGATCTGAATGTGTCAATTCGAAAAAACTCAAATTTACAAATATATGTATATTTTTAAATTACCGATTAGATTGAATTAAAGATGTGATGATGTTTTCATATGCATGAAAACAATCACCACAACTATTATTTATCCAGAAATATTTTTGAGAAGTTCTGAACATGCATATGAATATGAGAACTTTGTATTATTGATAATATATATAGAATGAATGAATGATCAAACAAAAATAAAACAGCTGATTAATAAACCAATGATATAAATTTGAGAAAAGTTTTAGATAAAATAACAAATCGATATCTGATATCTATTCATTTAATTTAACTTTCTTTTTCAAATAAAGTTTATCTATTTTAACAAAAGAATATTAAATGTCGCTACTATCAATGTGTATCTCCTATCAATATATAATCATCATATTCATATTCTGATAAAACAATAAATGAAAAGTTCTATAAGAAAAATAAAAAGTTAAGAATTTATTTCGATATTATATTTTTGTTTAATATTATGAATAAAATATGGATAGATATGCCTATCATTTTTTTTTGTTTCTAAACAGAACGACAAAAATACACACAATGCAAATCAATTTCATCTCTTGACAATTAAACTTAGGTCAAAAAATGATTAATTTTTTTTTTGTTGCTGTGTATCATTAGTATTGTTTGAAATTGAGATAAACATGATTGGTATTTTATTTTGAATAAATAGAATAAGAAAGAGAGAGAGAAAAAAAAATTTTGCTTCGTAGGTAAAACAGTGGGATATTTTGTGAATGACCGTCATCGACGAGAAGAAAATGTATCAAGCAGATAGCTGGTCGGACACCCTCGTTCTTTTTTTCCTCTTCCGCTATTGTGTGTTCGATGTGTTGTTCGTTCTTTAACATACACTTCGTTTAGTATTTTTTTCTTTTACAATTCATATAACGTTGTCGTTGTTGAAAAGAAGAGATGCGTAAAAAATATATATATATATATACTGTTAATAATGAGTACGTGTATACATAACGTCGTAGGTTGTATATCATTTTTTTTCTTCTTATTTTTCTTCTTATTACTAAATTATCAATCATTTGTAATTGATTGTTTATTTTTTCAGATTTGTTTTGTCCTTATTTTTAAAAATTAATTATGAACTATTTTGATTTTACTGATGATATTATTGAACTAAATCAATCTAATGGGATTACTTCGACTACAATGCAACCATTAACAACGACAGCTGCAGTTGTTAATCAACAACAACAACAACAACAACAAGCAAAAGATTTATCTGATTGGAGGAATATTCAACTTGGAACAAGCTCAACTTTTTTTGACCCATTTTGGTTACCACAAACACCTATTACACCATTATCTAACAGTTGGTCTATACCAAATAATACAGTTTATCCATCATCATCATCATCATCATATAATCAAATATTATCATCTCAACATCCTTATCAATGGACAAATTCAAATAATAATCCTCCATGGAAAATACCATTAGAAACACGACAATCCTTTGTTAATATTAATCAACAAAATCCAATGAATAATATTAATGATTTAACAACAAATCCTATTCGGTTCGTTAAAGATTGAAATTTCAACAATGACTAATCTATTTATTTTTGTTTAGAAATTTTCTTCCTGCTCAACCAACATCATATTCATATCCAGTGACGACGATACCACCACCATCGAAAGTTCGATCAATTCATTCTCATGAAACTCAATTTATTCCTGTACCGGATTTTGATATTGATAAAATTCTTGGAGAAATTGAAAATGTTATACCAGATATTGATCTTGATAGTGCACGTCGAACAATAACATCAATGAATCCAATTCCATCAACAAATGATATTGTTACATATTTTCTTGATAATGGTTATACAAAAAAATTAAAAAAAACATTTTCAAATGATTCTCAACGACAATCATCATTAAAACGTTCAATCTCAGATATGATTGATGATATACCAAAATTTTTATCATCCTATCCCGATCCAATACAATATTTTTTTGATACAAAACGTAAACAATCGGAATCATATATTAATCATGCTAAAGCATATCTTTTACGTGCATTTCCAACAACAGATAAAAGTATTTTAGAACAAGCTTTGGAAGAAGAAAATTGGCATTTTTTACCGACTATTAGAAAATTTGAAACACGTGCTGGTATTCGTACAAATACATTTTTACAACGAATGACAATTAAACGTTCATTAGATATGATTGGTATGAAAATAGTTTTTTTCTTTTTATATTATTATTATTTAAAATATGTATTTCATTAGATTTATCTATTGATGGTGTTGGTCGAACACCATCTATAGCATGGATAATTAAAAATAATAAATTTGCATATCCAATTCCACATACACCTTGCGAAGAATTTTATGATGAACTTCGTTTTGCTAAAAATGAAATTAAAATTCGAAGTAAGTGAGATAGATTTTCGAAAAGAATTATTCGATTTTATTCTTTAGGATATATTGGTAAAATAACGAAAGAACATGAAAAACGTGTTAAAAAAGCGAAAAAAGGCAATGAAACACTTGAATGTGAAATCTGTTGTCAAGAAGATTTATTAATTGATGATATGGTTGAATGTACTGTTGGACATCTTTATTGTCGGTTCGTATTCATAGATATTTTTCTTATTGTACATAGTTTGATTTAAAAATTCTTTATTTTTTTTTCTTTTAGAAATTGTGTTCGAACACATATTGATGTTTGTTTCAAAGAAGGAAAATATCGTTTTGCATGTGTAGAAAATTCATGTCCGGGAGAATATACAATGAGACTTATTAATGAATTATTACCATCAAAAGATTTGAAAAGATTGAATAGAAGAATACAAGAAGAAAATATTAGACAAGGTAAAAAGAGATTATTTATTAATTCATTAGCCGAAATAGTTTGTCCTATATTTATTTCGATTATTCCATTTGCTTAAAACTCAAATACAGATAATGCTGCATACCAACGACTGTATCTTTCTAAGAATGTATATTAAATTTCAGAAGTATAGCATACTAAAACTGAATAAGCCTTACGATTCTATTTCAATATTTTCCTCTAATCTATTTTTATTTTTTATCTAGCTGAAATTGATGGTCTTGAATGTTGTCCATATTGTCCATATGCTGTTATTGTTGATAATCCAAATGATAAAATATTTCGTTGTTTAAATCCTGAATGTATGAAAGAAACATGCAGGTAAAATAAAATATTAATTTAATTTATTTCGTTCAAATTATTCTATTATTAATTATTATAGATTATGTAATGAACCTAATCATATTCCATTAAGATGTGATGAAATAGAAAAAGGTATAGAACTTGAGATGCGTAAATTTATTGAAGAACATGTAACAGAAGCAATGATACGTAAATGTCCTCGATGTACACAAGTATAAAAATGATTTATTCAATTGATAAAAAATTCATTTTTTTTTGTTCATTTTTTCTTTATTTAGCGTTTTTATAAAGTTGAAGGTTGTAATAAAATGACATGTTCATCATGTGGTTTATTTATATGTTATGTTTGTCGAGAAACAATTAATGGTTATGATCATTTTACAGATAATGAAAGGTATTATTTAAAATCTAAATAAAATGAATATTCTTCTTTTTTTCTACTAGATGTACATTATCAAATCAAAGTGATAAAATTCATTATGATGAAATGGTACAAGCATATACAAACGCTAAAAATGAATATCTTCGTCTTCATCCTGAAGCTCATGATATGATTCTTCGTTATGATCCAATATCTCATTTAAGTAAACTACCAGTTCCACCAACAACTAATGTTTAAATTGAAACTAAAAATTTTTATTTCTTCTTTCGAGTTAACGATATCAATATAAATCTTCCATTTGTTTAAATAAACAACAAAATATTCTATTTGATCTTATTTTAGTCAATGACTATCGATTGTTCTTATTAGGAAATGATTTGTTTAAATGTATTTTTGTTTTCATTAATGAAAATTCGATAATGTAACAAAATCAATTATGTTCTGTTCTTTTTTTCTTTTCTAATATTTTCTTAATGTCTTGTTACGGATGCCGAAAAAAAAACCCAATTTAATCGTGTTTTTTTTGCTTTTTCTGTACTTATCCAATAGGATCTTTTTTCTTTTCTGATTAAAATATAAAATATATAAATGAATGAACATTCAACGAATTTCAAATGTATTTATTCAAATTAGAAAAGAATTTCTTATAATATATACTCATTGAAATAGTATGAACAAGGTGTTGTTGATTGACATTGAATAATATTAGATGAAGTAACACTAAAGCTAAAATGAATATGTACATGATTGTATACAGATCAGACAAATATCGAAAATATGTAAAGTCAAGTTTTTAGGGACTAATGGGATGATTCTATAAGAGTTTTTCTTTTTGATGACCATAGTTTTCATAAGTTCGAAAAGCTTTTTATTATGTAATGACTTGCTATATTGAATTGCGATTTACGGGAGAAAAACAATTTCAATCCATACAATAAGTATGAATCTGACTTTCTCATGCATGCTAGTCAACATCAAGGCTTGTCTCTCACTGTATAGAAAATCCAAATTAAGAAAAATATGCAACTTTTTTTCACGAATTTGACGTACCTTCTTGTTTTTCTTTTCGAAATGATAAGATCGTGAAATATGATTATAGGTTCTCTCATTTATAAATGGAATGTAGGCTAGATGATATCAGTATGGTAAAAGATTGAAAAAAAATCGAATAAATTTTTTATATTATAAAATACTTAAGATATAGTTGAGTTGCTTTACACTAATTCTATTATCAATCTGACAATTCAGTTTGCAATTGTTTACGATAAAAATACTAAATAGTATTATCTTCTTGACAGTCGATATCTAGAATTAGATTTCTGTCATTCCTTCCTATCTGATTTCTATTTCATCTAAGTAGATAATGCAAACTTTCGATACTGTTGTATACCATTTCCAGAAATTATGTTATTTTAGATTTATTATTAGTTGCAAGATACTCGTAAGACAGTTGGTTTGAACATAAATAAGTGCTTAGTGGTCAATTATAAACTTTATTCTAGTTTTTCATTGAAAGGAAACTCTCACATAATATTATAGATCAATCTTTATTTTGTGAGAGTGTTTAAAAAATATTTATGCACACAAAATCAGGTTTATTTTTGGACTTCAGTAATGTGTGAGTTGAAAAAGAACTTTGATGTTACTAAGAATAGAAGTCTTAATGGAAGAGAGAGCAAAGATCTTAGTATGAATGTAGATGTATCTATGGGTGGTTACTTGCATAGTACCGAGAGGCCTATAGAAAAGACACTCATATTCACACAAACCTACGCTTACTTATACGTGAAGAATGTCGATAAACCGTTTTCAATTTTGGAATTCTCTTTGTAAGCAATATTATGGGCTTCATTGAGGATGCCCGATGTATAGATATATACATTCGATTGATCATTGACTTATCAATCTCCCCTTGATTAGATGTATTTAATAAAAGCTTTTTCATAGTCAAACAGTTAATAAAATGTAAACTGATATAAATACAATTTATTAAAATAAAATATTTTTGCATTTTCAAAATGCTGTAGTACAATGTATTAAAGTTTTTTGATTAATATCAAAAGTAACATAAGTAGGTCGTCTAACAGTATTTAATGGTATAAAACTACTTTTTCTTTGTCCCAATTGTGTTCGTTTAGTATCACTAAATCTACTATTAGATGATACTGTATGTCCACTACTTGATGAACGCCTTCGAGTGAAACAATATGATATCATTGGTATTTGTATACATCGATTAAAAATACTAAATTCAAATAATTTATAATAAATTGTTCGACATATTGATTTAGCTGATTCTCGAAATTTATTTCCAATAACACAATAAAATATAAATGATAATGCATGATAAGAATTTTGTAATAAACGTGAAAATTCAAAGAAGAAACTTGAATTATCTATTGGTATTGATTTAAAGAAAAAACATTCAAATATTGATTGAATTATAAGACAAATATTTAATGGGCCAATCATAAATAAAAATAAAAGGTTTATTGTAATTAATAGAGTTGATAAATGATCTTGATATGAGATAACAACACGATTTGTATGACATATTCCACCCAAAATAACTGTTGAACGACGTCTTTGACATACTTTAATTATAATAATTAAATTACATATTAATGTTATTATAAATGGAATAATTGCATAAATAAATGTATCTAAAGTATTCCAAAGTATACAAATATTTCCTTTATTAATTGTTTCAGATTGACTTGGAATCCAATTTGTATAATAATGTAACGAAATATTTTTCGAACTATAAATTGGATATTGTAATGCACGTCGAAATTGTTTTATTTCATAATTAGAAGGTTCATTACACGTATGAGTATTTTTTAAAAATCCATAATTAAAAAGAAGTTGAGCATCAAATGTAAATAGTGGAAATACGATGCAAATTAAAAAAATACTCCAAATTCTTATCTATATAAAAATAGAATTCATTATGTCTTGTATTTATCTAAACATTCAAGAGCTATCAAGCAATCTTTAATAGTATTTGTTTAGATCTTATATAGTAAAGATACATATTATAGTGTAATTATTAATCGGCGGAAGAATAGGAACTATTTCCGAAATCGTAGTATGCAGTGGCGGATTTAGGGGGACGATCGCCCTCCCTTCAGAGATTTTTTTGATTTTTTACAGAAAAAATAGGTTCACACTGCTTCGATTGGACTTAAAACATAGTTTTTAGCCGACATCGCGCCCCCTTCCTACTCAGATATCGCCCCTCCCTTCCAAAATCCTAGATCCACCACTGGTAGTATGAACTCTCAGATAAGATTTTTCTAACTCACATCTCATTTAATATTAGATCAAATCTAGATTAAAGTTTCTGAAAAACTAAACTGACAAGTATTTTTTTATAATCGATCTACTTGTCACTTTATTTATGAACATTTTCAATTATAAAAACATATGTAATTATCATATTTTCATAAAATCAATTAATATCTAAATCATGTTTCACCCTTTTCAAATTTGGTTTATTCGAGAACTATAAAATAGTTATTTTGTCACTCATTTTCAAGAGTTATTATATAGAGAATGACATAAAGCTTCATAACAGTTATTAGTTCTCTTTTTTTGTATTATTATTATGGCATCTAGTCTCGACAGCACTTTCTTCAGCGTTTTAATAATGAAAACCTTGATAAATAAACTGAAATGTCAATGAGTAAACTAATTTTATAATTGTTTTTAATGATGCAAAGAGCTTCCATATGGATTTTGTCATATTAAAACATTAAGCGCAATAGGAATTGCTTTTATAAAAGTAAGTAAAATGAAAGAGAGTATAAACTATTCTTATCACGTTATATTTCTAGAGGGTTCTCCAATAAATAATGTCAGGATTAATTATTTATTGTTTCTATTTATAACAACTTACCCATGATGTTGTTTGATGTGATTGTAAACTAAGTAATGCATAAACACGTTGTATACTAGTTGAAACAAGTTGCCAAGAACATAAATGACCAATAAAAGCTACTGTAAATGTATGTAAACGACAGAAATCTATTGATATATCTCTTAAATCTTGCTGATAATTATTCTTATAACGAATTAATATGGATATTAAATATAATATATTTAAAAAACAAAGAATACTTAAATTTTTATAAACACTTAAGTAACGAAGTTTTGTAGAAAGTAAAACAATTATTGATATACCATTACCAATTAGACCAATAATAAAAATTAATATTGTTAAATAAAGATAAATATTTGAAACAATAGATTTTGGAAATATATAAGAAGAATTATAACATTCAATTGTTTGACGAATTGTATGATAAACACAAAAATAGGATGAATTCGAATATGATACAGCATGATTCAATAAATAAGAACATGATATTGATTCAGATGAATTCAAATAACGCCAACATGTTTGAAAATAATCAGCTCGATATAATGTTAGATTCGTTTGAGAAATAATACTTTTCTAAAGAAACAAAATCTTATGATGAAAAGAGTATTTGAATTTAATTCACTATTATTCTCCGATGATATATTTACATTGTATCACATATTTATCATATTTAATAATTGCACGTAAAAGATTATCTCTGCTATTTATTTATTTCAAAAAAGATAAAAACGAATGATTTATATTTATCCCCAAACGAAACTTAATTAGTATATCGGATATCTTATATTCTTTATAATTTTCATCAAGTAGTCTCTATACGTACTTCAGTAATATTATAGATACCCATGGCTGTTGTCATAAATGTCATTGATATAAAATGATGACGATCAAACGAAAGAAAAATCCAAATGAATATACAAAAAAAACGTTAATATCGTCCTTTTTACTCCCTTTTTCCTTCCGTTTTATCTCAGCATCGTGTCTAATGGAAAACGTCTGTAAAGATATAGATAGAAGAAAAAAGAAAATAATAATAATAATAGTGAGCTTAAACATGCCCACATTTATTCTCTATTTTTATATTGAGATAAAAGAAATATTTCGAAGATTATTCCTAACTGACAGTTATTCAACTTAGCTCGTTTAACCATATTATATACATGTCATTAAGTTAGTTGCAAAGAACCATATGTCTTTTCATTCTAGATCTTATTCTTTACTAGATATTTTGTTGTAGAAATCAGAATTGAATAATAAATATGCATCTTTGTAAGCATGACATTCATCATTATGTAAATTCATTATTCTTCGTTGTCCTTTAACAGATCAGCATACGAAATTAGAAGGAAATTTTTTACAAATGATTTAACATTACCGCAAAGTTAGTTCACAACGTTTATAGAAATATCTAATGTTTTTCTTATGTCGAAAATTTGTTTTCTCGTAATTTTATTAGTCGATGCATTAGGTTATAAATTAATTTTCAGTAGAAGTATCGGAATAAATAGTCCAATATTTCTTTAATATAATTATTCAAACTTATGATACAGAATCATTTGAAAATAAAGATATGTAAATATTCAATTTATAAAATAATCAGCACCACACACGTTGTCTATCTTTTATTGTCTTTTAAAATCATTAATCAAAATATAAGGAAAAAAAAACCAAACACTAGATATAAAAAAAATCTTATTTTGAATTTTCAAATTCTTTTTTATGGTATTTAAAATGATCTTCTAAAAATGTCATTATAAAATAATAACTATGATCATAGCCAGCTTGTTCACGAAAATATATCGGAAATGAAGCTTTCTCGCAAGCATTAATTAATCGTTTTGGAAGTAAATATTTAGCTAAGAAATTATCATCCGAACCTTGATCAATTAAAATAGGTGCATGTGGTTTTGGACCGTGGTATGAAGCAACAAGTTCAGTTGCATCATATTGTTTCCAAAGATTTTCATCTTGACCAAAAAATTTCTTGTATGCATCAACACCCCATTCACTAGTCGACATATTACAAATCGGTGCAAAAGCTGAAACCGATTTATATTGCGCAGGACGTTTAAAAAAACTAACTAAAGCACCATGACCACCCATACTATGTCTAAATGAAAATAGAAAAACATTAATTTTGTTATCGAGAATAAAAAATTCTTTACCCGAAAATTCCAATTCGATTTGGATCAACATTAAAATTTTTAATAAGTAATCCATAAAATTCATCATTCACATAAGAAAACATTCGATAATTTTTTGACCATTTACTTTCTGTTGCATCAACATAATATCCAGCACCTTCACCAAAAGCCCAATTGTCACTATCACCTTCAATTTTACAACCACCTACAGTGATAATATATAATTAAAATTTGATATTAAAACTTTTTATATCCTACGTGGACTAGTATCCGGATTAGCAACAATAAAACCATATTCCGAGGCTAAACGTTGAACACCGGATTTTGTAATGAAATTTTGTTCCGTACAAGTTAAACCTATTCAATAAAGAAATTTTTTATTTTTTTATGAAAGTTTGTTCAACTAACCGGAAAGAAAAATTAATAAAGGTACTCGTTCTTTTTCAGCTTTTGCTGGAACATAAACACCAAATTTCATTTTACAACCAACAGTTGAACTAAAATATAGTTCAATCTTAAATTCATTCAAAACATATATCGTAACCTACCTTTCGTGGTTATAAACATATTGATGACCATCAAAAGCTTTTGCACCTGACTCGCGAGTTAATTCTGATGGTGATGACATCTTTAACAAAAAAAGCAGAAGGGAGAAAGAAATATATATATTAGACCGAACTTCGGTATGAAATCTTGTTTTTTTTATTTTCATTAACATGCAAAATACAATCATAAATTAAAAAAAAAGAAAAGTAACACATAGACCCTTCACCTTATTAGAGATGTTTTCAAGGGTATTAATACGCAAAAATGTATTGAAATACATATTTATATATATATAATATGCAGAATTATGATTGAGTGATGTAGTACAACAAGTGTTTTTTGGTGAATTAGAATAGATAACTCGAAAAAAGACAAAAGAAAAGAAAAAAACATACAACAATGACAACAGAAGCAAATTATATTATGACTAGGGACAGAAGAAATATAATATTAGAGTTCTAATGATGAAAATAATCGACGACACATAACCGCAGCTAATGACGGGCATTTATCAAATTCGGAAATGAATTGACGTTGTTTATCATTCAGTTTTTGAAATACATTTGTATATTCACGATCAAAGGCGTCTAGTTAATGAAAAGAAAAAAATAACAAATTTGATATAATCATAGAGTCGGTCTTATAAAAGACTTCAGACTAGTGGCCTGGCAATGCCTTACGGTTCTTATTTAAATTCATCGACAATATAGTAAAAAAATAAAGTACCTAGTAAGAATTTTTCTCGGTGGCCTGGCAATGCCAGGCCTTAGATACGCCACTACTTCAGACAACTGAGAAAAGATCTTTGCGTATCAAACTTACCATAAGAAAGTTTTTCACGTCCAAGTGCAATAATTGCTAAGAATAGTATTTCTCTATACATTGACCGTCGACGATTACGTCTTCGTATTGATTTCGATGATTCTTTGATAAATAAACGAATCGGAGTAGATAGATCACTTCGTTCAATACAATCCACAATACATCGTATAACCCTATGATAAAAAAAGGTATTTTTATATTTTATATTTCTAAGAAATAATTCGTGAGATAAAAAAAATCAATGTCGATCTTTAGCATTTGTGTAGGTTATTATTCATTTACCGATTTATATTATTATCAAACAAATCGCTATTATATTATATGAAAAAGATAACGAAAAAACAAACTCTTTAATTAATCTTACTTTCCAGTAACAGTACTATGTTCATCTGTAATTAAAGCATTAGCAACTGGTGTATGTTCTCCTTCTAGAATTAATATGAATATATATTTAAATAGGCAAATAGAATTGAATGTGTTTTTTTACCATAACCATCATGTTCCCATGTTTTATACATAGGTTCAGCAATATCATTATAACTTATTGCACTATCCCACATACAACGTATGCGTATTGAAATTTTTTCATCGATAAATTCTTGTCCCAAAATGCATTTATTTTTCTGTAGATTATTTTTTAATTCATTGTCTGATGAATATAATAATGAACGTAAAAGCATTTGAAATAAATGACTTGATACATGAATACGTCGAAAAAACCAAATCTATATAGAAAAAAATAAATAAAATAATGTAGAATATTTGAATAATAAATCATACTAAATTCCAAAATAAAATTGGATGTTTATCTTTAAAATCTATTTTATATAGATCATTATTATTGAGATCAGGTACTTCAATTATATTTTCAAGTTCTTTTCGAAGAACAAGCGGACTTAAATAATGTACAGTAATAGGCGGTGATGATGATGCTGATTGTAGACGACTAAAATTTATAAAACAAAAAAATTCGTAAATGAATAATAATAATAATAACTAAATCTTACAATGATTGTTTCATTTTTTCAATCATTGATTGTTGTGTCACATTATTAGTTGGTGTTGTAACAGATGATTCATCTTTCCTAAAAGAAACAATAAATTCCAAAAAACTTATTCTTATTTAAACATACGTTGGACTAGTGATGACTGGTGTATTATCCTAAAATCATGAATGAAATAAATTTATTCTTATTTAAAATAAATATGTATCTTTTTCATACTCTTATACGAATACATAAATTCGGTATAGTTTTTGCTTTACAATGAACACATATTGTATGTAAATCGGAATCATCCGGTGACCAACCATTCATAATTTCTTCATCATATAGAAAATGATTACATTCTGTACATCGATTGCAACTACTCATTTCAATAATTCGTAATGGAGAATTTGAATTTTCATCAGTCGGATTTATTGGTATTGCAACACTTGATGGATCAATACGTAAAGCTTTAATATCATCATGTATATTATTAATATCATATCCATTGATATTATTTGTATTTAATGATGAACTATTTGAACTTTGTTGAGAAATAAGTGATGACATACTACCACGTAATTTACTATTATTAATATCTTTGGTCAATGTTCGTTCTTTCGCTATTGTCGGATTTTTGACTGTATAGAGACTCTTCGATTGTGTTAAGGGAATTGTATTAGATTTAACTGATGCTGTAAGATCGGTTAAACGATCTAATGCATAAGATTTGATTGAATTTAATTTTTTTGGACTATATATTGATGAGAAACTACTTTGGTTAAATTTTTGACGTAATTGTGTTATTGATGTTGGAATATTTAATAGAGACGATATTTCATCTTCTTTTGGAATTGAAGTTTTAGTCGATTTAGTTTCTGATGTCGAAGATAAAGAAGTTGTATTAGCAAAAGGTTTATTCATCATAGAAGAAGTTCGATTAAGAATTAATTGTGGTGTTGGAGTTGGCGGCGTTGGATTAAGTAAACCAAGTGGATCATTAGTTAAAACTTGTGTTCGTGATGTTAATTCCCATTTAATAGGAGTAACTGTGTCATCTTGATTATCAAGACATGAAAATGATCGACGAGGTGTTTGTTGTTGATTATGCGTTTGAGAAGATCGTGGTGCAACTGGCAAACGATATGAAAGCATACCAATATCACCTATTTCAATATTACTTGTTGTCATTAATATTCCTGCTTCACATCGAGCTGAATACAAAAAAAAGAAATAAATAAATTTTTCGAGAAAAATATTTTAATGAACCTGTTTGATAAGCAATTGATTGAAGTGTACTAAAATCAAGTTTCGCCGGCAAATCGGATAAATTTGATAATGAATTTTTTTCTACTGTTTCGGTAATAATATTATTATTGTTATTATTGATATTTGCTGAGCGAAGTATTTTATAATCTGCATTTCCATCAACTGAAAGAAATAAGAATTCGATTTAGTCAATAAAATGTAAATGATTGATTTTTACTTGATGGAATTTTTTTAAAGGCCATTTTTGGAAAATAAGGACTTTCTGTAAAATCTTTTATTGTTCCAGCTAATGACGTAAGTACACTTGTTAATGTATCATCTTGATTATCTATAAAAATATAGAATTATTTTTTTATTATATAAAGAATAGAAACAAAATTAAACCTCTTAAATTATCAATTGAACCAAGATTTTTATTAAGTTGAATGGAATTTGAGGGTGCTACAGCATTAGAATCAACACTCATTGCACCATCACTATCATCATCTTCAAGAGATGAGACTGATAAACGAGGATTATGTCGATATAGTCGATAGCGATGTGCAGTTTTAAATGCCCATACAGCTCGAAAAACAGAACGTAATGTTGCCCAACGATCACGTCGTTCCCATGTACCTTCATAGACAGCCTAATCAAAAATAAATCAAAATTTTTTATTAATTTAAATAAATATTCTTACTTTATTATAAGCGCCATAGGTAACTGCATTCCATTCTACACCCGTTTTTTTCATAAATGAATAAGTTTTCACAGCAAGTATTGGATAATCATATAAACCACATAATTGAATAATAACACGAAAACAAATCTAGAAAGATAGATTTTTTATGTGATAATTGTATTTCTTCCTTTTTGCTGTTTACCTCATCGGGATTCGTTAGATGTTGTCGATTCATTTGAACAAGAATTTTATAAGCATAATTTAAGATATCTCGTGGTGTTGTATAACATTCGATCATAATAGGTAAATGCATAAACCATAAGGAATAAACATTCGATAATAAACAATAAGCCCATTGAGTAGGTTTCATTTTATCTTCACGAGCAACCTTTTTTAAATTAAAGAAAAAAGAATTTATATTTCTAATAATTTTATCAACAACAAGAATATTATTCTATGGTCTCTGTATAGATCGACTAGATTGAGCTATTCGTGCAATTATAGGAGCGTTTAGTTAATACAGATCACCGAATATTACCTTTTGACATTTATCTCTTTCTAATTTCGATCTTTTAACCATAGGACTATTAGGCACATGTTTAATTAATGATTGTTCTGGAGGTACTCTTAAATTAGGTATATTGTTTTGTTCTTGAGAATGTATTCTATTTCCATTAATAATGATTTGATTTTGTCTATTATTTGAGTCAAGATGTCCGTTAGTTCCCGAATGACTCATATCAATAAAGTCCGGTAATATCAATGTTGTTTTTTCAGCTGAAAATCTCTTTTCTATTTCATGTGTATCAAGTAATGCAATTGGTGTTTGTTTATTATGTTCAATACTTTGTTTTAATCGTACACAACAATCATCAAAAACCACTAAACTATAATTATGATGATGATCTTCAAGTATTGATGTCGTTTGATTTAATGTACTTGATGATAAAAATGAACGTTCTTCTATGAAACGAGCAAACATTTGTGTATGTACAATATGTGAATAGAATCTTGAATCTGATGAACCACGAGAATGTAAAAATTTATCAAAATCAAATAGAAGAGATGCATCAGTTGATGAAAGATTTGGTCGACGTGTTATTGGTCGTAAAAATTGTTCATAACCAGAAAAACATGTGCACATAAAACGAAGAAATACTTCACGTATACGTGTTTCCATAACACGTTCAGTTTTTACCATTCGTATACGTAGTTCGAAATCATTACGATTACATTTTAAACGTGTACGAATTTCATGTAAATTTTGTTGATATGTATTAAGATCATGACATTCAATTTTTTCCAGTGTTTGTTTTAAGATTTTAAACTAAAAATGAAAAAATAATTTTAAGCGAATGAAAGTAGAAGAAAAATTACTGGTTTTTCTGGAAACATTTTCACAGACCAATGTTTTTGCTCGTCAGTACTAAATAGAAGAAAAGAATTGATATATTGTGATTATTGAATTTTCGATAAACTTACCCTCCAATAATTATATTCGTATCAAGATCAACACATATAACATCAGCAGGTGGTTCACATAGGTCAAAATATCGTGAATCAATACCTAAAAAAATTAAAATAAAATTATTTTAAACTTTAATAGACATTGTTTTTACCAATAATAAATGGAATTGGTGCACTTAATACATCACTCAAAGCTAATGGACATAATGGTATATATGAACATTGCCATTGGAATGGGAAGAGCATCTAAAACGGAGAATAAAAAAAACTATTCTTTTCATATAAAAATATAGATATTCTTACACTATTCACTGCTTCAACAACACCTGTCAATACTGATGATCGTAATGAATGTATAAGTAATTTCGATTCCAATAAAGCATGTAAAAATAAAGTTAATGTATTATCTGTTCCTAAATTTTTCAAAAGATCAATAAATGATGCACCATTTTGTGGTAAACCATTATCTTCTGGTAAAACAATTAATAATGGTTCCTCATATTGTACAAATATTCTCGGTTTTGATGGTGATGGAAATGGTACATCATAGAAAAAATGTTTTAAATACTGTTCAATTAATGGTATATGATCAATTAATTGATTATGATTACATGTTATCATACCCGATGAAGCAATTAATTGATAAATTGTAAATAAAAATCGTCGAAATGTATCAAAAAATGGATATCGAGAAAAAAGTACTATACAAGTTGATGCGTATAAATGATCATTATCAATGTCTATACGATTTATTAAATCATTATTTGTTAATGTTAAACGATCATAAGCATTAAATAATTCATAGAATGATATACAAGCACCATATTGTTTTGTATTCGCTAATAGAAATGTTGAAAATGATGGTGTAACACTTTGTAATGTTACTTTCGATGGCCATCGTTCGATAAATGCACCCATTGGAAAACAAAACATTGGAGTTTTGTCGGGAAATTTACAGGATGGATTATCGTGTGTTAATGGAAATGTATAAAGAATATTTGGACGATACTGCATACGTATAGGATAAATAACAGATTTTTTATAACATAGATAGATGTCTGAGCCGAGCATTGAGCGATTCAAATTTTTATTTATTTTATTAAATGAATGTGGAGGAGTTTCACCCTAAACGACAAACAAAAAAAGAGATAGTTTTTAGTTTCTATCGAATGTAATTCCTCCTACCTTATTTTCAATAATAACACAAATATCTGTAACAGCCAAAGAATTACATAGAATCATTGTAGCTGCTCGACGATATGTTATTAAAGTACGTTCTTTACTAAATAATGAACTAAATATATTAGCGGGATATCCATGCAGCGTTGTTTCAATAATAGAAACATTTTCCATAACTTTTTCTCTTCCCTCAAATAAAACTCCAATATCTGTTATTGGTGGTTTATCACGTCCACGTCGTATACATAAATACATTTCATGATTACGTATTCCACTATGATTAAGGTTAGCTGAGAAATTATTGGGAGTTGTCCATATAGGTTCATAACCAGCTGGTGGTTCTTCTCCATGTGTTCGATCGATAATGGCTAAATCAACAATTGGTTGTTGATGTTGTGGTGTAAAATCATAATTTCTTGATGAGAATTGTAAAGATCCATCGCCTGTTGGTGTCGATGCAGTTGGAAGTAATTCATCTCGTTTAATTGATCCAGTACTTCCAACACCAATTAATGCAAAATGATCAACTAATCGTTTCTCATCCATTCATTCTTATTCTAAAATAATCAATAATTTCTTATTTTTTAGTGTTTGTTATTCTTACTTTCATTCAATATCATCGAACAAAAGAAAAAAGTAAATGTGTAAATCAATCTTGAAATAAAATAAAGACAAAAAAAAACGAAGAGATAAAAAGGAACATAGGATCAAGTAACATCACACATTGTAAAATGTGCTTTGGAGCACAAAAGCAAAGAGAGAGAGAGAGAGACAGACAGACAGAAATAGAAGGAAAAAAATTAGATTTTGTTATTTTTTGTTTTGTTTTAATAAATCGCAAGAAAAACAAAATAAAAAAAGAAACACATGACAATGAAATGGCTTTTATGCTGTTGGCAATTGCACTATTTCAAATCGTACAATCATTTTTGCATTTTTTGTTTTCTTAGAAAAAAGAGAAAACAATTAAAGACCTTTAATCAATTATTTTCATACTTGTTTGCATTAGCATGAATTTTATATACAAGAGAAATATATTCATCATTGATAGATATATATATACATATATCAAACAGCATCATCATGATACCACCAACGAGTTTTTTTGGGATCATTAGATGCAGTACGAACATACCAGTCATTATCCGGTGGACGACCCTAAAAGATAATCAATCATATTTAATAGGAAAGTTAACTACATGATTCTTGTCAATATTTTGATTATGGAAAAACAATAAATCAAACTACAATTTGTTCTACACAATAATAAAATACAATAACAATAGAATTTTCGACCTTATCAAGTTATCTATTTTATTATTATTGACGTATTTATATTCAGTTATTTAAAACTTGAGTCTTCTTATATGTATATTATCAGTAGTATTATCGTATTATGATTAAATTGTTATTGATGGTGTTTCTAGTGTGTATTTACTGATGATGACCACTCTTCGCACGGTTGAAAATTCTATTGTTATTGTATTTTTCATATATAAAATTCTTATTATATTTATCGTTTTACTGTATTTTCTCTCTTTAAAAATGATAGACTTAAGTAAGTGAACATATTATTTGATACTATTTTGAATGACAATGAAATAGAATAATCTATAATCGTAAGAATTCATATCTTGATTAAAGTGAAATCTAATATGATCAAAAGAATATCTATTAGTGAAGAAATATTTGTTCCCAAAGGAAACAATAAATGGATTATATTAATAAAATAATTTCCTAAGTAACAATTTTATTTATCTTTCAAATGATCGTATAATTGTTATATGATATCTTGAAAATTTATGATCATTCAAGCGAAATGTATCAATATCAAATTCTTATTTTCGATTCTCAAATTACCATTCTTTTATAGAATAGTTTATATAAACAGAATAGATAAAGATGTGTTATTAAAATTCGAATATTCTATTTTACCTTATCTTTACAACTTGAAAGCATAGATAATATACTAAGACAAACAGCATTGATACTTAATGCTGGTGACCAATCATCAGTTAAAATTGATAAACATATATGACCATTTGAATATATATGTGGATGAAGAGGAATGTTCGAACCAATGAAAGTAACCTAAATAATTCAATAAATATCTATCTATGAAAATGAATTATCTTCTATTACTTGTGGTGAATCAAATGGATATTGATCAGAAAATTTAAATAGTAATTGAAATTTTTCACCATCATATAATGTAGCTGGAGCACCTTCAATGTCAATTCGAATTCTATTAGAAAAAAACATAGATTATTAAATAAAAAAATGAAAATCTTACTTTCGCATATCAGCAAAATCTTCAACTACTCGACTATAAAAATAGAATTATTTTCAAAATTTAACAAGAAAATTCGAAACATACATTCCCGGTGTTGGATTTTCTGTTAGTAGTTTGATTTCTTTCGTTAGACGTTTTCGTACAAGATCAAACTAAATAGAAAATAAATATTTATTATAGAAATTCTCTTTGAGTTTATTAACACAAACCGCCATGATTTGAATCTATAAATTACAAAAATAATTTTTTTCTACTATTCTCTCAAATTGTACTAGTTTACAGTATTAACATCTGAAATAACAAATAAACGTTTTCTTCTTTAGTCAATAGACATTATTCAATTTTTTAAATCAGATGATTATTCAAATAAAATTTTAAAAAAAACAAATAAAAATTTTTTCGTTTAAAACAATAAACACAGAAAAACAAATCTTGAAAATTTTTTTTTTCATTCAAATTGAATTATTTCAAAAACAAAACATTATAATAGAGATTCAGTTGTCTTTCGTTGAAGCACAAAAACAAAAGTGTTAATAAAAAAACACACACAAAAGAAGACACTTGATATTTCCTATCACAGCACGAACAATAAATTTGTACAAGAAGATATTTATTGCGACAATTTTCGTTTTAATGTTTAATAGACATTGAATTGAAATGTGGTGTCATTTTATCTACTTCTGAAGTCGAATTAGAACCAGTAACTACAAAAAAAAGTTTAATTAAATAAGATGAAATATTTCTATTTAAGATTATAATCACCTTGGGTAAGTTGTTCACTAAAATCAACCGTAGCATTTCGTCGACCAGTTCTTCTTGTTGCTTGAAACATTTTTATGTCTTCAGCTTCAGCTTCAGAAATGGAATTTGATTGTTCAGTTGTCTGTTTGTCGGGTTTAGGTGTTGTACTCATTGGAATAAATAGAGGAAAATTGAAAACAATTAGGAATGCCAAATGGAAAAAAAAGACTGAAATAAAAATTAATACTATTGATGAATGATATGATCGTCATTAAACGTCAATCATGATTCTAGTCGGAAATAAACAACACGGGGCACAAGAGAGCGACGACGGGAAAGGGGAGGCTACCGCGTGAGATATCTATTGATTGGTTTAAAATTTTATCGATTCGTATTAATCATATTGAGAATAGATGTCTCTAAGCATTAACAGGAATTTTTTACAGTTTTGACAACCACTAATACATTCGATCAGATTATTGAAATGTCAATTACAAACGATACGAAATAGATAAATTTGAAGAAGAAAAAAACTGATTTATTTTTGAAGAATAATGTATGATGCTTCAAAATAAGTTTTATCAAAGTCGGAATCTTCAAAGCATTTAACTGTGTAGTTTTACTATGTTTTTATGCACGACATTCCATATTTTTTTGTATACACCCGACATATTTTGACACGGTCGATTAATAATTGCTTATAGGAAAAAAAAAGAATAACAAAACTTACTTTTAACGTGACGTTAAATTATCTCACGTACGGTATAAGATTCTGGCACCTTCTACTGCCTTCCTTGTTGTAACGCGTCAATGTCATATAAATTGAGTCGCTATTTTCTATAAAATATGTGTAATTACTTGTTTTTACAACCCTTATATCGATGATCGTGCTTTGATTACAATATATATATATAGCGTTCAACATGAGTCTTATCTTATTTATTTTTCCTATGGAGAATTCTGACAAAAACATTGATTGCACTTAAAATAATCTGCTTGTTTACATAAAAAAAAGGACTAGAATGTCCTTGAACTCATTAATTTTGTATCTCAATAAGGTTTTGATAGAATTGTATGTTATTAGATTTTTATCAAAATAAATTTGCCATGTAGAAAATGTATTAAGTGAAGCGTATCAAAATAGATGAAACGTCAAAATAAATGAAACAATCAAGCAGAGATCAACGTGGCGAACTGACATGCGAAGAATATTTATCTGTGAAGGAAGATAAACATCCTTAGAAACGAGTAATGAATACTATACTTCTTATAAATAAGTCTTAATGTCTAAGGACTAGAATTGATATAGAAGTATTATTATTTAAAGAAAGATCAAGCACTATTATATCCAGAATAAAACATAACGAGGTAAAAATATATCTTCTAAGGTCTCATTAAAGATATTACAAAGTGATACAAGTGCATTTTGATTTATTCTCTTACTTACATCAACTGTTTTCTTCTTTCGAATAAATAAAATTTAAAAAAAACACGAAGTTATCAATATTTTTATTCGCCCGAAAGAAAAAATGTTTGGAAGACTTTTAATGCTGTAGAAAAGCAAACTATGACGTAAAAGAAAAGAAAAACTTGAGATTATCATACTGTTACATTGTTACTTACAGAGTAATGTCGACTCAACAATACTTGTCTTGTTTTGCAAATGAAATTATTTACAATAGTTTGAGTAGCTACTTGTTTTATGACATATATGTCTCTCGCTCTCTCCCTCCGTTTTTTCTTTCTTGCCTCCAATAGACAATTTCTTTTCGCTTATATAAAGAACAAAAAAAAACTAAATTACTGAGAGAGAGAAAAAGAAAATCAGTGATGCAATATTTCTATAATTCGATGCTTTATGTAACAGACTTGATCCGTATTATAGAAGTTATCTAGCTAGCTTTTAATAGATATGAGATGTATTAATTACATTAGAAAGAATTCCAAAGATCGAGAATGTATACGAATATACGAACAGTCGATTGATTTAGAGAAAACAACTAAACATCAGCTGATCTTCTTTTATGACTATAAAAGAAATTTTTGAATCAATATTTGCAGATATATCTCGAGAAAGTTTCTCGTGACTTTCTTACACGGTACTTATTTTACAATCTAGGTTTTAAAATACTTGAAGTGAATAACAATACGGTAATAATAGATTCTAAAATATCAAATAGCACTTCATGATTAAAATATAAAAAACTTTTCCTTTTCCGGAACTTCAACCTTTTTCAATCGAGAGCAATTACAATACATATAAATATTTATATAATTTATTTTATTTGACACATATTATAACAATTGAAAATATATTCTTTATTTGTAATAAAAGAAGAAAAATATATAATAAACCTGTTAATTGAACTGAACTTGAAACATTCTACAGATGTCAGTAGTAGAACAGTATAATCTTATTAGAATCATAAATTTCATATTCTTTCAAAAAAATTTCTTTATTCGATTAATTAAAATTAGAAAAATTATGTATAGAATAGAATTTCTATTGGATGAATGAAATACTTGTCAACAAAAATGGCTACCATTATTGTTTACTATTTTCTTTTCTTTCATACAGCTGTTTAATTGTGTCAAATATTGACTGTTTTATCATAAATTCTCTATTCATTGTAAAAAGAAAACGCTTTTATATTGAATGAAGCCACGCTATAATCTTCGTATTCAACCTACTAGTAAAATATCTCTTTCAACAACAAATAAAAAAACTACAAGAACATCATCATCTCGAGTGTTTGTTATCAATCTATTGTTCTTTATCTAATAGAAAAAAATGTATCATTTTATATTTCAGGACTAAAAAATCGCAATCTCGTCGTTCAAATCCTATAATCAATCAACAAAATCGTCGTCATAGTTTACGTTTAACACCAACTGTTAAGCAAACAAAATCTCGAACAACTATTCATGAAACTCGTAAATGTTAAACACTCAATAACTATAACTATGAGAATTTGTTTTTTTTCTAGTACCAAAATGGCGTAATGTTGAGAATGAGAATGAAGATGATAATTCGTCGATAAATCATAATGATGGCGATGATGATTATGATGACCTTCTAGCTCGACATCAACGATTGATGCTTGAAGAACAAAAAGATCGAAAGTAAAAGAAAAATAAACAAATCAATTGGATATTTTGTTACATTGAAATTCTAATTTTAGACTTTATGAACGATATATTCGTGATCAACGAACACTTCGTCGTTTACAATGTCGTCGTTCACATACAGCTCATTTAAATGAAAGAACACGAAATCGTTTATTACGTGAATTAGAACGTGAACGTCGTTATACTATTCATGATAAAATTTGTACTTATCGTAAGTTAATATATAGTTTTCTTTTGTCAAATAGATAATTTCTTATTTTAGTTTCTGATCATCGAATTATTTATCGACATGGATGTAATATTCGATCAAATCAATCAATAACTTGGTCGACACTTGAAAATGAAATACCTTATAATAAAAATATTGGTACAATACATGAGTTAGATGTTATGATTAATAATTTGAAAAAAGTTATACGAAATTCAAAATCGATGTAAGATTTAAGTTTAAAACAAATTTATATATATTTTGAATTCTTAGGTCAAAAACTCGGTTATCTGTACGTGAACGACAAAATCAACGTTTGAAAACTGTTAATCCAAGTAAAACAAAATCAACAGAAATTAATACTTCATCTATGGTTTCAAATCCAACGTAAGATAAATTTGAAAAAAATAGTGTTTCTTTTTTTACACGTTTTTGTTTTGTTTTTTCCAAAGGTTACATATTCCATCACAATTAGAAATCATATCTCATTTGCCACGTATACCAGTCGTAAGATTTATTGATGATCAAAATAACAAACTTCGAATAAGTAATTCGCAACGTTTAACATGTATACAAAATGTCCTTGGACATCAATCAAATAATAATAATAATCATAACAAAATGTAAAAACCTAAAATATATGAATATATATGTAATAAATTCATTTTATTTAGTGTAACAAATGAAATATCATCACCAATGAGTATTAGAAAATCACCATTACGTTCAAAAACTGCTTATGTCAAGTATGAAACATAATTTTTAAGAATAATTGTATTACATGTTTTATATTTTAGTGCGTCTGATATAACACCAACAAAAAAACGACCATTAGAAAAAGAAAATTTCAATAATCTGTCAACGTCGACAAATTCAAATGCACATTCAAATATTGCTTTGAGAGCGTCATCACCGTATGTAGCAGCGAATGATCATACACCTTATCGATCGTCGTTGTTTTCTATAGAATGGTATCGATCAAACATACCACGTCTTCTTCGTCGTCTCGTTCCTACCCAAATACGAGAAAACATCCATTGATGAATAATTCATTGACAACACGACGACATACGAGACTTTCGTAAGTTTGTTTATAATAATTATAGAAAAGCACAATTAATCAGTAATACAACTAATCTATATTAACAAAATTTGTATGTAGAATATTTTTACTCTAAAATAATTTGTAGTGATTATTCATAATGAACGTCTAAGAAAAGAAAGATATGATATATCTTTTCGCTTTATCTCTCAAGTATATTGATCAAAGATAAAAAGTAGAGAAGCGACGTTATGGGAGATAAAAATACAATCCAATGTTTTTTTAGTCGTTATTTTTTAAAACAAATGCTCTAATAAACAGTAGTTTCTGTAAGAGGTAAATATGTCATCTGTTGAGTGAAGTATTATACGTCAATCTGCGGATTATAATATCACTCAATAGTTTGTTTGACTTTTTACAGGTGGAATGAGGTTTGGTTCTCCTAAATTCCTGTATCGACACATCTCTGCAAGGAAAAATACTCGATCAAACCTTTTAAACATGGTTTTATTTAAATAGATGAATACTAGAGAGACTCAACGTGCGTACGTCTTAACCTTTTGAAGCCCATGATTCAACCTATGGATGAAATCTCTTGCAAACCTGATATTTCGTATGAGCATTGGGTATTATCAAAATTTTAAAAAAATATTTCACGCCATTTTCAACTTTTAGCCGTACCCTATACGGAAATCCTCAGAAATCTTTTAGCCATTTCCTCGGAGGTGTACGGACGGGAGTCAAAAACTGATTCAGTAACCTCAGTAGAGTTTTTAATCTTACATAAATATATGCATCAGAGTCTCTTCTATATCGTAGTGAAAGCCACATTTCGTTACCACTCTGCATTCGTGAGTTATTCGGAATTTATCAAATTTTAAAAAATGGGGCTTATAAATCCCACTGATACCGAAAAGTTTAAATTAGTTCTATTGAAAACATTAACTGTCATTTCTCTTTCTGCAAAGTATAAAACCTCGATAAAGAAATGATGTAATATTTAGATCTTTACTGCAAGACGTCCTATATGAGTAACCTCTTATTTCAACGTTATTCATTACCAACTGTGGTTAACAGACGACTAAAGAAAAGCTGAATTGTATGTCTATTTATTCATGTCATACTAAGAAAAAGTCTAAATAAAATATTTCAATTGTTTCAGTAATAAAAATATATATTCGAGATTTTATTTTAAAATATTCTTTCATTTTTATTTTAGTACAAATGTTTAAAACTCGACATATGGCTTCTCTCAATTGTTTTTTCTTTTACTTGTACATAAATAAAAGTCACCTGTCTTTACCTTATTTTTTGTTTGTTTGTTTGTTTTTTTTTCGTCAAACGAACCTGATTAGGGTTTTTTTCTTCTGTTCTTTGCTCATTTATTTTTTTTTTCGTGATGAATTATATGTAAGCAAAATGTTTTGTTTGTGTGTATTGATTTATTCGTCGAATTTATATTTTGTCGATGTCGATTGTTACGCACTTTTTTGTTTGTATGAACAAAAGTGTTTTTTTTCTGTCAAAAAAAACAAGAACTATGAATCAAGATAATCATAAATTGAATTATTTTTTTGATTGGTATGAATCAGTGATACTTATATGAGAAGAAAAACAAATGTTTTGTTTTTGTCTGTCTTTTAATTTTGGCAAATGAGAAAAGAAATTTTCTATCAGGGATAAAAATATTCGTTATTTTAGATTTAATAAAACATAAACAATGATTGAATTACCAGATTTATTTCATGAAAATCGGTAGGAGATTTGATTTTTATTTGGAATTCAATTATTTGTTTTCGTTTTTTTATCTATAGAATTCCTGAACTAACATTATCTTTAATTCTCTATATACCCATTGGCCTTTGTCTTGTACTAATTCGTTCTGTTATACTACTTCTCTTATTCGTAATTTCTTCTATATTTCCCAAAAATTCATCTTTGAATCAGTAAGTATAATATTTCTATTAAATTCATTTTTTATTTTGTAACTATCTTAGACTTCTAAATGAAGTTATTAGCTTAATATTAACATTTTCGTATGAAAATCAAACTGTTGGAAATGAAGAAAAAGATAATAGAAGGGCAGCGAAAATTCTTGTTGCTAATCGAGTATCTTTATTCGATGAAATTGTTATTCAAAGATTTATTTGCAATACAAATTGTAAAGTGGTATGAGAAAATAAAATATTTCTGAAAAAAAAAATTTTTAATTACATTATAATAAATTTAGGTCAATCTATGGAAAGAAAATACTTGGATTACTTGGTTAAAATTAAATACAATTGATTCATCTCGAACACAAGAAGATCTATTAGATTTATGTAATAATGAAATTCAGCATTCTAGTAAAATTATAATTTAGACAAAAATTTCAATACAAAAAATATTTTTAGATTCTCAACTTATTTTTTTGCCTGAATATGAATCAACAACTGGCACTGATGGTTTATTAAAATTCAAGTATAAATCTAATTGTATAGTTTAATTCATCACGTTTTGTTTTTTCTCTTCAGTCTTCTACCATTTACACTTGCACAAAAACGTCAATTATCTGTTTTACCCATATGTCTTCGTACCTCTCGTGCATTTCAAATTCGAACTGTATGAATTAGGATTTATATTGTATTTTATTTCGATTTTTGTTTTTTCGAAATTAGAGTGTTTTCAATAGTCATCCATTTGCTGATCTTTTTTGGTTTTTATTTAGTCCTTATACTAAATTTCATATTAAGTAAGAAGATTATTTCATTAGAAAAAAGATTTATTTTTGTTCTTTAGTTTTTTACCAGTTGTTTCTCCAACAGATTCGTCTTCCGATGAAGTTTTTTGTGAAAAAGTACGAGAGAATATGTGTCGAACAATGAATATAGAAATGACCCAATTTGATGTACGAGAAGTAGATGAACTTAAAAAACGACCAGATCTTTTGCAACGTCGACATGGTTAGTAATTATTTTATAAAATTATTTCTCATTTTCAAATTTTAGAGCAACGCCGAGCTGAATTTCAACAAATGATTCAGCTTGTTCATCAACAAGTACCTGTTGCATCAGTAGAAGCTATTCGATATGACCTTGGTTTGTTTAAATGTACATATATATATATGAAATTTATATTTTCTTTATCATAGAAACGACAAAAAATGTTCAAAAAACAATTGCAAATTTAAATGAACGTGTTGCTGCTGCAGCTCGAGCAGCCAATAAATCATCATCATCAACAACTACTACATCTACAGGTGCAATGACAAATTCTTCCGGTGGCAATGGTCATCGTCAAACATACGAACGATTAAAACAAGAATTAATTGAAAAAAATCGGCAATTATTTTTGAATAAAAACTGTAATTAAATTTCATGATTTCAATTTTTTTTTCTTTTGCAAAAAAAAACTTAGTTTTTTTTTATATCTTCACAATATAAATAAAAAAAAAAGACAGCTGTATTTTTTTTCTCTTGCGTCCTGATTACTACATAATGGTGCAAGATTTGTTTTTCTTTCATGTGTAATGGCGAAAGATATGCATTTAAAAACGCTGTTTTTTTCTCCGATCCGCATTACTTTACAAAGAAAAACAAAGTATGTCTTGCTTAACACATGATAAACGATTTTGTTCGATATTTCACAATATTATTAATGAACTTCGAAAGGAAAATCGTACTCCTTTATCAATTTTACGTACAATGCCTCGTAAATGCTGTACATGTAATGATGAAATAATAAAACATGCAATAGTAAAAGACAAAAATAAATTAGATATATTAAAAAATCTTATTGAACGCATAAATCGAGAAAAACAACCGAATCCAAAATTGATTTTATCATTAGTTCGATTTCAAACTCTTATCCAAGAAAATCGCACGCCTCTTGCAGTACTACCAGTTGAAGAAGAGACAACAATTGATGAATCACATCCTAATAGTACTTCTTCATCGTTTAAAACACAAATAAAGCCTATTAAAATACACTGGGATTTATCATCAAGTTCTAAGGATACGACTCCAATGGAAACATCAAAATCAGCAGTCATACGTAAACAAGATAAAAAATGTTCAAAACGACCAAAATCAATTAAATGTGGAACATTTCTTTTTCTACCATATACTTTCGAAGGTAAAACTGCAAGAAAAAAGTCAGATTCTTTAGTAGACGTTGCCAAAATTTTGCAACGTAATCGATTTATTGGCCCAGATGGTCATGTTGCTATATTAGAAAAACAATATGATGTTCGTATTAATATGATAACACCAAAAACAAGTGAACAAATTACTGATGCACTTGAAAATGCGAAGAAAGGTTTAGAAAATTTAACAATTCATAATCAAAATAAATCCATTGAAATGTCGAAAGAAAAAGAAGGAGAATGGATTTTAGTTCGACCAAAGAAACCAAAAGATCAAATAAATACGGCAGATTTTGAAAAAGTATTAGATGATCTTACAGATCGATGGGAAAGATCTTTAAAAGTTGAAAAACGCAAATGTGATAAAACAGATAATTCACACAATAAAATTAGTAGAGAGAAATACCATTCGGAATAGACTTTTTTTTGTATTAAATTAAATAATTTCTTAATAAACTAAATTTATAATATAATATTAAGTTTAAATTTTATTATCAATTTTTAAGAAGAGAAAAAAAGTCACATTTAATAATATATTAGGGTGAATGTGAATATTCTGTTGCATCGATATTCATATTCACCCATCCACTAAGTGGCGAGCAAAAATAAGCATGGATATAAGCATATTTATTTATCTAAAGCAACTGACTTAATTACATAAGCATCATGCTATGCACACAATTATATGATACACAACAACAAACATATTATATATTGAATAGGAAAAACGTAATTGTACGAAGTCTTCTTTCTCACTGTAATGGTATAACTGTCGATTCAGTATTGGTATCGTCATTTTCCTTTGTATTGACTTGATTCTTTGCATGGTAACGATGGACACGTTCGTGTATTCTTCGAACAAGAGGTACGATAAGCAGTTTACACACAAGAAATAAAAGTCCGAACAATTCTAAGACGACAATAGTGAACAGAAGATTATGAAAAATCACTTCTGTCTGACGTGCAATTGGTTGTTGTACATTTTTAACATAATAAACATCTTCTTCGATAGTAATAGTCAGGTTTGTTTGGCTCCGTTGAAAGAACGAATATCGATTCTGTTGAGTAAACAATTCATCTGTTCGAACATCATATGTTGCAAACCAAGTAGCACTATATTTTGACAAATCATTTACGTTTAATGGATCTGTTTGGTTAACAATTTCAGATAGCTGAAGTGTATATTCTGTTGATGGAGCTAGAACATTATTAAAGGATGTTGGAATAAATACCGACGAAACATTGAGTGCAAGAAGTGTGTATCTAAATGCAAATGAATATAGATAAGAATTTTTCGAACATGCATCATCTATCTTACCTTCTATCTTCATATGTGGCAGCAGGACCTGTAAGACCAACACGAATGGCACCCACCGTTCTCAGTCCGGGTAATGTCACTTGCATATTCATATTATGTGATGGAAGCAAGATAGATAATGAAACAATACTATTATTATAGTGCATAGTACATGATGATATCGAGAGGTTGATAAATGCATATGAAATGATACGTTGTACGAGTAATGTATCCGAACAAGTGAAAGCTGTATTGATCAAATCAATAGTAAGTGTAAATGATTGTGCTTCGAGTAAATCAAAGATAGGTTGAATTTCTTTTGCTTGACGAGCTTTTTTCATTTGCATTGAAGTAGTAAACTTCGCATTACGAATACTAGTATCACAGGCAAAGAAACTTTCGCCGACAACACTTTCAATAGGATATTGATGAAAATAGGCATTGGAGAAACTATAAGCACAAATAACAAGGACTACAACAGCTGCCGAAACTAAACCACCGATCCAGAGCTAAGCAAAAAAAAAAGAATATTTGATATAGTCTTAATGTATGTTTTTCTTACCTCGCCTTCACCAATGAGATCCATCTTTTTAAAAATAGCTTTAGCTTTATCACGTACAGGATGTTTACCAGGACAAATGACAGTTGAAATAGCCATAGCAATGAGTATCAACGAACCAAAACCAATTACAAGCAATACCCATGTGATAGGAGAGACGAGAACACAATGTAGAGATTTCGTATTGAAGCTAAACATATTTTGCATAAGCAGATCATCAAAAATAGTTGTTTCAGGTGATTCAGGATAATCCTGCTCTTGCTCGACAGACTCGAGAGCAGTGGATGGTAATGCAGCAACGGCTCCATATGGACAAAACATATCTGGATCGCTGCATGCTTCACAACTGGTGCCGTCTAAACTGCTCATTGTTCCATTTTCACATGGTATACATAATTCAATACTTGCATATGAACGATTGGCACCACGAATGCATGGAACAGAAGTCGAGAAATAACTTGGTCGATCAGTTGCTGGATAGAAACCTGGTGGTGCACTGAGAATGATCGAAGCATCACCAGATGTATCAAAAATACCTAGATGGCCCGATGTTCGACTAGACACAAGACGAATAAAGGATGGATTTATTAAAGGACCGACTATTTGTTGACTGTTTGGATAGATAAGAATTGGTTGAGTTTGATCAGAAAAACCATCCGATTCAATATCATAGATATGAAATGCAGATGATATCCATTCATTTGTGGTATAAGTATATTGATTGGCAAGAATAGCTACTTTTTTACCTTGATTATCAAGCCAAACGATACTTCGACCGAATCCCATTCTATTCATACCAGTCTGACGAGTACTCACTGGATAAATTGTATTTGGAGTAGTCGGATCATCAACAACATATAGTAGAGCAACATTAAGTGCTCGAATACCAATTAGCACACGATTAGCAATTGTAGAAATACTAACTGACATCAGATTTGTAATTGAATAAACTCGAGCAGTGGCAACAAAGTGAGTACTTCGTAGGTCAGCCCATGAAAAATTTAATGAACTTCCAATAGAAAAACGACTTCCATGCGATGGGCTCGATGAGGATCCACTGCCGAATACAATCATGGCACATTCGAATGCCTGCGATGGTGTATCTTGACAATAACCAGCTAGTACACCATAATCGTTAGTAAAATCGATTGCACGAGGTGAAATAGGTAGTGTTTTTGGCCAGACAGTCATATTCCATGATTGAAAATCATAATAGGCAATAAAATCATCAGTGAAAGCATATACACCCTCATTCTGAGCATCGATACCAATCACAAAATTATCTTGTATTGAATAATTACTACCCACCAACGAATTTCTATGTTTATATGCACACAATGTTCCATTATTAATAAATTCAATACGACCAATCATCATACGATTTTGAATATCGATACAATTATAAACAAAATAAGGTAATGTTGTTTGATTCTTTGATGTAACAACACTGTAGACAAAATCACATTGAATATTATTAGTACCCAAATCAGTAATATTAACTATACAGAGTTGTGAAGTAGAAAATGGAGCAAGAAATACTATATATTCCAAATACACATTGTTAGCATAAACAATCAGTTGATCATTCATAGAAATCTTCTGTCCATAGAGATCATAACTATTTGCCTGCTTTGTATATGATATAACTGGATTCGACAAAATACACAGATGAATAAAGAGTAGAACGATTCCAGACAACGTCATATGCATTTGTATCTGATACAGTGACTGAATATGACTTGATCATTTGATAAAATGAAATGCATATGAAAATGACAGCTCCATAGTTTGTGTTTTTTTCAGGTTGCATCCTATGTTTTTAATTATGATAAAAGTATTAATTAATTTGAAACAAAAATAAAATTTCCGAACTGATATCATAAATGATGTGGCTAATTCATACTGACGTATAGATTAGTAATAGAATAAATTGAAATCAAATAATATTTTTCATCTCATTTTCTAAGTGCAATTCTACATTGCGGATATTGTTCATTTGTATCTAAATGAGAAGTGACACTTCATTTCTTAGTTACATTGTTATTTTACTTTAGTTATTTGAGAGAAAAATAACCTGGATGTTTCACTTCTAATATAAATGCCTTTCAAAAATCGTGTTTCCCTAGAATAAATGACGACAGATTGAATTATTATATGTTAATCGAGAAAGTGATTGTGACTCGAATGGATTAAGAAAGAGATGCACACCTGCACCCTCAAGATTTAACAGACTAGTTTTGTAGTTTCCCTAGTCGCCTACTCGACATATAGTATATTTTTTACTTCTAAATTCAGATTAAAATATAATATACTATTGTATAGATACTACGGTACACCGTACATACAGTGCGTTAACAGCATCGGGCTCTATTAATACAAAAATGTCTGAATAATGCTCAAAGTGAAAACTGGAACTGAAAACTAAACTAAAACTCAAGCCCAACTAGATATGTGCGTAGGCATGGAGAAATTCCGATTTTTTATTTTTAGTAACGTATCGGAGTCGAAAAATTTGTTTTTTTCACATTTAGAATCGGATCGGAACTGGTAATAAGCTTTATTAGAATCGTATTGGAATTGTGAAAATGAATTCTAAGGATCGGCATCGAAATCAACTATGTTAAAATTCTCTGAATTTTGTATGATATGAGCTCTTTTCGTTTACATGAAAAGCATTCAATTGTTATTATTAATTAATAGGTTCTTGTTTTTTTTAACAATTATTATAATGCTTTAAAATCATTCAAATCCGGAACACTCAATTTAAGATTTTATTTTCTAGGACAATATAATCAGAAATGGCACTGATACCAAAATTTTTGTATCTTGATATCGGAATCGGATTGAAATAAGATCTAATTTTTTAAGTATCGCATCGGGATCGAAATCAGACTTGCCAATTGCCGATTTGAGTACCAACTCCGATGTGGTATCGCTCATGTCTAGATGTGCGGTGTCAGTTTATTGATCACTGATACCACTGACACTGCAATGCACTGAGGCAATGACGATGGCGGTACGCCGACGTTTACAGATATAAATATATATTTGCCATATTGGTAAACGTCGGTGCATCAAGCTCGTCAGCGCTTCAGTGCCAGCTTTTTCAGTATTTGCACAAACACCATACATCCCTACGACTAACTTCAACACTGAAGCTCCAACTAAATGCACACCAGAAGCCAAACCCACAACAACACCCTCAACATCTAAACGCTAATTGAATACTCAAACCTTCAACTAAATCCAACAACCAAACTCTACTTGAATACCCAAACTCTCAGCTAAACCTAAATCAAACACCCAAACCTAATACGCAAAGTTCGAAATAGTTTGAACTTTGTACATGTCTAGTCATAGGCCTAAATACTACAATACAAGAGGAAATATCCTATGACGACTATACACTACATCTAAATTTATGCTGCTTCTGTTGAGTTAGCATTAGTTTTTTTCTATTTTTCTATATTGATATAAACACTCACTTTACAGACAATAGGAAACAAGAAAATTGATGTAATACAATTTGCGAGCAAAATAATGTTAAAATGTTGTGTTATTACTTCTAATTACCTTTTTCACTTCTATATGCCACTAACATAAACTCCCATTCAGACAGAACTCAATATTATATACTTCAGACAGCGAGAGTTAGAAAGAGAGGGGAAAAAAGGACATTTCATTTGCTACTGCAGGAGGTGAGTATCGTATAGAGAACTGCATTTTGATGAGTAACACATGTGAAAAGTGTAGTGACAGTCAATAACAACGCGAGAGAAAAAAAGATTGACAGAAACTCCTGAATTCAGAGAAAAAATAATGAATATAATGCAGCAGAAAATATGTTTCATTCTTTGTATTGACAACAGAAAAATGAAATTAAATGGATTCTCAGAACTTTTTCTGCATATTAATTGCTGTCATCATCAGTATAAACCTCTAATTTTGAAGATATAACTTAATTTTTGAATACAATCAATCAAATATTAGTAAATCCCAATATTATATAGTCATAATAATCAAGTTCTAATTTGACTTTTTCCACACTCTTGAAACTCAAATTGAACGATAGAGTGAAAAAGCATTTTCATCATTGAAAACTTCCATAAGACTCTCGGTATCAGAGTCAACATATTCGCTAGTTTCCGATTGATCTTTATTTTCTATGTATTAAAGGTATATTGAAGTCATGACTCAAATATAACCTACATTGGTTAGATGATGATAAAAGTAATGACTAAATCTAAGTACTGTTATTTGAATATTGTTCATCATATATCTTTTATTCGAGACATAACACAAATTATATACAACAATATGATAATCAAAGAAATTAATGTCAACATTGACATCAAATGACCCGAAGTCATGAATAGCTAGTCGTCGATTTATATAATTCCGTTTTATACCCTGTGGTGACGTCAAAACATAACTACTATCATACGAATTAAATCTCATTTGTCTAAAAACTCAACATGTTTCGCATAAGATAAATAAAAACTCATATTTATCTTTAGCGTCTTACATTATCATTAGCAACATAACATAAAAAGAAGATTTCTAGAAAATAAAATAGTTTTCCAAATATTTTTTTGATTGTGTTGACAATGATAGATCATCAATATTTTCTATGTGGTGGTGATGACGATAAAATCAAGTCCATAAACAAAATATGTGATAGTGATTTTCCATAAATACACTCTTAGTTTAAAAAAAAACAAGATATGATTATGATCACATAATATTACTTGCTTGTTTCATTTTCGTAAGACATTAGAATTTCATCTTTTTAATGATATTATTTGTTGACTAGGAATGTAGATCAGATAGTGAAGAAAATGGTGTATATAAATGATATCTAAAAAGATATGGATAAGAAAATCTAGATAAGAAGCAAACATTTTTATTCTTAGTCTTTACTAGATATACATTGTTATTTTTTAACTTTTCATCAATGGTGTGTTTTACGCACATTGTTCTATTTTTCTTCTTTGCTGCACTTTCAACAATTGATACTCGTTCGATTCAAGAAAATTCTGATGTTGAACTATTAATACAAAATCGTATAATTGAGAAAAAACAGCTATCAGCTACTATTGCTAGCTATCGTCATCGCTTTGAACATTCACCGAATTTTAAAAAACTTCGATGGGCACTGAGTGAAAAACTTACTCCACCCTATTGTGAATTTTGTCATCTATTCGTACCTGCGGTAAGTATGATGTACCCTAATATATTTCAATTTCATTTCTTTTTCTTCTAAGATTCGATTTCTCATCGAAATTAATGAAACAATTCATGTAGAAAATGTTACACTTGCTTTATGTAAAGATATTCAACTTTTTCTTAATATTGAAGTTTGTGTCGGAGCAGTACTAGAATATAAGGTGAATAATATATATTTTTATATTTAATACACAATTTATATTCAAATAGGACGCTGCAATTGAAATATTTTCTATGTCTCCACTTACTAACAAAGAACTATGTGCACTTGCTTTTGATTGTGAAGATCAAAAAGATTTTCCTATTCTACGATGGAATGTTACAATACCTGGTTCAAAACCATCTCCACGACCACCACAACCTCCTGCTGTGAGTTATTGATACCATTAAATTAAATAAATAGTCAGAATTTACCAATGATAGTACAATTAAAAGATAATAGAATAAAACATTATACAGACTAATACGAAATAAATTGATAAGATATGATATGTATTTACTCTTCTAATTCTTATTATATATATAGTCTGGATCACCTAAACTCAAAGTTCTTCATCTATCTGATATTCATGTGGACTTTGCTTATAAACCTGGTACACAAGCAGATTGTCATAAACCATTATGTTGTCGTGATGGTCCAACTGGTGAGTATTTTATAATATATATATATACATACTAGAATACATTTGAAATTTTTACATAGTACCTGGTCCAAATGGTGCTGGCTTTTGGTATATATTCTTAACTTTGATGTACACATTTTAATATCATATATTTCTCCTTTAGGGGTGATTATCGTAATTGTGATTTACCATACTGGACAGCTCAAAGTATTCTTAGATATGCTTCTGAATTAGAAGAAGATGTAAGTTATATAAATAAAATTCGTAAAAATTTTTCTTTTAAAAAAATAGTTGTAAATTTATTCTATTCATAGATTGATTTTATATATTATACTGGTGATCTACCACCTCACAATGTTTGGAATCAATCTCGTGCTGATCAACTCTATTCACTCACAACTATTAATCAATTATTAGCTGCTACTTTTCCCAATAAAACTTTTTATCCAGCAGTTGGTAACCATGAAGCAGGTATTGTCGTTTATTTTTATTTATTCTTCATTTCATTTGTGTCATTTCTAGCACCTTGCAATATGTATCCTACACCTAGCATCCGAACGGATAATATTACATGGTTATATGAAGCATTAGCTGATAGTTGGGCCACACTTGGTTTACCTGCTGATACACGTGAAAGTATTGTACGTGGAGCTTTCTATACAACTATTGTACGTCCTGGTCTTCGATTAATTTCACTCAATATGAATTATTGTGCACCGGAAAATTACTGGTTGTTTGTCAATGCTACTGATCCACTTGGTCAACTTCAATGGGTTCGTTTTAAGATTAGACAATAAGACAAAATAGTAATTACATAAGTATTTACTAATATATTTTAGATGATACAATGGTTACAATACGCTGAAGATCATGGAGAGAAAGTTCATATAATTGCACATCATCCTCCACGTTCTTGTTTAGCAGCGTTTAGTTGGAATTTTCATCAAATTATCAATCGGTAATAAAAAGATTTAAACATTTCTTTCAATCTTTGTTCATGCATTTGTTAGATATGAGAATACAATTGCTGGTCAATTCTATGGTCATACACACAATGATGAATTTATTGTGTTTTATGATGAAGTTGATAAAAAACGAGCAGTATCAATGGTTAAAAACTTCTTTTTCATCTTATCACTTTCTTTTTTTTAATTATATATAATTTTAGGCTTATGTAACACCTTCATTAACTCCTCAATCATTTTTAAATCCAGGTTATCGTATTTATACAATGGATGGTGCTTATGAAAATAGTTCCTATTGGGTACTTGATCATCGTACAGTTATTATGAATTTAACAGCAACGAATATGTATAATAGAACTATTTTATTGAATGAATATGAAGCACGAGATGCTTATAAAATGGAAAATTTATTCCCTGCCGATTGGGATAATCTTATACAACGAATGCAAAATGATATAGATGGTCCATTAATGAGTTCAGCATATCAATATTATACAAAATCATATGCTAATGGTACTAGTTGTAATCGCAGTTGTCGTCGAGGATTATTGTGTAATTTTAAAACAGCTCGTTCTGATGATCCTCATGCGTGTGATTCTATTCCATCTTATTATTGATAGATTTTTATTATTTTTTCTACCAAGCGTATTATTATATTTAATAAATAAATCTAGAGATATTTTTATTGACTTTAGTATCGTTATATATATATGATCAGAAAACGAATCTTTTTTTTTCCTCATGTATAAAGGTGAAAAAAACTTCAATGAATTGTTAACGTAATCATACGTCATGTCATATTACACTTTTATTTTTGCACTTATAGTAGAAAGAAAAGAACAATTTATAAATATTTAATAGAACTCTAGTCATATTGTCCAATATGACAATGAACGTGTCTAATCTAAATTTCTGTAGTATGCATTTATAAAACAGAAACAGAATTCTTCCAGAAAAAACTTTCAATAGGTTTGTATCAAGTTGTTTACTTGTTCTCTTAGAGAAATTCCAAGAACGAGCATGTCTCCGTTAGGTCCAATTACACATTCATAACTTTGGAAAAAAAACAATTTCTATACAACTGTCATTCTTTCGTTACATTCATTGGTTTCTAATTAATATTTTACCCAACACTGTTATATTATAGATTAAAAATCTTATATCTACATAAAGCAATATTATTTCTTTAATAGA